GGAGCATTTCTGGTTCCTGGCACATTGGTGACGAAGCTCAAGCTGAGGCTTTTGCAAACCACCTTCAAGACCAATTCACGCCGGTGATTACCGCAGAGGCCTCAGAAATCGAAGCAACAGAAGACATCGTTCTCTCGCCCCTCCCAGCTGAAGACCAGATAACTGGATGTACAAAAGAAGAGGTTCTTGAACACATCAGAAGAGTGAAGGCAAAAAAATCCCCTGGATATGATCTAATAAACGGCAGAGTCCTTAGAGCACTGCCTGACTCCACCATAGACTACATAACTATGGTGTACAACGCCATGCTCCGCATCCGGCACTTTCCAGCCTGCTGGAAGCGCGCCGTGATTGTGATGATTCCTAAGCCTGGCAAACCCGTGGGAGAAATTGAGTCGTACAGACCAATTAGCCTGTTGCCAGTACTCTCCAAAATATTCGAAAGAATATTTCTGGAACGAGTACTGACACATCTGGGACGCCAGGAGGCCATTCCAAACCATCAGTTTGGCTTCAGGAGACAGCATGGAACACCGGAACAGGTTCACAGAGTTGTGCACCATATCCTTGGAGCCTTTGAAGAAAAGATGTACTGCTCTGCCGTCTTTTTAGACATCAAACAGGCGTTTGATCGAGTTTGGCACCTGGGACTGCTGCAGAAAGTGAGGACCACCCTTCCAGCCCCATTTTTCGCGTTGCTATCCTCATACCTTATTGGAAGAACCTTCCAAGTGTCAAGGGGGCAAGCAGTATCCTTGACTAGACCAATTATGGCTGGAGTACCACAGGGTAGTGTTCTAGGCCCAACACTTTATACTTTATTCACAGGAGATATGCCAACTCCCGAGCCAAATATAGGAAGTACAGATGCAGTACTCATAGCGACCTATGCAGATGACACCGCCATCTTATCACGTCACGTATCTGCGCAAGAAGCTTCAGACTCACTACAAAAATATCTGGACTCTTTCGGACGCTGGGCAAAACGGTGGTGTATCACCATTAATGCACAAAAGTCTGTACATACTACCTTCGCCACTAGAAGAGGAGATTGCCCAAGCGTTGCATTGGGGCCCACTATTCCCAAAGCCTCAAAAGTAAAGTACCTTGGTATCACTCTTGACAGAAGGCTGACTTTTAAAGCGCACATAAGTCAAGTAACCTCAAAATGCAAAAGCAAGCTAAAAACCCTCGACTGGATGCTGAGAGCTTCAAGCAAGTTGTCTTACAGCAGCAAGGCCGCCATCTACAAGGCAATAGTTGTCCCAACCTTCGTATATGGTATCTCTCTATGGGGCTCCTCGGCGAAGACTACAAGGAACAAAATTCAGACCCTGCAGAATAAAGCACTACGCAGATGGACTGGAGCCAGCTGGTTTGTAAGAAACTCAGTCTTACATAGGGATTTAGCAATTCCCACAGTTGCTGAACTCATTGGGCGACACAGTTCAAGATACGCGGACAGACTTGCAGCGCATCCTAACCATCTCGCAAGCAACCTGGCTATAAACAACAATAGGCGAAGACTGAAGAGATTGCATCCTCTAGACAATATTAGAACTAATTAAGATAGTAGCTACAAGTGCAGAATAATTGGCATATCTGCCCTCCCATTAGTTAAGGTTTAGAGCTAAATGCGCTATAGAGTCTAAGACAATAAGCTGCAACAAAATAAAGATAAAAAAAAAAAAAAAAAAAAAAAAAAAAAAAAAAAAAAAAAAAAAAAAAAAAAAAAAAAAAAAAAAAAAAAAAAAAAACGCACCCGCCACGTTGCTATTAACAACTAAAGCATTCTTATCAGCACGACTTCCGCCCTGCCCTAACCCTCCGTGCGCTAGTGGACAGCCTCGTCGGCTACGTACAAGTGCCATCAGCGCTATCAACAAAGAGCACAATACGACAAAGAAAGAGAACGTCAGCCAGAACGGACGCCAAATGGTTGAAGAGAAGACTTGAGCCACAGCAATGCGTTGCTTAGTTGGTGTATAACGAGTTGAGCGTAACGCGGGTGCAGCGATAAACATAGCACAGTTAGCTTACTTGCGTGCTCCATTCTCTCTTTCTCTTAGTTCACAGCCGCAGCCGAAAATCGCCCATTATCCATTTTTATTTTATCATCAATTTTATTACGTACAAAGTAAAGAGGCGCAACCGAAGCCAAAGCTAACGGTAAAAGCAAAGGCACCAACTTGATGATGTAGCAGCCCAAAAAACAACAACAAAGCACACTCACGCATACAGACACGAGCACAAGCAGACACACACACACACACATGCATACAGTGCTGCTGAGAGCAGCAGCTGAAGACACAACACGCCCTTTTTGATGTTTGTATTCGCATTTTTTTTATATATTTTTTTGTCACTTTCTCTGCTGTTCGGCTTTTTGTCTAATTTAATTTTTTTAATTTTGTTAGTAATATTGACAATAATTTTTAATGGTCTTTCCATACTCACCTATAAAAGGCGCTGCATTTGTTTACTCTTTGGGCGATATCCTTTTATTGATGTTGTGGATGAATGTAATGTTGTTGTTCTTGTTGTTGTTTTTGTTGTTGCTGAACACTTTTTATTGTTAATGCTATTGTTGTGAATACACTTTGTTTTAAATTTTGCTTTATGTGATTATTTGCGCAAATCCTTATGTAAGGATAAAGCCGTTATAAAAAAGGATTAGCACTGCACTGCGCGAAATTTAGCACACATTAAGGATTGCATACATACACACATGTACACATGTACACAAACATACAAATGTATACATGTATGTTTGCATATGTATATATGTATGTGTTTGTTTATGTGTATTTAGCAGAAGCTGAGCTGTATGGCAACATTGTCATCTTTACGCCAGCCACGAGAGCTTGCAACTAAAACTGTATTAGATAAGCACCAATTGCGTCTCCGTTAAGGCGCAGATATTATCACTTGGGTACTTGTACAATTGGCGGGGCACCTAGAGGAACGCGACTGCTTCAATTGGGGGACCGCACAATAAAACCAATTTTACAATCAAGTCTCAGCTCAGCTCAGCTCAGCGCGTGTGTATGTATGTGTATGTGCCTATATATGTGTCTTAATTGAATCAAGAGCCAGCTAAATGGACCGATTTAGATTTACTTCGGGCTCACCTTAACTAGATCTAACAGTTCAGATCATTGAAATAACTGTAGTACATCTATTTGCAAAGCTGGCAATCAGCGCTTGTTAAGAAACCGCCTACATTTTGATTTATAAACAACCTCATTGCCCATTGCATTTATTCAATTTAGAATTTTGTGGAAATACTTTATGATTTGCACAGCTAATTAAGACCAATACCAAAAAAAAAAAAACAAAAACAAAGAAGACCTTCACCTTAAGTAGGTCGACCACGCTCCAAAAAAAGAAAGAGAGAAAATATTTAAATAGAAATATTTAAAACAAGAACTTAGGTATTTTAAATGTATGCAACAAATGAAAATATAATTTATTTGTGAGCAATTTTAAGCAATTATTGGCAAGATTTGAATTTTCCCTTGGCATTATTTAGCTAATTATTTTGTACTCGCTGCTTGTTGTTGATAAACTCGCAATTTCTTCTTTCTTTTTTTTTTTTGGGAGCGGCCCCAAAACAAAGCAGCGCAAGCCTAAAATATTTTCTCTTTGCCTTTGGTCCGGCTTTTCTGTTAAATTTGTTTTCCAATTGTTGTCTTCCTTTTTTACATTTATGTATATTTTACTAGTATGTTGTTGATAACATTTTTTTAAGACAGCAACTAACTCCTGGTGCTATGTGCGAGCGAGAGGAATTTCTTTTTTTCGATTTTGTCCTTTGTTTTTTTTTTTTTTTGATTATGCTGTGCTCAGTGGCATACTTTTGGGGGTTGCGGTGCGGTGCGCCGCTTGCCTGAATCTGAGCCATAACAACAACAGGAACAACAACAACAACAACGGCAACTCGCGCATATGTAACCAGCAGTAAATTTTTCAATTACAAAAATGTTGCCTTTGTTGTCTGATTCATTTTGGTGGATCGTAAAATGGCACACTGACCCACACACACACCCATACACCACACACCAAATATCCACATGTGCCATACATATACACATATACACATACACACACACAGCCACAGTCCCGCACGAGGCAAGTATTAAATAGTAGCTGAAACAGCGGCAATCCAATTTTCTGCTTTGACCATCTCCACTTTCTACTTCGCTATGCCTATTCGATTGTTGTTGTTGTTGTTGGTCCTGCTGCTGGCTCTGCTGTCTTTGCTTGTGTATTTCCCTCAACCATTTACCGAGCCTTTAGCCGCTATCACTCCGTCGCTCACGAGTTACAGATTCACACTGAATCGTGGCCCAACCGAAAAATGTCGCCATCGGACTTTATTCACATCATCGGATGCTGTCGCTGCTGCTGCTGTTGGTAGTTCGTCAATGTAAACCCAAGGACTCGCTCTTTGTGCTTAAGAGCGTGCATCAAAGAGCGGAAGGGCGGAATGGGGAAGTTGGTGGAGTGAAAGGGCGGCAGGTGTGATGGTGTTATTAAACACTTAGAAGCTTCAACATTTGACGTTTAATAAATAAGTGCTTAATAAAAGCACATTAAAACTAATGCTAATTAGATAGCATAATTATGTTTTATGCTAGTTTTCACATTGACAAAATTTTAAATAGACCAAAGACAAATAAATCATTTTTGCAAAGTCAAACAATACAAATATTACGTTAAATAATCAGTTCACATGTTTTATTTTGAGCATTGACGAAACTCAATTTAAATTGAGCCCGCTAAATATTGATATTCAAGCTATCGATATATATATCGCTGGAACTAGCTCAAGTTAACAATCTTACTGGATGTAACTTAAATTATTTGAGCATAATTCATGTAGATTTAGTTCTTTTGGGTGGTTCAGTCATAAAATAGAGTTTGGTATTTTGGTATTTTGTTGCCAGTTCATCAATGTACTTTTTAGCTATATGTAAACTCGGTCACACTGCTACGAAGAGTAACTAAAAATTAAAAGAAATTGGTAATTAAAAGCTGTGCATTGTGCGAAGAAAAGTTTTAACAATTAAAAATTAGATGTAAGACTATACGCATTAAAATAACAAAATACTTTTACACTAAGTAACAATAAGTGGCGACATCAGCCGTGCAAAGTCCAACAAAACAAAACACCATATACAACGCAGCAATTTCTTTTCATATGCCACACAAATGAAAAATCAATAAATCGGTATAGATATTTCTGTATAGAGCTGGCGTATCAGGTTTTTCGATAGAATAATCTCACATTCCGCCACAAAAGAGGCGTTGCTATCGCATGCAAAATAAATGTTACACAAAGAACTTGTATTAAAATTCACGCGTTGAATCAATTAATATAAATTCATTCATCCAATGATAAAAATTGTATGAGTTAAAATCAGTTTTTGATATTTGCAGCAACTGATAATTAGATATCGACTGCAGAGATATCAAAATGGGTTCACTATTTCGTAGCGAGGAGATGGCACTCTGTCAGCTCTTCCTACAGAGCGAGGCGGCCTATGCCTGCGTCTCAGAGCTCGGCGAGCTTGGACTGGTTCAATTTCGCGATGTAAGTTCACTGCGGCATATCGAATTAAAATGAAATAACAAATATAAATGAATGAACACAGCTTAATCCGGACGTCAATGCATTTCAACGCAAATTTGTAAATGAGGTGCGCCGTTGCGATGAGATGGAGCGTAAACTTCGTTACCTGGAAAAGGAGATCAAGAAGGATGGCATACCCATGCTGGACACCGGCGAGAGCCCCGAGGCGCCACAGCCTCGTGAAATGATTGATTTGGAGGCAAGTCAGCACTCATGTGATGCACGTAATCTTACTTATCTGTATATGTATATGGTTTCCATCGCAGGCCACCTTCGAGAAGCTTGAGAACGAGCTGCGTGAAGTCAATCAAAATGCGGAAGCATTAAAGCGCAACTTTCTGGAGCTGACCGAGCTGAAGCATATACTGCGCAAGACGCAGGTTTTCTTCGACGAGGTATGCATGCGGTTATTAGCTAACATCTCTTATAGGCATCGCCGGCTAACAGATAATTAAAATAAGAACTACTACAACGTGGCAAAGGTTTTTAAAAAAAAGAACGATCGGCACTAAATTTTCTAATTAACATATGGCAAAATAACTTGCTAACCAATAACCCAGCCTCTGACAACACAAATGGGGCAGCTTTGGTTTTTGATTTCATAATCAATTTTTTTTTTCAAAAGAATATTTTTTATTACTTAATTTGAAACCGCAATACAACAGAACAACATATTATACATGCAGCACTTACCATCGCCAACACGTCCCAGCCTATGTACTAAGTATGCTTAATATGTATATATACATATGCATATGACTGTATATACAATCGTTAGTTTTAGTTTAAGCTAGTTATTTTACTATTTTATGATTTCTCAGCGCATGATTCACCTACGTTTTGTATATTTACTTTTCTTATATATCGTATCGTATATGTGCACATGTTTTAAGTATGTATGTATGTACATATAAATATGATTAGCTTCAATTGTTATATATGATTTGTTGTTTATTTTATTATTTGTTTTTACGTTTTATTTTCCATATACCAATCAAACCAATTCAATATACCCAATACAAACCAACCAAATACCTGAACCCTGCAAATGCAATGCAATGCACCACCCAAAATACCAACACCCTATATATACAACCACCAATACCACCACCACCACAACAACAACACGTTATTTCCGCCCGGTTGTGTTGCCAGTCGGTGCCAATGGTTTACAAATCCACGTCCACACATTCATCAAACAAATATCGACGCTATCTGCAGATGGCTGACAACCAGAACGAGGATGAGCAAGCGCAGCTGTTGGGCGAGGAGGGCGTGCGCGCCAATCAGCCTGGCCAAAATTTAAAGCTTGGGTAAATATTGAAACCTCAATGAATTAGTCGATCACTCAGCAACAAGACAAAACAAAACAAGATCAACCAGCCAGATCCAATGGAAAACTAAACTCAGCCTGCGCATTACCAAATGAACACAATTTCTATACAAATTGAAAGCAAAACCAAACCCGACTCGCTCGCTCGCTCTCATTCTCCATGGCTATTTTGCGTGTCGTTATCTATGTACAGTTATCAATATCAATATATATACATATATATATATATCCTATCTAAACATAAAATATAGTTGCGTGTGCTGCTTCTCTGTCTGTCTGTATGTTAGGTTCTGTTTAGGAGGACGTTTTCTAATTCTAATAAGAAAATGTGATTGTTTTGTTTGTATGTATGTATGTTTGTGTATTAGGCTAAGATCAATGGTTGCTCTGGTGTTGGCCTTTACTCTCCCATTCCACCCCACTCAAACATATACATATATCCCAATTAAAACACAAAAACTTGGAGACGGAAAGCTGTAATTAACTCGACAAGATACTAACTGCATAAGTAATGCATTTATTTACAAAATTGCCGTTAAAATGAACAAAAACAAAACAAGACAAAAAACTTTTAACACAATTTTTAGCAGGAGGGCGGCCTGAACCACACCACCGAGTCGATGACACGTGCCCTCATCACCGATGAGGTGCGCACCGCCGGTGCATCCATGGGTCCCGTACAGCTTGGGTATGTATCGAGCCACAGGCATACAAATAGCTTGTACGTACATTTGGCAAATGCCAAATGCCAATGTCATGCAATTAATTATGTTACATTTGTTATATGCAACAAAAAATTATTGCTTTACGCCGCCCACTAACCAACTAAAGACGCTGCTGCGCTTAAGCCATACTGAATCTACATCAAACCAAACAACAACCACAACAGCAACATCAAATGATCAAACGCTAAAACTGAATCGATGTCGGACTTACATTTGAGAGCTCTCCTCTCTCACTCTCTGTAACCCCTTTCGAAGCAATAATTTTCTGTGCAAAAAACAAACCAAAATCAAAATACCAAGTTGAAAAGAGAATTTAAAACTAAATCGAACACAATTCTCTCTTCTGTTCCTCTCTTCCCATGTTCAAACACACATCGAGAACGAATTAACAATTATATAGTTTTATGGAAAAATCGATTGAACGTGAGGATTATCTGCCATGGTTGGTATCCCACAATTCAAAATTTAGACTAGGAATACTCATGCTCATAAATTGTAAATAGAGACATATCACCGTGGTCATTAGCTTAGATCGCCACATACGCCCCTTAAAATATCAAATTAAAAAAAGAAATGTGTTCCTTGTTAATATGTTTTAATTGTCGCCTCGTTCCATTCCATGCTGCGTTCATTGGTATTTGTGCTTGAGAGTTTAGTTTTCCTTGTTGCCGTAACTAACCGGAATGATAGACACCGACTAAAAACTTAATTGATATCTTCGCATTAATCTTTGATCTATCTTAGCTTTGTGGCCGGTGTCATTTCGAGGGAGAAGCTGCCGGCCTTTGAGCGGATGCTGTGGCGTGCTTGTCGTGGCAATGTGTTTCTTCGGCAAGCCATGATTGAATCGCCGCTGGAAGATCCTACAAATGTAAGTCGGATCCAGTCAAAAAATTTCCGCTGATATTTGAGGTTTCCAATGTCTATTTTAGGGCGATCAGGTGTACAAGTCGGTGTTCATAATTTTCTTTCAAGGGGATCAGCTGAAAACGCGTGTAAAGAAGATTTGCGAGGGTTTCCGCGCCACACTCTATCCGTGCCCGGAAGCGCCGGCCGATCGTCGGGAAATGGCCATGGGCGTTATGACACGTATAGAGGATCTGAACACGGTGCTTGGCCAGACACAGGATCATCGTCATCGTGTCCTGGTTGCAGCTGCCAAGAACTTGAAGAACTGGTTCGTCAAGGTGCGCAAAATCAAGGCCATCTATCATACGCTGAATCTCTTCAATCTGGATGTGACCCAAAAGTGCCTCATCGCTGAGTGCTGGGTCCCGCTGTTGGACATTGAGACCATACAGTTGGCGCTGCGACGTGGCACAGAGCGTTCGGGTTCGTCGGTGCCTCCGATTTTAAATCGCATGCAAACATTCGAGAATCCTCCTACGTATAATCGAACCAACAAGTTTACCAAAGCATTTCAAGCACTAATTGACGCATACGGCGTAGCTAGCTATCGAGAGATGAATCCGGCACCCTATACTATAATAACTTTCCCATTTCTGTTCGCTGTCATGTTCGGCGATTTGGGACATGGAGCGATAATGGCGCTATTTGGACTTTGGATGATACGGAAAGAGAAGGGCTTGGCTGCTCAAAAAACGGACAACGAGATTTGGAACATTTTCTTTGGTGGGCGCTACATAATTTTCCTTATGGGCGTATTTTCCATGTACACCGGTTTGATCTACAATGACATCTTCTCCAAGTCGCTTAACATATTCGGCTCGCATTGGCATCTTTCGTACAACAAGTCAACTGTTTGGAATAATAACTATTTGCAATTGAGTCCAGCTACCAGCGACTACGAGGGCACACCATATCCATTTGGAATGGATCCCATTTGGCAGGTGGCCTCGTCCAATAAGATTGTTTTTCAAAATGCTTATAAGATGAAGATCTCTATAATATTCGGGGTGTTGCACATGATCTTTGGCGTCATCATGAGCTGGCACAATCATACATACTTCCGTAATCGGCTCTCGCTTATCTACGAGTTCATCCCACAGCTTTTGTTCCTGGTGGTCCTCTTCTTCTACCTGGTGCTGCTTATGTTTATTAAATGGAATCGCTATTCAGCCAAAAATGATTGTAAGTTTATTATCTTTGAATTTTTACGAGCACTTAACACATTTATTCTGATTGTAGTCCCCATGACCGAGGCCTGCGCACCATCCATTCTGATAACATTCATTGATATGGTTCTGTTTAAAAGTTCCAAGGCACCGGGTAAAGACTGCAACGTGCATATGTTTGCTGGGCAATCCTTTTTCCAGACCATCTTTGTTTTAATTGCGCTCGCCTGTATACCGGTCATGTTGCTTGGCAAGCCGATCAAGATAATGCAAGCGCGGAAACTGGCTAACGTAAGTACATTCTGCTACAGATAATTTAAGTTAAGTGCTTTGTGTCATTGTTGCGTATCCTTCACCATTCAATCCTCATCACATCATTGACTTTTTAAGCTTGGGTACATCCGCATACATTAACAGATAATACTTGTGTTTGCACTTCTGTTTATTTATGCCTTACCCTTGTCTTTACCCCCAAACTAACCAACCAACCAACCACATAAAAAACACTCAACAAACGAATAAACTAAACACCAATCCAAATGCAACAGGAAGAGGTTAGTTGTGTCGCTTGTCGTATCACAATTTTAATAATGGATACTCGAGACTCTAGCTAATAAACCCATTTTTAAATTTAAACAGGTGCAGCCCATAACTGGCTCATCGGATGCAGAAGTCGGCGGAATGTCAAATGGCGGCGGCTCACATGGAGGTGGCGGCGAACATCACGACGAGGAGGAAATGTCAGAAATATTCATACATCAGGGAATCCATACCATAGAGTACGTTCTTGGTTCGGTTTCCCACACTGCATCTTATTTACGTTTGTGGGCGCTTTCATTGGCACATGCCCGTAAGTCAACTCTCAATTGGTCATTTATTTATTTTAATGATGAGTTCTAATGAATAAACCTTTATTTACAGAACTTGCTGAAGTCTTGTGGAGCATGGTGTTGTCTTTGGGTTTAAATAAGGAGGGCTGGCTTGGCGGCATATTTTTGACCGTTGTCTTTGCCTTCTGGGCTGTTTTGACCGTTGGCATTCTAGTTTTGATGGAGGGTCTTTCAGCATTTCTGCACACACTGCGTCTACACTGGTATGCCTAACATTAAAAATAATTAATTCATATTATAATCTGTTGCCTTTGTAGGGTGGAGTTCCAGAGCAAATTCTATATGGGCCACGGCTATGCTTTTCAACCGTTTTCATTTGATACCATCATTGAAAATGGAACCGCAGCCACTGGTGAGACCGAATAGACGGTCTGCAGAATATAAACAGCAACCAAAGCTTGTCGAGAGTCTCATCGCTTATTCAATTTATATAGGTACACACAATATAAATGTTTAATGGAATTTAAATGAAATTTTCTTAGTAATCGTTCTTTAAATATATAATAATCGTGAATTTATGTAACGTATAGCCCAATAATATTATAATGTTCTTCATAGTCGCTTATCGTATTTACTCATAAATATAAATATATATATACATATATCCAAAGCGCCCGCTCCTGGCGTCAGCGCCAAAAAAAAATAGTTTTAATTTTAATGACGCATCAATTCATTTAATGCGGCCATAAATGTTTGCATATTTTCTGTAGCCGGCTCGTAGGGCCTAAGTGCTCCAAAATCCAATGAGGCGATTTTTATGCTAATCTCGTCCACTTTGCAGTAATACAAATACTGTTCGGATGCCAATTGGCGGGCTAATTCCATCTGATGGTTGTCCATCAGTTCGTCATTGATTACGATTAATCCTGCCTTGCCGTTGTTCAATATATCCATGCATGTTCCGGCACCCGCATGTCCAATAATGACATTAGCAGTTCTAATATCCTCAACATTTGGTCGGAATTTATATTGGTCAACTTGAATGCTGTATTTTTCATGAATGAGCTGAATCTCGGAGTCGGCTACCGGCGTAGAGTTGCCGTGCTGCAACACAAGTTTTTTGCACTTAAGCTTTTGTAATGCGTGCAAAACTGGTGTGGATGTCATTGCATTAATAAGTGCATCAAATTTTGTGGTACCAACAGTGACGTAGACAACAGTTAAATTCATTGTTACTCAGCAAGTATAGAAAACTAAAAACAATAACAATTCTGTTTAGAGATGTTAAGTTTTGATTATCGCAACACGTTCTTATTGCAATATTTGATATCGATTATTTAGAGCGATAACCTGACACCTCACAAACCGTTACTTGTTTGAAATTTGCATAGTGCAGGATGTTCAATAATTTTTAATTTATTTTTTAATTATTTATATTAAATGCTTTCCAAAACAATACTTTTAAAAAATTAATTATATTTAAGTTTACTTTTTAATAATATTATAAACTTAAGCATTAATTGTGTAAATATTTAAGTTAACAAATTGTTGGTGCATTGCAAAAATATTTCTAAGCACATTAGCCAGATAATTTGCATAATTGCGTGACGCTTATATATTCACTGTTCCTATTTCACCCACACTTAGGTCAAAGCTGTTACTCTTACTCTCCCTCTCTTGATTCGATTTCGATCTCAACGTACGCTGGATACAATTATGCTGTCGCTCTTGCTGTTGCGCTTTTAGTCATTGGTCGGCCGTTACACGTACAGGTTGTGTTGCCTCTTGCGCTGCTTCGGTTAGCTGGCTGATATGATATTTAAATTGCATTTATATGTATAAGCTAAAGCATCAGCGTAAAAAGCAAATTTATTTTTGTTGAAAATTAGATTTGTTTACTTTTATTCAATTAAAAAACGCGCGCCTGTGAAAGTGTTGCCGTGACCGCTAAAAATCTAGGCGAATTTAAATTTGCAATTGTATTGGTGACCATCGCTGGCTACAGTGTGTGTAGGTGTATGTGTATAAGTGCGAATGTGTTAGTGTTTACAAGTGCAGCGACGCCACTGAAACACAAACTGCATATAACAGTAAACCAGCAGAATAGCCGAAATTGAGAGAACTGTGGTAGGAAGCGATCCAGCGCAGCCGGCAGAAGAGGTAAAACACAATTTTCGTCGCAATATTTGGTTGTGTCATTTATGGCCGCGATAATTTAATTATTATTTTAATTTTTAATGTATAATGTGCTTGTCTTTCCCAAGATGCGCTATATATATATATGTATACATATATATATATATATATATATATATATATATATATATATATATATATGTGTGTGTATATGTGTAATTGTGCTATCGAGTCGTTACATATACATATGTAGGTATATTTTTATATTCACAATTGTATACACAATGCTGAAACCGTGAACTTATCAACACTTCATTTAATTCCATTTTTATTTCTGCACATTTCTAATTTGTTTATTTTGTATACAATACCCATTTAAGTTGTTCATGTTTTCGCACACATCGCCCAGCATCATTTTGAATTTTGCATCTGTTAAAGATAAACACAATTTGGCTGGATGCCGGCTTTATAGCTTCCAGACACTTGATATCTAAAAGTATACACATACATATGTGCTTGTATGTATGTGTGTGTGTATGCGTATGTGTATTTTGTCATGCTCTGGCAGGATCCATAAACAATTTGCCAAAATTTTCCTTCCGCTAGGCAATCATTTAATTATTTTTATAACCATTCATAAAAGCATGCATAAACATGTGCTGGCTAAAAAAATTCACTAAAAAAAGAAGAAAATGCTATTGAACTAAGTGATTTTTCTAATTCACTCAGCTGCCGAAATTTAATTAGTGCCCAAGTGCAAATTGGACTGGCCAGCCACTGATCACTTCTTTATGTGTAGTGGACTGAAGGGAGAGGAGACCCCAAGCAAACACAAACATAAACACACACGCACACACACATGCAAATATCATTATTATCAGAATCATAGGTCAACGTGCAATAAATTTAGATTTTATAGTCTCGTGTGTGCCACAGATAGCAACAGACTACGATGTAAAATTGTTTTGATGTTTTAATCATGTGGATTAGCAAACAAATACAAATACAAATACAGTGACAACTCGATTGACGAACTGACGTGCATCTTGTTTGAACAGAAATCAATATGGTTTAGTACAAACCAATTAATTGAAGACGCAAATACAATAACAATTCGAAGCAGCTCTTAAGCTAATTAATTGGATATTGGTTCAGCGGAGTCTTCACTGTATACAGATGTATGTTAATGAATATACCTAACTAAAGGCGCTTAGCAATTCATGTCCTTGTGTTAATTATTACTCGACAAGCCAAACAAGCAGATAACATCATCATCACTATTATCATCATCGGGTTTGCGCATTTGATCAATAAAATATTGCTATAAATTTGAACCCTCGCAATGGGACCACTGACCCCCCAATGGGAGAGCGTAGCCATATGAGCTTTACCATGCGGAGGCGTTGTATCATCTCAGTATTTGCGTTTTTTTGTTTTTAATGAAGGTCAGAGTGTCGACGTCGCCGACAGAGTGACCAGCGTTTAATTGTGGCAATTTGCAGCGGGCAGCAGATCAAATTAATGTCATAACTCAATTAGCCGGCATTCGGTCACTCATATGCAAATGGGCGAAGTGTGTTTATACAGATATAGATAAATGGGGACGTTTCAGTCCTTCACGGAGTTGACAGATGTATGCATGTAATAATGAATCACAATGATAATGACCAATTCAAGCCGGCCTTTCCAAACAGGTATTGACCTCATGCCAGTTAAGTTAGCTTACTTTCATATAGGAGAGCACTTGTAGAATATATTTAATTAAAGTCAGACATTTTTGTTAATATATGAAAACATGACACAGTGGGGGTTTTCTCTAAGTGTATTCGTTACAAAGGAATTCTTTCACATACAACTATGATTTACAAACAAAAATAAGCGAAAAGTACAATAACTAATTTAAACGTTTTTCATGCATATAATAAACTATTAGACGAAAAGTTGTTAAGCCCGATTTGTGTTTGTCATAGTATAATGAATTGTTGTTCGGTTGTAAAATTCAAGTTTTTAGCTTGCGGCTCAGCTGACGATCTATGTATGTCTATGTGTCTGCGGTACGTCATAGCACTTAAGCAAGTTTTGCGTAAGTCTTAACACAACTAAGAATTCATTTAAAATGGAAATAACCTTTCTTATGGATTTCCCATTGTTCTGCAAACACTAGCAATTAACTGCATGTTAATTCCCAATTATAAGCTGGTTTCATCTAAATGACAATCTGATGGATTTGATAGAACTGCAGAATATATTACGATTTTCATAAAATTTTCCAATTAGACAGAGTTTTATAAATTGTATTTACATAGCTGAAGCTGGAAGTAACGCTTTGGCTTAGACTTCAATTGCATTGTTCCGAAATGAGAAGCTCGATTTAATGTTGAGACATTTTCCCACTAAGTGCACCATGCAAGGGGGAAATTTGAGAAACTTGCTCAACTGGAACTTTTCTGAAGGGCTAAATTATATAATTATGCACACATATTTCCATTAAATATCATTTACAACCCTTCATCTTGACCACGAGAAACGTGCATGTCTGCTCGATTTGATCAGCGCAAGTCGCGAGGGTTGAAGGAAACCACTGAAGTGGTCGTTGCTGGGATTGATAAATAACGTGCAACTGCAACCTGCATCAGCCTGATGCATATCGAGTTACCGAGTGCGTTACAACCACAGAGCAAGCTTTCGTTTAGGCGTTGCAAATTGTAGCGGAAGTGGAAAAGGAAGTGGATGTGGAAGTGGAAGTGGAAGTGGTGTAGTCCTCACTTACAGCTAATGGTTGACATGTTCCTCTGCACAGGTTAAAGCATCGACATGGTCGTCAAGGAAATGCCCCTGCACGAGAATCTCAGCCTGGAAAGCCGACACGGCAATGCTATGGCAATGCCTGCCAGTAGCAACCCGCCAGCAACCACAACCACATTCTCAAGGATGGGACGACGTTATAGCGTGTCCCTAACGACGGCGGTGCTGCTGGCATCCTTCTTCGTTTGCACACTGCTCGCGGTTGGCTTTATCGTCTACAATTTTGCGACTTGCGCACAGCTGGAGGCGGCACCCGGCGAGGATATTGTATGCACCAGCGTCCATTTGCGCAACTCGAAGCACTCAAAGGGCGCCAGCGATGGTCCCAAATACGATCAGGATGTTCGCCTGCCATCCTCCATACAGCCCCTAAAGTACAACATCACATTGGAGCCACAGATGAGCGGAAATTTCAGCTTCACGGGCAGCGTTCAGATACGCGTGCGTGTGCTCGAGGATTGCTATAACATAACCATGCACGTCGAGGACCTGAATATTACACGCAACGATGTGGGCGTCTATCGTGCACTGCCTGGTGGCAAGGACGAGTGGGAGACAAACAGTCTGCGCATCCACAAGCAGTATCTAGTGGGCGCCAAGCAGTTCTTCATCATCCAGCTGTACGATAAATTGTATCGCGGCTCTGAATATATGGTGGACATTCGCTTTGCCGGCATTATAAAAGACTACTTGCAGGGTTTCTACCGCAGTTCCTACGAGGTGCTCAACGAGACCAGGTGAACTACATGTGCTACTCTTGGTTTATATTATAGCTAAGGTCTGTTCCTCTTTATCTTAACCAGGTGGCTGGCGTCAACACAGTTCCAGGCTACGGATGCACGACGCGCCTTTCCCTGCTTCGATGAGCCGGCGCTTAAGGCCAATTTTACACTGCACATAGCGCGACCTCGTCACATGACTACCGTCTCCAACATGCCTATTATCTACAGCAACAACCAGTAAAAACCTTCCTTCATTTACCAAACAACATTGAAGCTTAATATCATCTTTCTTATATAGCGAATCGCTGGGCAACTATGTGTGGGATCACTTTGCCGAATCGCTGCCTATGTCCACCTACCTGGTGGCCTATGCCATCACCGACTTCAAGCACATCTCATCGGGCAACTTTTCAGTCTGGGCACGTGCCGATGCCATCAAATCAGCCGAGTATGCGCTGAGCGTGGGTCCCAAGATTCTTGATTTTCTGCAGAACTTTTTTGGTATCCCGTTTCCGTTGCCGAAGATCGATATGATCGCGCTGCCGGAATTTCAAGCTGGCGCTATGGAAAACTGGGGCCTTATTACATTCCGGGAAACGGCCATGCTGTACGATAAGGGCGTGGCCACAGCCAGCAACAAACAGCACATTGCCTCTGTGGTGGGGCACGAGTTGGCCCATCAGTGGTTCGGCAACCTGGTCACGCCCAGTTGGTGGTCGGATATTTGGCTAAATGAAGGCTTTGCCAGCTACATGGAGTATCTGACAGCGAATGCCGTGGCGCCCGAGTGGAAGTTGCTCGATGAATTTGTAGTTAATGAAATGCAGACTGTATTCCAATTGGATGCGCTAGCATCCACTCATAAGATCTCGCAGGAGGTTGGCAATCCGCAAGAGATTTTCGAATTGTTTGATCGGATCTCATATGCCAAAGGCTCAACTGTGATCCGCATGATGAGCCACTTTCTCACCGATACAGTTTTCAGGCGAGGACTCAGCAAGTATTTGAGCGAAATGGCATACAAATCGGCCACCCAGGATGATTTGTGGCGCTTTCTGACCGACGAAGCAAAAACCTCGGGCTTGCTGGATAGCAGCACAAGTGTGAAGGCAATCATGGATACCTGGACCCTACAAGCTGGCTATCCGATGGTCAAGATCTCGCGCCACCCCAACTCGGATGCTGTACGCCTGGACCAGGTGCGTTTCGTTTACGGTAACAGCAGCAACGCGGACGGCCATCCGCTTTGGTGGATACCCATCACATTTACGACTGCGGGCGAACTTAATTTTGATAATACACGACCGACCACGTGGATACCGCGTACGAAAACGTACGAGCTGGAAAATCGCAACCTTTCCACAGCCAAATGGTTTATATTCAATATACAGCAAACGGGCTTTTACCGAGTCAACTATGATTTAGATAACTGGCGTGCGGTGACTGAGCATCTAATGGACGCGAATCAGCACGTTCAAATTGCTCCCGCCAATCGCGCCCAGCTAATTGATGACGTCATGAATTTGGCCCGTGGTTCCTATCTGTCATATGACACGGCCTTGAATCTAACTCGCTATCTTGCATATGAGACGAACCGTGTGCCCTGGAAGGCAGCCATTACAAACTTTAACTTTATCGATTCCATGTTTATTAATTCGGGTGATTATGATTTGCTTAAGGTATGTTAAGTATTCACTGCATTTCTCGGATCGTGTGAAGCTCACATTGATTACCTTTTCAGAACTACCTATCAAAACTGCTAAGCAGGGTGTACAACGAGGTGGTGGACAAAGATTCGCAGAGCGATAACGAAAACATTCCGCTGCTGTTGAAACGTTTCGAAATATTGAGCATGGCCTGTCATCTGGGCCAACAGCAATGCATCTCAGATAGCACCAAGCAATTCCAAAACTGGGTGCAGTCTCCCAATCCCGATTCATATAACCCGTACGTTTTTGAAAGTGATAAAGGCTATTGTTAATTTATATATCTTCTATATCTATATCTATATATACTGCAGAATCAATCCAAATATGCGTGGCATCGTTTACTGCGCGGCCATACAATATGGCACGGAACACGAGTGGGACTTTGCATTTGAGCGCTATTTGAAGACGAATGTACCGGCGGAGAAGGAGCTGTTGCTGAGCGCGTTGGGCTGTTCCAAAGAACCTTGGCTGCTCTATAGATATCTGCGTCGTGCTGTGACCGGCCAACACATACGTAAGCAGGACGTATTCCGTGTCTTTGCAGCCGTCTCGAACACAGTGGTGGGTCAGCAGATTGCCTTTAACTACTTACGCAACAATTGGTCGGACATAAACACTTAGTAAGGTGCAGAGTACCTCAAGGAAACCCTTATGTAATTATTATTTAATTCCAGCATGGGCTCACAGATATCCAACATTCATACGCTGCTTAAGTTTGCCACCAAGCGCATGAATTCGAAATTCCAACTGTCTGAGCTGGAGGAGTTTGTCCGGGATGCGCATTGGGCGTATGACAGGCCTATTCAACAGATCTTGGAACAGGTGGACATTAGCGTAGACTGGATGAACCGCAATTACAAGCCGATTGTCAAATGGCTGCAGCGTGAGGCAGGAACACAACCCACGTAGGCACAAGCCGCAGACCGCGCTCCAGCTCGCAGCTGGGCTGCAGCAGTATTACATTTTGTAACAAATGTGAAATTCGTAATTTTTAGCATCGGGCAACCAGTGCATTTATGTATTTATGTGTATGTTTTAGTATTTATATCGATTATCATCACGCGCAGTCAAAGCCAAAGAAACAACTGAAGCGCTTGAAGAAACTATTTAATGGGTGGTCATTCGACGTCCTTGCAAAATATAAACAAATCGTTTGTAACGTTTTTTACTTTTAAAGTCCTTTTTAATAAGAACTAGGAGAACCCAGTACTTTTATTTCGTATATTCTTATATTGTACTTAAATGTAAATTAAATAATCATTATTTGTTCAAACTCGTATATACTTTTGAGCATTTTGTTGTTCAATGGAATGTTTAATCACTTTTCACAGCATTTCTTCTCAAACGACCAACTGGAAAACTAGGGACATTGGCAAACATCAAAGTGCCCACAAACACGAGTATAGTGCCCAACCAGTGATAAATGGTAAACGGATTACGAAAGTATACAATAGAGAAAACTAACGATACGAATTTGCGCAGTGTCAAAATCAACGTGACAGTCAAGGAGCTGCACTCGGTAGTCAGAAAATATACAGAGCTAATGCATAAATGCTGCATCAGCACATTTCCAAACAAATAAAGCAGCAACAGCGGCACAACCATATCACCCAACCATGCAAATCTGCAGGTTTCAGTTTCCATAGCCAAAGTCCAATGCGCTTTTATGTTGTCATGCATAAGCAAAAACGCAGGTAGTGGCAACAGGTGTGTATAAAAAAGTGCCTCGCGAGCGCACTTGCCATGTTTGCGATACAAGAGCTCCTGGGTAATGCCCATATACGAGGAGATGAATAGCGCGATCACTAGTAGCAGCACACCAACTAGCCACCAAAATATGTTTGCTTTGTCGGCAGTGTCGTCATGTCCCTCACCCAGGCCTACAGCCTGACTAGAGAAATAGGTGCAGATAAAAATGCCCAGGGTAATCAAGATAACTGCTATATACTGTTTAACCCGATACTGACGTTTGAGTATTATGGTGCCAAGGCACATGTTCGATATGAGACTACCTCCACGGATTATCATGTGCAGCGTCATGGGCACATTCAAATGGAATACATAGTTATTGCACACACTTGTCAGAAAAAACATGGCCACAAGCAAGCCATAGTCCCGCAGACTTATCACGCGTTTTACAGTACCGAATTTGGAAGTGAAGACGAATCCCTCCAAGGCAATAAATGCAAATTGTCCAGCGGTAACCAGATTACCTGCACCCGGATCCAATTTGACGATCGATTCCAGAAATACAACACCACAACAACATCCAATAAAGACATTGGCAGTTGCAAAACAAGCGCGAAGATTCATTGCACTAACCATGCATTGGACTGAAAATATTGCAATAAATATCTCTAAATTCACTAATGACTTTAAAACTAAACTCACCTTTGGCCATATATTTAGGCCATTGGCCATTTGCCCAGCAACTTTCTTCTGCCCATGTCAACAAAAACAAACGCCACAGGTGAGTTTAGTCTGCCCTGAGGGATGGCACGCTAATTAAATGACGGACATATTCAATTATCCGCAAAAATTTAATCAAACATTAAATCGTTCTTAAGTTACTGATTCTAATGTATTTTAAAAATTTAATCATACATACATTTTTGAAAAACAATAAAATGTTATCAAATCAAATTATGTGCACATCAGAGTAAATCTAACAAGTTGAGTTGGATCATTTGAGCAAGTGTTTCTTGCTCCGGTTTAAATACGTTAAAACAGTTCCGATTTAACAGACTTTACATTACCAATACTCCGACTGTTAGTATTTTGAGCGATCTGTTAAGTTAACATTGTGACGTTACATTTTTACAATCGTGCTTCCGCTTTGATCTTTTTATGAATATGGAGCACTTTTAATTCTTTTTTCTCTCTTATATACAGAAATACATTGAGTTGTTTTAATTTGAAGAGACACAGTTATTTATTTATTTTTGGTTACAATTGTCGTCACTACATCGTACTAATGACTTAGCTTGAAAAAAGAAATAGTTGAAAACTCCATCGGAAAGTTAAGTCCATTAAAGTAAAGTCAGAGTAAATAAATTAGACATGTGCTTTACTTCACAAAACCAATTCTATTTTAGGCATGGATATATAATAGGTCCCTTTAGATATGTGTTATTTATTTTCATATAATAAAGTCAAGTGAACTACTATTGACAAAGCTCCAAAAGGTATTTTTATGCATATTCGGGTGCCATATTTAAGTTTATTGCTTAATTATTTAGCCAATATGTTGCGTAAGATATAAATAGCTCGCTGCCAAAGAAGGCCAGGCTAATTGTAATACCCAATAGATACGCTAACAGGACTTCAAAAAGGTCCTGAGTCATTAACGAATGGAAACTACGCTTTTCGCCAAATTCCCGAATTTTCAATTTGCCCGCTTGAACCATATAGTAGAAACTCTTGGCCACCCAATAGTTATGCAAGCCCGATTCACTCAATTGCAAGATGAAGTGATGCAGCGTGGCACGATGCGGCGAGTTCTCCGGAATGACCAAGGCAAAGGGCACATATTGGTAGAAGCAAAAGTTCTCTGAATAGTAGAACAACGGCCGTGCGCTGTATGACAGCTGCTCCGCGTACAGCTGCCATTTGGTATGGGTTACGGTGTAGGCGTAGGTTGTGTTCAGAGAGTTGCGCAGCCATATCAGCTCCGGCATCTTGTCGCTGAGGTAAAATGCCTGCGCGTATTTGGTGCGCATATCGAAATCATACAAATTATGCTCAGACCGCATTCCGAAGATGCGCAGCTTGGAATTGACAAGGGCATCAAAGTTGGGGATGGGCGGCTTGTCGGGGGGCGCAACAAACAGCATAAGCAGTCTGCCCTGCACATTGCAGGTCAACATTATGGCCAACACCTTCCAGCCAATGCCAAGATAATGCCTATAACGCTGCCAACGACTTTTCAACTGATCGTGGATCAGCCAGAGCACTGCCAACAGGCAGAAGGTGAGCGCTGGCATCATCCACATGTACGCCTCTCGCATATCCACGAGCTGCTGCCTGGGCAGCATTGTACACCAGCTGGCGATATTTGCTGGATATGCGTACTCATGGTAGCGGTCCAGATGACGCAGCGTTAATGGTTGCACGCTTGCCGCAATATCCACGATGTTATCGCGTGCCAGGTCCAACACTTGGATGTGGGTCAGGTACTTTTGCTCTCTAACCTCGTCGATCAGTTGCAAGCTGGCATTGTGTTTACGTGAATACTCCTCCAGCATTTTCCAAACGTAGCCAAGCAGCCTCAAATTGCCTTCCTTATCGCGATAGAGTATGGTGTTCGGTTCAGAGAGGTCTGGCATTGTGCGTATACTGAACCCCATTAAATCAATCGTTTTGTCCGGATATATGTTGTACTGATCCGAAAATGTTTGACTCCTCAGCATGAAGCCGGGATACGCATCGTAGACGTACAACGTCTTTGTGTTCCCAAAGTTTCCAGAGATTGTGGCAACGTTTAGCATGTGATTTTGCAGACAATACTGCAACACTCGGCTAACCAAAGGCACATCCTCATTGGTGGCCAATTCTATGAGTAGTTTGGTCTGCCGCATGTAGCGCAAGCTGGTTGAAATTGTTTTTAGCAAATCGAGGCGAAAGAGTCCAGGTAAACAGGCCACGACTACAAGCTGTGCATTGATCAGGCTGTGCAGCTTCAAGGCATCCACTGACCGCCACAGCAGCAAGGGAATGCTCTTACCCATCCATGATAGCAAACTATCAAATTGACACAGTTCCTTTCCATCCTCAGGATCAAAATATACGATTGTACTAATGCTGTTGAAGCGAAGAATGGCCGAGAGAAGTTCAGCGTAGATTTTAAGACTATCATTCATGGCTAAGCACTCAAAGCAACTGACTGTTAGCATTAGCCAATAATTACTATTCGAGGACTTAAGGATGTGCCTCTACTGCTCTTTCGATTCCGGGTATGTTCTGAATTCCAGTAACTACAATAGCTAAACAATTAACAATCAAGCTAAATCACATTCGAACGTAGTCACACGCATATATATGAGTGCTCAGCAATTAAATAGACTTGAAATGTTTTACTTTAAAGCAAAATCCTGAACGCTTCAAGATTCGAGCTCGCATCTCCACAATAAATTCTAAGTAATTTTCTTTAACATAATCATAGACAAGATTCGAACGAATCTTCACCTCAACACCTTAGAAAGAGAACATTAATATACAGGTGAGACAAGCATAATTAAATCACCATCTCAGCTCTATTAATAGAAGTCCATGCAAATGCCGGACACAGGTGGTGGCAATGCCAATAACTCTCTTAATTTCATATTTTCAGTTTTAATAATTTTACTACTGTTTTGAACTTATTCAGAAGCATAAACACTTACAGCAGAGTATTTAACAACTGCCATTCAGGTAAGGTATGTTGTGTTAATGATGTGTTACGGCTGGAGCTCTTACAATGTATCTAGGCAAACATTGATACAGTACACAAGCAACTCAAATACAAATATCAGAATTGATACGGCCATTGCGTAGCCATACAAAAGCAGAACAAAATCTGGGTCAACGTATCTCATTGGCGCTATTTCGATTCGGGTGCTTAAAGTGCCGAAAGCTACTTTTTCTATACCATGTTGATTCATATAAACATTTAGGATTCGGCTTTGCACACCGTATAATCAAATAATGCATTACAACTATTTTGTGACAATTAAAATGTGTATCAGAAGCGGTCTTCTTAGCGAACGCCGTCCATGCATCCATTGATTCCTCGAGCTTGAGGTTGATGAAGAAATTAAGGTATTGATATTTTTTGTCCGCATGGCATATGCTGCTGACGAGATCTTATGTTGTAAGCTAGTGCTATTTTATTTTCCTTTATCAGAATAGTTCACTGTATCAAAGCTAACGCCTTTCTTCAACGAAAATAATAGCTGTAAGTTATTTCAAGCTGTCAGTGCTCAAAATTGTATTGACAGTATTTAATAGGAGGAAGAATTTAATATAAGCATCTTGAATGTCAAATTGTTCACCTGTTTTATGAACTTTCTTCAGTTGAATAACATTGTTGTCTTTTAAAATTTGGGTATGTAGAATTTGCTTGATTTACAAAAGGGGGAAGGAGGTTTGGCAGATCCCGCAGTCCTGTCAGTGCGTCTGTCTGTTTGACTGTCCGGCTGTCCACATGTGTAAACGTCTCTGCTTACTCGTCCGGTCGACCGGACAGACTGACGGGTGAACAGACGGTCCGTTCGTCCCGTTTTATTGTTATCGATTAAAAGCGTTATCGAAATTCAATTATGATATTGTATTTCATACGTTTTAACAGCTGAAGTATTTATTTATTTTTAATAGGACGGTCTTCAGGGTATCTCCTAGTCAAGCACCGTCGACTACTGCGTTATTATTAGTTAATTTTCAACCATTTTAATAGTGTTTTATTAATATAAATGTATAAACATTAAGAATAAATGCAGAAGAGTTTTAAACAACTACCATTCAGATTACAAATGTGTTATGTCTTACAATATATCAAGGGAAACATTGATATAGTGGACAAGCAGCTCGAATACAAATACCAGCATTGATGCGCCTAATGTGCGTACATATAACAGCAAAACAAAGTCCAGGTCAATGTATTTTAGTGGTGCTAATTCGATATGATGACTAAAGTCCTCCAGCTTCTGATGACCCGCATGGAGCGAATCGAAAAAATGTTGTTTCATATAAAATTTAAGGATTCCACTTTGTTGCAACCAAAGGATGTGTAAATTTAGCTGATGGCGAAACAAAAAATTTTCTCGATACAATACAGAATTAAGAGAGTGCTCATAAATACATATATCATTTGAGTAACGAAAGACTGGCCGTTTAAAGAACTCTTGCAGGTCCGCATATAAGTTCCATTTGGGGCCGTATACCGTATAGCCATATGAGGTGTTAAGACTATTTCGTAGCAACACAAATTTTGTGTGGTTCTCGTATAATATGAATGATGATGCGTATTTAATTCGCATTTCCTCAGGATAGGCATAAAATTCAGAACGTAATCCGACTATCTGCAATCTGGCTGCCCGCAACTGCTCCAAATTGGAAATAAATTGAAGTCTGTGTGGCCGAATAAACAGAGCCGAAAGCTGCGCCACCACCGTGCAGAGCAGAGTGAGTTGAATCAGTGAGGGGATTAATCTAAGGAGCGGTCTTCTTAGCGAACGACGTCCATCCATCCATCGAGTCAAACAGTATATAATGGATATATAGATCCACATCCAGGGCGATTCAAAGACACCTCTTATGGCCTCACTAGGAGTTAGCCTACGCTCAACTGGCAGCATAGTGCACCAACTACTAATGGCAACGGGAAAACTGAACATGGCAATGGTGTTTTTCGTCGAGATAGTCATTGGAAAAATGCTGGATGTAACGTCAATTTGTCCATTTTGCGTATGCTGCAGAAGTTTGAAATATCCGTTCTTAATAGAGCTGACTTGCTTCGTAGCGGGATCTAAGCTCAGTTCTAGGGTGGCGTTTAATTGGCGTGCGAACCCCATAATTAGGCGCCAGAGCATGCCAGTAGTTATTTCATTTCCGTTGCGGTCTTTGTACATAAATACATACGGCTGCGATAGATCTGGTCGTGTCCTTATAATCTGTCCATGTAAATTGGCCAGCTTATAGGGATAGAGGAGCGACCTTGCACTGTAGAGCTGTGATAGTAGTCGAAATGTAGGAAACATCTGATAGGCGTAAAGATTGCGTGTGTTCAAGAAATCGCTCAATAGCAGCAGCACATTCGGAATAAGCAGATCCTGGCACTGCTTAAGAATCTTACGGATCACTTCCAGTTCATTGGGTTGACGCGAATCCTTGATGCAAAGCTGTATCACTAGAGGCACCTCCCTCATGTGGTTAAGCGTAATGCTCAGCGCGTTCAACATTGGTTGATAGAGGTCAATGTCCAAGCAAACCAAGCCCAGCATATTAACATCTTGATGTTCCTTTAAATAGGGCATATGAAGCCGATTGCTCCAAACCAATGTGGTGGCGCTTAGGTTGCTCTCACTCAATAGTTTTTCAATCCAGCAGTCACTTCCTGTTGTCGTATAATACAAAATTGTCCCGAAGTTTAACTCAGTTATCAAATGCAACCAGAAGCTAGCCAGTTGCACTGTTTCGGCTCTGGGCCAATCGTCCAAGGGCTGTTGATTCAGCCACATTTTGATTAGAACTATTGGATTTACGATTGGTGTTGAATGCCTTTATAAGCGCACTGCAGAATTGTAGTGTCAGCATGTTTAAGGGCTGACTTGCAGCTGTAAGTAGTAGTAGCCAGTAAATATTGAATATCCTGATAGCGATGTTAATGAGCACAATTAAAGCTATAATAAAGCAAGAACTTAACCATGAAGTTCACTATTGGTGAGTTGCTTTTTCGAATATTCTGTCACGGTTCAAAAGCAATTAAACCTTTTAAAAATCAAAACATCATATTAAAGCTCTCTAATGAGCAGACAAATAAATCAAATTTAAATTGGAAGAGACCAACTGTGCTCCACATGGTAAATTATGCAAATTTACTTCTAAAATTAATTATATCTGGTAGTTTGGTTTTATCGATCGAAGCAGTCATTGCATGGAAAATGGACTGCGTTTGGTGTATTGTGTAATATAAATTGCTCAATTTTGTTTAGCTTATTCTTATCTCACTATTTCATCGCCGGTTAACAAAAATGTATATATTCACACCTATTGGGAACGTGGCAAAAATCAAAGATTCATCCTTTCCTGATACATTCATCTTTCTTCTTCCTTTATGCTCATGAAGATTGCCGAAGGGAAGAGATGGGGTATCGACAACTATTAGTTTATTTAATTTCGCATATTCGATAGCCCCTCTAATGACTTTTTTTGTATGATCAAATAATGTCCCCTTCTAACAGTAGGGAAGTTGTTTTACTGACTTCTTCTTTAAGAGACCCTAGTATTGATCAAATTTTGAAGATACAGTAGCTTTGCAATTAAACTCGGATAATAATAATAGTGTTGATCTTGGTTTGTTTGGCAAATCATTTGTACCACAGTTCATATTGTGAACTGGTTCGATTTTCTTTTTGCTTATCGGAATAGTTAATTCGAATTTATTCATCACTTTAAATGCTTTTCAGCTGCCATTTCTCAAATTGGCATCAAATGAAATTTTAACAAGAGAGGTATTTATTAGAAGGAAGAAGTATTTAAGAGAAACAGCTGTAGCGCTGAATGCTGTTCATAAAATTTATGATTTAATCTTTATTTAGTGGCGTGGAATATGCTACCTATTTGGCATCGAGTTTGCAATGAAGCTTGATTTTATATAAATATGTCAATCAAAATTTTAAAAATTCTTTCGATCCTCGTACTTCTCTACATTTTCTAGAGGAAATGTATGTCTTAATATTCTGCCTGCAGTCTCTACAGCTCGTTCTATAGTTGCTCGAAGTGTTCCTAAGCTTGTTGATACTCAGATTCAGTAGTCTCAAAGTTGAAATTACTTTTTATTTTATCTGTTGTCACCATGTTGCCTGAAAGGCGCTTGCCAACGTGGAAGTTTGGTACGGTTAATACACTTTAATTGTTCTGTTCTAATGTTGAGATCTACGTCCATAGATTCTAATCTTTTTAAGTGCCAAACTAAGTGGTGGCGCCTGAACTAGTTGACGTTTAATGTGTTCTGTATGTTGCCATTGGTGGTGGTTAAGCCACAGTCTGTGCGCTCGGTGTTGCGTAAGGATCACTTGGTGGCCAATTTAAGGTTTAAGGTTCTATGGATAATGATAAAGCTCAGTCCGCAACTATGTTGAGTTGGTAAATGATGTCATCTATTCCATTATTCACTCCTTTTAATTTATAATTTTTATCTTAATGATTAACTTACATAAGAGCTGAAGATATGGTCATTCTTGCCTACTGTTTTTATTTCATTCAATACAGACGAATGGTCAAGCGGTCGAATGCGTGATCCACCGATGAGATGTTAGCAATTAAGTGCGGAAGTGTGAATAATTATGTTCGGAGTAAGGCAGTTCTTTCGCTGACAGCGAATCTTCTTGGGATTCTTTCACAGCTTAAGTATTGATTTTGGTACGCCGATAGATTGAACAAAAAATCTTTTTGTTATATCATGCGAACGCATCCTTTGATGGACCTCCTAGGGGGCCATTCAACTCTTTATATAGTAAAAACGCAAATAAAGTTTTTGTTTGCACCAATTACAACCTCTTTATTCACAAAGCATTTGAGGACTACATTTCGTACAGGCAATTCTTCTCTAAGCTAGCTGTGAGTAAGCGACAACAGTGCATCTCTGGGTTCGTTGTAAGTATATTAATATTTTTTGTTGTTGACTTTTTAACAATTTTACTAGTGTTTAATATATTTGAATGTATAAACATTAAGAATAAGTACAGGTGAGTATTAAACAAAAACTATTCAGATTAGAAATGTCTCAATAATTTGGTTTCGGCTAGAACTCTTACAATATATCCAGGGAAACTTTGATAAAGTTGATAAGCAACTCGAATACAAATATTAGAATTAATACGACCATTGCGTAGCCATATAACAAAAGAACAAAGTCCAGGTCCGCGTATTTTAGTGGCCCTATTTCATTCTGCGTACTTAAGTCCTCCAGCTTCTGATGACCCGCATGGAGCGAATCAAAAAAATGTTGTTTCCTATAAAATTGGATAATTCCGCTTTGACGCAACCAAAGGATGTGTAAATTTAGTTGATGACGAAGCAAAAAATTTTCTCGATACAGAACAGAATTAAGTGACTGCTCATAAATACAAATATCGTCTGAGTAACGAAAGACTGGCCGCTTAAAGAAGTTTTGCAACTCCGCATAGAAATTCCATTTGAGGGCGTATACTGTATAGGCATATGATGTATTAAAACTATTTCGTAGCAATTCAAATTCGGTGTTGTTCTCGTATGATATGAATAACGATGCATACTTGATTCGCATTTCCTCAGGATAGTTATTGAAGCTGGAACGTGATCCGACTATCTGCAATCTGGCTGCCCGCAACTGCTCCAAATTGGAAATAAATTGAAGTCTGTGTGGCCGAATAAACAGAGCCGAAAGCTGCGCCACCACCGTGCAGAGCAGAGTGAGTTGAATCAGTGAGGGGATTAATCTAAGGAGCGGTCTTCTTAGCGATCGACGTCCATCCATCCATCGAGTCAAACAGTATATAATGGATATATAGATCCACATCCAGGGCGATTCAAAGACACCTCGTATGGCCTCACTAGGAGTTAGCCTACGCTCAACTGGCAGCATAGTGCACCAACTACTAATGGCAACGGGAAAACTGAACATGGCAATGGTGTTTTTCGTCGAGATAGTCATTGGAAAAATGCTGGATGTAACGTCAATTTGTCCATTTTGCGTATGCTGCAGAAGTTTGAAATATCCGTTCTTAATAGAGCTGACTTGCTTCGTAGCGGGATCTAAGCTCAGTTCTAGGGTGGCGTTTAATTGGCGTGCGAACCCCATAATTAGGCGCCAGAGCATGCCAGTAGTTATTTCATTTCCGTTGCGGTCTTTGTACATAAATACATACGGCTGCGATAGATCTGGTCGTGTCCTTATAATCTGTCCATGTAAATTGGCCAGCTTATAGGGATAGAGGAGCGACCTTGCACTGTAGAGCTGTGATAGTAGTCGAAATGTAGGAAACATCTGATAGGCGTAAAGATTGCGTGTGTTCAAGAAATCGCTCAATAGCAGCAGCACATTCGGAATAAGCAGATCCTGGCACTGCTTAAGAATCTTACGGATCACTTCCAGTTCATTGGGTTGACGCGAATCCTTGATGCAAAGCTGTATCACTAGAGGCACCTCCCTCATGTGGTTAAGCGTAATGCTCAGCGCGTTCAACATTGGTTGATAGAGGTCAATGTCCAAGCAAACCAAGCCCAGCATATTAACATCTTGATGTTCCTTTAAATAGGGCATATGAAGCCGATTGCTCCAAACCAATGTGGTGGCGCTTAGGTTGCTCTCACTCAATAGTTTTTCAATCCAGCAGTCACTTCCTGTTGTCGTATAATACAAAATTGTCCCGAAGTTTAACTCAGTTATCAAATGCAACCAGAAGCTAGCCAGTTGCACTGTTTTGGCTTTGGGCCAATCGTCCAAGGGCTGTTGATTCAGCCACATTTTGATTAGAACTATTGGATTTACGATTGGTGTTGAATGCCTTTATAAGCGCACTGCAGAATTGTAGTGTCAGCATGTTTAAGGGCTGACATGCAGATAGGAGTAGCCAATAGCGGTGTTAATTAGGCAAATTAAAACTATAACAAACAAAAACAAGTATGTCTTATTTCAGATTGGTAAAAATTCAATTTAAAAATTTAATTGAATATTTTATTCAGAGTAAGATTTCACAAGAAGAATATTATAATTTCAAATAATAACTAACTTTATATACAAGAGCAAGTAAATATTTTAAATAATTAATAATTTATAATTAAAAATTTTTGTATTTTATACCATAATAAAATACAATAAGATACATTGCATCACGCTGATGTGCGTTTGTTACTGTTAATGTAAATGGATTTAAGATTATATATATTTACTTAAGCATATAAAAATTCAATAAATTTAATTTAATATTTATTAATTATTTTGCACTTAGCTGTAAATTAATTTAAATTAAAATATATCTTGTTCATAATACCGTTAAATTAAATTATATTCGATTAATGAATGTGCTGTACTCAACTTCACATATCGTTACTTTAAAAATAATAAGTAACAGTTACTGGTTATGGAGTATCGCACATCTCTATGAGAACTCGCGGTGACTGTCGCTCTCTCCTTCGCATCAATTTTGCGAGCCCGTCACAGTTTTCTTTTCCATACTGGCGTTATAATTCTTACTGGTTTTCAATTGCATATAATAATAAAATAGAGTTTAACTTGTAACAAGAGTGAAATGAGCGAAACTATTAACACCGCGGCCCAGTTTCCGAGCTTCGAGAAACCGACCGTGCAGTTTAACGAAAAGGGCTGGGGACCATGCGAGCTGCCGGACACGTTTAAGGATGTCCCGTACCAGCCATTCAGCAAGAACGATCGCCTGGGCAAGATCTGCGATTGGACAAGCACCTCCAATAATGACAAGAAGTATCAGAGTAAGTTTCATCAAAGTTTATATTTCGCATATGCACAAAAGTGAGGTTATGTTCAAATGCCTTCGTTTTGTTTGTATGTGTGTCGTGGCAACCAATTTGAGACTACTCTTTTGCTTACAGACAAATATGCTTCTACGTTTGGCACCGGCAACCAATATGCCTATTATCACGAGGAAGACGAGACAACTTTCCATCTAGTAGACACGGCTCGAGTTCAGAAGCCACCGCATCAACGCGGACGCTTCCGCAACATGCGTAATTCACGATCAGGACGCGGCCGCAATGCACGCGGCGGTCTTAATACGCACGGTCATGGCATGACTACGCTGAACAGTAAGAATGTGAAGGCGCGTGATCCTCGCCGCGGTGTGGGTAAGCGATTTGGAAACCGTGGTCCGCCACCGAAGATGCGCGAGTCTTCGGTAGCTGTGCGCGCTGACTGGGCCTCCATTGAAGAGATGGACTTCCCGCGTCTCATCAAGCTTTCTTTGCCGAACATTAAGGAAGGCGAAGATATTACAACTTGCGGCACTCTTGAATACTATGATAAGACGTACGATCGCATCAATGTAAAGAACGAGAAACCACTGCAGAAGATTGATCGGATTGTACATACGGTAACCACAACTGACGATCCAGTCATACGTCGTCTTTCCAAAACGATTGGTAATGTGTTTGCCACTGATGCCATTTTGGCTACCATTATGTGCTCGACGCGCTCCAACTACTCGTGGGATATTGTCATAGAAAAAGTTGGTAAGGTATCTGTTGCTTATAATCAAAATATCTGTTCTAACCATACTTTGAATTTCAGGCGAGAAAATCTTCATGGACAAACGCGACCATACAGAATTTGATTTGCTAACTGTGAATGAGACTAGCGTTGAACCACCAACTGATGACGACAGCTCGTGCAATTCGCCACGTAATCTGGCCATTGAGGCAACTTTTATAAATCATAACTTTAGCCAGCAAGTGCTCAAAACCGGTGACCAGGAGGCCAAGTATAAATTTGAAGAAACCAATCCCTTTATAAGCGAAGATGAGGATATCCAGGTGGCTAGTGTTGGCTATCGCTACAAGAAATGGGAACTAGGAAGCGACATTGTAAGCAATGGCTAAATTCCACACTACCGTAATTAGATTAATTAACAAAACTTAACAGGTTCTTGTAGCTCGCTGCGAACATGATGGTGTGTTGCAAACTCCAAGTGGAGAGCCTCAGTTCCTCTCCATCAAGGCACTAAACGAATGGGACTCAAAACTGGCCAATGGCGTTGAGTGGCGCCAGAAATTAGATACGCAACGCGGAGCAGTGTTGGCTAACGAGCTGAGAAACAATGCCTGTAAGCTGGCCAAGTGGACGGTGCAAGCTGTGCTCGCCGGCTCTGATCAGCTAAAACTGGGTTACGTATCGCGTATTAATCCACGTGATCATTCACGTCACGTTATCTTGGGCACCCAGCAGTTTAAACCGCACGAGTTTGCCACGCAGATTAATCTGAGCATGGACAATGCTTGGGGTATATTGCGGTGTATCATTGACCTGGTAATGAAGCAGAAAGACGGCAAATATCTGATCATGAAGGACCCCAACAAGCCAATTATTCGTTTGTACGATATTCCCGATAATACATTCGATTCAGATGATTCGGACGATGGCGAGGGAGATGACGGTGAAGGTTTCCAGCAGGTCTACAACTATGCCAACAACAGCAACAAGATTTAGTTTCATTTCCATCTCTGTTTGCATCATAACGTTATAAACACAAACACATCCAAACATATAAACATACTCGTATAATCATAACAATAACCGGTTAAGCAATGCCACAGTACATTAATATATTTGTTCTTGGCGTTAGCTTTAATCATTTGATTTTAAGTTGGCTGCATTTGCAAGTGCAACGAATTCCGAGTAAAGCCCAGAATGGAAACAGATTTCTAATTTTGTGGATTGTTCTTTATGGGCGGGCCGCTGGGTGGCATGGCAGCTTATTATACCGACTCGTACAAACCCATCAATAATCGATCACCCCTGACATCTGGCCGATTTATTGAGAGAGATAGCGTCTAGCATCCGTATGCTAGCTATCAACTGGTCGTTAATGTTCAAGCGAACTTAGTCTCAACGCGAAGCTCACGGCGATTGATTCACGTAAATTTCACGGAGATAATCTGACAATGTCGTCTTTAAGGCTACTGCTGATATTGCTTGGTGCATTGGGCGCCATTGGCATTACTGGTAAGGTCATTGACGCCTACTTGTTATATCATTAAAGCCGTTTAATCCTGTCCCTCCTCGATGTTTAGTCTCCTCCAAACTGCAACTGGTCTAACCGGTTGTGGTAATAGTTTTGTAAGTCAAATTACCATATTAACATTGAGTTGATCTCCGTTAGCTGGTGCCACTGCGCAATTTAGTTATGGAAGCTGCGAGGCAAAGGGCAATAAGGAACGCGGACTATGCATACATATACGAGACTGTCCCTTTCTCTACGAGATACTAAATATAAGCCAGACAACCCCAGAGCAACGTCAGCTGCTATCCGATAGCCAGTGTGGATTGGATAATACACGTCAGAGCGGCTTGGTGCAGCGTATTCTTGTCTGCTGTCCAGATAGCAAACGCCGGATGCAAGGTACAGGCACAGGCACAGAAAATGCGACACGTGTAGTAAATCGTTCTGATGATGAACCCGAGCCAGGCAATGTGTTACCAAGTATAGGAAATTGTGGGATTATGTTTGCCAATCGCATTATTGGCGGCATTAAGACAGAACTTTTCGAATTTCCCTGGATGGCGCTGCTGCAATATAAAAAAGGTGAGCTTAGCAATTATCTGCTTGACAATCAAATCAGGCTGATGACGCCTTTTTTAACTAACAGCTGATAATCAACTTGGTTTTAACTGCGGCGGCACATTGATCAACTCGCGCTACGTATTAACTGCCAGCCATTGCTTGGCTAGCAATCAGTTGCAAATGTATGGATGGCAGTTGCACAGTGTCCGTCTGGGTGAGTGGGATTTAAGCTCTGCTCCGGACTGTATCACCGAACTAAGCAATAAACAACGCACTTGTGCACCCATGCACATGGACATAGAGATTGAAAAGAGTATTCTACACGAGCTCTACGTACCAAATTCAATTGACCAGATGCACGATATTGCCCTACTACGGCTCAAGCGATTCGTCACTTATACGGAATACGTAAAACCCATTTGCCTGCCGGTTGGTGACGATGTACGTAACCACAATTTTGAAGGCTATGCCATGGATGTTGCAGGCTGGGGTGTTACCGAGGATGGTAAGCCCAGCAATGTGAAGCTGAAAATTACTGTGGATGTTTGGAAACTTAAAAATTGCCAAGATAAATACCGCAGCTACCAGATGCGTCTAAATAGTTCACAGCTTTGCGCTGGTGGCAAGGTAAATATTGACACCTGTCAAGGTGACTCCGGTGGTCCCCTAATGGTAGCTACCAATGTGGGAATGCAGGAAGTATTCTTTGTGGCCGGCGTCACATCATATGGCCCCAAGCCCTGCGGCCTGCAAGGCTGGCCAGGTGTATACACTCGAGTGGGACAGTATGTTAACTGGGTGTTGGACAAATTAGAAGCTTAACCCGATTGTTAACTTTAATAAATAAAATTGGTAATTTATTATTCACATAGTATCTGGCATTTTCTAGCTTATTAAATTTTAAGCGTTGCGACCAATTGCTTGATTTACTACATTATAAATAGTGGAATGCAAGGAGCTTCATTTTAGGACAAAGTGCTAATAAGCTAACGCGCAATAAATATAAATACAATATAAATAAAGATCAATAGAACAAGAAAAAAAATTTCTCAAATATTTTGATAAGAACTCAACGACAATATTCAAATATACATACATAATTCATAGTTCAAAAAATTGAGGGAAAACTAGACTATGTACAGAAAAATTAATGCTAAGAATAAGCTCTATAGACGTTACTTATTTTAAAGAAAATATTTTTTTGTTTTGTATACGCATGAACTTGGGGTTAACATAAAACGAAATTGAGACTAACGAAATAAATAAAAAGTTTTTACAAATAATAAGCGACAAATTTAGGAAATTATCTTCTTTTTTTGGTTATACAGTTTGTTAGCCGGTCGATAAGCCAAGTTAATAAGGTAGATAGTATTCGAGCTGTAATTACTTAAATATAGAAGAAATTGACCCTGCTAGAGGCTCAGTTTCAAGAGCAGGTGGTGATAGTCTTGTTTTTGTTATATAATAGGCACCACAACGAAGGCAAGGCTGACAAACAGAGCATTGCGAAAATTCGCTTAAATCACACATCTTCGGGTGCAGCACGTGGGGCTGTGGCCACAGCAGGAACAGCAACCTCACATCCTTGCTTTCTTTCGAGCGCAGCTAACTCGTTTTGTAAAGTTTCCAAAATTCCCTTGACGGCAATGCAAAAGCCGCGGCTGCACGGCAGTAGTGGAAATTCGGGCATCTCACATGGTGTTTTGTAGTCCTTGGGCATGTCTGTAGAATATACTATAATTAACCTATATTTAAGGCAACAAACGCATAACTAACCATTAATGCTGGTTATTTTTAATCGCTGTGCATCTGCCGAGTATTCAGACCAGGTCTTCATACGGCTATGTAACTCGGTTCCAAATTCCTTAAAGTGCTCAATCAATTCCTTGCGAAATATGAATGGAGGATTTTGTAATTGTTTTACAGTGGAGTGGACAATTTTAATAATTGCCATTTCATTGTAGACACGCGAGTTTTCATTTCCCAATTGAGTACCTAAAAAGAAGACGAACACTATTATAATAAAACTTAGCTCGGATTTTTTGCTTGATAACCTACCACGTTGCTTCTCATAGCCAGCCTCATTATAGTAGGGCTCATCCACAAGTATGAGTCCCTGTATAGAGACCAAAACCTGCAGCATTGTGCTTTGAGGGGACCAAACCTCAGTATCACGTCCGGACCAAGTACCCAACAGCGAGACACACACCTTGCCCTCTTCGTACAGGTTAGGATTAAGACGTTCCGTGCAAAAACTTATGTAATGACATGTGGGCGGACTCTTGGGATAGTCACATCCCATTTGAAAGTCAAAGAAAAACAGGGCGTTTTGGTAGGGAGTGCGTTGGGGACCCACCATCATAACAGATATAAGATCCATGCGATCCTCGTAGGCACGCACAACAACACCTGGAGGTAGGGATGCTTGCAGCATAGCATACTCGCGCTGAACAGCGCGTTGATAATGAGCCTTGTTGTTCGGATGTATAATATTTCCAATAAAATAATGACCGAGTGGTGCGTTTGGAACTACTTCAAAACAATTATTGCTAGATGTGATATCCTGTATAGGCGACGGTGATGAACAAGCAGTTGGGCTTTCTAGTGGAGGCAATGACTCAGAGAGTCCATTTAGGTTTAAAGGCTGTTCCATAACTTGATCTTGATCTTGATCCTTTTCATATGCTGGCGGCATATCATGATCTGAAATCTCTGTATCCTCATCTACCTCCACATCGCTTATGTGCTCATCTGCATCTTTGTCTTCAGCTTTATTTCTGCCAAATGTTTCCACTATTGCCTCGCGGCACTTTGCCATTTGCTCTTTGATTAGAAAACAAAAAACTTCACAGACGTCCGCATCATGATTAGCCACCAACTCAATGCTGGTGCTGGAAGACGATCTCAAAATCGACTGTTTCTTTTCCCCTTGGCTGTTGTCCTTTGAATCGCTACCAGCAGTGACTTCACTTGAACTATTTTCCCCTCGAGAATGAACCCCAGAATCATTCTTTAAATAAAATAAATTAGAATATTTTTTCCGATATGCGCATTTGTGGAATACTTACCTTACTGTTCTTATGTTTCTCGAAGGCTTTTGCAATGCTGACACGTGCCGTTCTAATCATATCTGCATATTCACTACGGTACTTCGTAATTAACTCATTATAGGTAAGCTGTGTCTCACTATCCGACAATGATATATTGTCCAGTAGTACGGACTGTTCTGCGGAATCCTCAACATTAATTTTTTCGCTGCTGCTAGTCTTTTTGCACTGCACCTCTTCCACATGAGTAGAGGACTTCCGTTTATTTGGTGTAGATGTCGATGCAGCGAGAGGGATCGAAGGTATCTCTAGCTTTACTGCCTGACGAACAACTGGTGAAGCTATGTCCGGTATAGGTATTTCAACACTCATATTGACTGCATCCGCAGTACCTTGAGGCGTATTACTTGTATTCGTTTTGGTTGTAACCTGCGCATCTGATTGCTTCTGCGGTTGATCTTTTTTCTTTAGGCATAATATTCCATTAAAGTAATCTTCATGAAAGAAATCAGTTTTTAGAAAACGATCAAGGAACCGGCAGTTATTGTATACAGCCAACAAATCCTTGAGAACATCCGCCTTGCGCTGTTCTGGTAGGACGTGAAAAATTTTTTCAAGACGCTGAATTGCTTCCTTAGCACGATCGATTCCCGAAATAATGTGATCCTCTACATCCATTGATTCGATGCTAGCACTCATATTCATTGTCTGACTATTCTCAGACTGTGTTTCCCATGAATTTTCCGAGTCGTCAGACTCGTATGCATCTTGAGTATCGCTTTGATGGATTTCGAAGAGATCCTGCGGATAGCACATGGTGATATGGCCTTTGGCCCACCAAACGCGTACGCGGCCATCAGGGAAATTATCAATAACTTGGCCAGCTGTTGAATTCAAATCGTCTCCAGTGAAATTAGATACTCTTATAACCATAGTGCCTGGTCGGTACTGATAATCCGCATGATCTTTCAAATCGTAAACACTAAGCTCCTCTACATCTTTGCATGATGGACTGTGAATGGCTATTCAATGATTACTGAACATTAAAATAAAGTCACATACTTACACAGGATTATCCATATTTCCATAGATATTGAACCATTTAACTTTGGCTATGCGTTCATCGTGATCCACGGATTGTATGACTCCGTAATCCATCTGCGACGTGCTGTAGTCGTTAGCTTTACTAACAAAATCTCCAGGAAAAAACTCATGATTGTCTAAATGGTGTATAGGATACAAATCGGTTGACGGAATGCCTGATTCCACAGATCCATCCTGCCACACTACCGTTAACGAACTATATACAACCAAAGTTTCTACAACCATGTCATCGCCATCTTTGGGATCATTTTCTTTTCTTGGTATTGCAGATTTTTTACTAGGTCGAGGCTTTTTCTTGCTTGATCTACGTTTAAAATTCCGTGTCACAATACGGGCAGCCTGAGAAGCAAAGGAATTTAAAGGATTCACTGTTCCTCCTTCAGTCTCTGGGGACGTAGCTGTTGCTTCAATTGTTTCTGTTGCGTCTTGAGTTTCCTGCACTGGCTCTTCATCACCCTCATCATCAGCAGTTTCCCAGGTTTCATCATTGTTTGCCCGTGATTTTTTTCCAGTTGAGTTTGATGAGGTAGACAGCTTAAGCGAGATATTACTCGTATCGTTTTCAACCACAGACCGATTTAGTCGCTGATTGCTTGGTTTATTACAAAGACGTCGCACCTTGAAAATGTGAGCACTGCGAGAGCTGGATGGCGCTGACGGCGAAGGCGTATTCTCTATCCCCATCGATGAGCTTTGCGTCAACTGCTCCTTTTGGTCAGCTTGCTTATTCTCCTCACTCTTTTGTCGTTGGTATATGGTCTGGTACAACTTGGCTGGAAAACAAGTTACTGTTATTACAAACACTTATTGAATTTTGTCTTGCATACCTTGCTCCTGTTCCCAGACGGAATATTTTACAAGTTTATCACATTTCGAATATTTGAGGTAGAAGCGATCGTGAATTTGCAGCATATAAGATTCATAAATGTTCAAGCGCTTAACATTTGCCAAGTCATCGCCCTTTATACAACTCTTCGGCTGCTTTAGAGGATCCAATTCCGTACCACTGTCAAACTGTGGTGTGGCCTTAAATGTCCAAGCCACAGTTATAGAAGTTGTTTTCACAGATTCCACAGTGTACTAAAAAACCAAGATGAAATATATATACAAAGAAAGTTATAAGCAGCTCTTATCATTGTTCAGCTAAAAAATTGTTAAGATAATATTTAAATTAAGCGACAAGATAAATAAGGCACATCATACAGACGGACAAATGAGTACGGCCATAAATACATCGAATAAGGCCACATTATTATATTATTTAACCTTATTTGGGGATATAAGAAGTGAGAAAATGAGTTGTGTTTTTATTAGTTTGTGTATACCTAATGCATCTATATTTATAGTTTCGACTCTAAGATTGTGTATTGCAGACGATAAGAAAGAGAAACAGTATGTATTCTCCTTTTTGTCCTCTTCAATAGAGCTAATACAACTACTTTAATTCCATTTATCAAGCGAAAACAGGTCTACTAACCATAGAGCGTCGCTTGCGATTGGTTGGCAAAGGCAGGTCCGGTGTTAAATTAATAACGCGATCCAAAGGCGGCAAACGGCCAATAACCACGTTGTTTGGATAGTAAACACTGGGACTGAATACTTCACGCTCACTCGGTCCATAGGCGTCTTTGAACTTATGAAAATCATTGGATGTAATTTCGATAAGAGTACCGTAGCTCGATCTACATAAAAAAATTAAACAGGTATTGAATGGAAACCACACCCTGCCCGCGGCTGATTACTCACTTTAATACGGCAGACTCATCGACGGTGACAGTATACCCAATCCAATTTCCTAAACATACGGGCACATCACGTGACCACTCTGAAATGGGCTTCAAACGCTCCGAGGGTACATTTCTGATTACATATTTAGTGCCCAATACTTTAACATCTGCGCGGACGTTAACATCGCGCACATACCCAGCCTGCCCAGACATATGCTTCTGTCCAGGAAGGCGGCGACGTACCACATCACCTGGCATCAGGGTGCGGTCGACGAGGCCAATCTGAAATGTGTTCACATTTTGATAATTCAAGTTGGAAGAATTTTATACAAAAGAAGAAAGCAAACAACACGTGTCAATGCCAAAGAGCCCAAAAGACAAAACACTTGTCAAAACAGAAGAAACTGTTATTCACAGTTATGTACACATACGAACAAATATAAGTACATATATACGTGCTTTGAGCTGTGCCAATTACATAACCTCAATGTACTTACCGATTTTTCAGTTCTTACAATTTCCTTGCCATCCGGATAGAAGGCGACGCGCACCTCGCCCTTCCCTAGCACCTCATTAATTTCCTCTTCCTCATCATCCGACGAATACGATTCGGCTGTCCCAGTAACAACTCCAAATCGCACGCGACCTTTGCGATCGATGCGAAAAACTTCATCCTCGAAAAAGAATTGAAACTCCCGATTGTCCGAATTCTTAGACGCAGCAGTACCGCCGCCCGATTTACGATTACTAGGGTTACCGCTTGCCACAAATGGCCGAGATTCAGATGTTGTCGTCTCAGTCTCTATATCTGCTGCTGCCCTTGGTAATGTCGGCGCAGCCTCCAATGGGGTGCCGCCTGCATTGGCAGCACCCGCGACTTGACTCAACATATTACCAATTGTGAACTGCGTGCATCAGAATAAAGATCGTAAATTGCAATTTAAACGAGTGCATGTTATTTTGCAATTTGTATGTTTCATTTAACGACCATAAGCCCCTTCTCCAAAGTTTTCTAATTCTGCTGCTTCACTTATATGTGGCAGCTACAATTCCTATATAGATTTTTGTACATACCATGAGCCGCCTGACGGCAAGAAGTTGGACTTCCTAGCAATAATGAATTTAATGGCTAATGGCTTCACTTACTCTAAACAATTAAATTTATTTACAACCGAGAACCGGGCGAGATGTTTAGCATATTTCACATTTATTTCCAATACTGCTTAGTAAATACATTTAAAGTCAACAATGAGGCGACTTTGAAATTTTATTACAATTTTGCCAACTTATTTAAAAAAAAACTAAAAATACAACAGCTGAAAGCTAGTTAAGTTGGGCCCAATGCTTGTTTTTAACAGAAATATATTTAACATATTACGACAATGTTGTTAACAGAGAGCGCCTATTTAAAAGCAAACTTTATTTTTGATTTTGGTTCATTTTCAATGCTTCAATTTTTATTTTTCTAATTTCAAAATATGCGTACTTACACTAAGTTGAACATGGAGGTATTTAAACTGTCAGTGTGAAAATTAGGCACGACTCTAATTTTCATACCAAGAGTTTTAACATAACCATTTTGGACTCATATATAATTTTTATTTTAAGAGTATCAAATCCATGTTTATATGTTTAAATATGGACGCATATATACATGGATTAAATGTTCTTCAATGAAACGGGAAAACAGTTTTGTTGGAATTGTGAAAAATATCGATACCTCAATATTTCGTTGATTTTTTCGATACATTTTTCTTGCGAGCCTAATATCAACCCGGTATAATTTTAAACGTCTTCTATAAAAATAAGAACAAAATATTGAACAAAACCGGAAATAGTATTTGTAATAGTTTTCAAGTACACACCCATTTTCTGAGAAGTGAATGCACCGCTATTAATGTGATTAAAACTAACAGAATGACCATTAATATTATATATACTATTGCAGCTAATGTACATAGTTTCATGCTAAGCCTGACTACAAAATAGTAAGTCAAAATTTTGACAAATAAAATCAAATATTATACTCACTCTTTTCTTAAAAAATGAGTGCACTTTGTGCAAGAAACTAGTTGTTATTGACTTGCTGCGTATTCACAAATTTCACAGTGTATTATTGCATTCACAAAAATTTTTCACAAAAGTGTATATATATATGATAAAATTCGAAAGATCAAAAGAGAACGAATAAATGAGCTCTACATCAAGGCATGCTCTGTTTTTAAAAATGGGAACAAGCCAATAGTTATACTCCGAAGTATGAAACGTTATCGTCTAAGTTGGAATGAACTGCCCGCCACAACTCTGATAGACGTGCTGTCAGTCAAGTTCCACATCACACGTTACGAAATATCTATTCTGGGATTGCCGGATTTTGTTGTCATAAGATTCTACATTTCGCTTGCTTGTTGCAAGATACTTGGCGCTCACACGCTCGAGCCAAATTGGTCGTCAATACATAATACTCCGAGCTGCAATTTAATTTCTAAAACACCTCATAACACGTGATAAATATGAAAGAATAGCGTCGGTTTTTAGTTTAACTTTATTTCTTAATACACAGTTTTCTAATATTGCAATTACATATTATCACATCTGACTATCATAGGTGGAGCATACGGCGAGTGGTGCACTCCAAATGAATACGCGCGGCCCGTCCGTCCTGGACGATAATACATCAAATCATAATAATTTGGACCAGGACCAACATTCTCTCCACGAATATAACAAGTCGGCCTCATTGAATACACAGGCGCGCGATTTAATTTAAGATTTAGGTCATCGGCAGCATAAGCCGCAGGTCCCGGTGAGTCCGCCTTCCGATTAATCTTAGCTTGCATGCCCCTGATTAAAGAAATGGAATCAAAACATGCGTGTAAATACAATGGTAGATAATACACACATGCTATAGGCTGGTGCCGCTGGCCTTATAGGGCTGACTTCGAATTTGTACGCACTGGGTCCGGGTCCAATTTTCTTAAAACTGAATTCATTCCGCTTTCCCAAGGAATATGCCGGTGCAGTAACACCTTTGAAAAACGGCTTTACGTGTACATCATGTGCCCCGGGGCCGGGCGCGACTCTTTTGTCTGTAATATGCCCAGGTCGTATTAGCTTCAGTCAGAGCATCCAAGTCTAATGCAACCTACCAATAATTTTTGTCATGGGAGCCATTGTGTATTCAGCGCCACGACCTACGCCATAGCGCGTCAGCTTGTCTACCTGATAGGCACCTGGTCCAGGTCCCGGATCTGGGCCTAACATAGTTGTACGGGCCCCAAATGAATATTGCGGCATGCGCAGCTTTCGGTTGTCATGTTTCTCATATCCCAAAGTCGGTGGCAACCCGTAAGCTCCCGGACCAGGTCCTGCAATTGCAAACACATGATTAATTCGCAAACGCGTGCAACACTTTGATACTTACCCAAAGGCACACGCGCCATGTTTTTTCTGCAATATCAAATAAAACCTAAAATTTTGAAACTCAAATGAGTTGCTGCCCGGATAAAACCTAAAAGCTAAGTGATCATTATCCAGGCAGTCCTATACCATATGCCCTGAACCCAAGAAATTAAAGTCATGGCCAACTAGCGATTTGGACTAAACGTATTTAACATCTATAGTATATAAATACAAATATACGAATTATATTAGTCTTGAACAACATAAATCCAATATTAATGTCGTCCATAAATATGGCGTCCAACTTGCATGGAAAATTGATCTTTAGTTGATGGAAATATAAACGAGAGTGTACTCCAGTTGCAGCTTAAAATTAGTAAATTTCTTACTCACTTTCCGCTTTGAATAATAGGTTGGGGTTGGCTACATTAGAGGCCGTCTGATAACAATACTGACTGAACATTAAGACAATTTATTATTTTAGAGGCATACACTTAATTTGATTTATTACTACTTAAATTAGACTTTAAAATAATTTGATCCAATATTGCAAGCATTTACATATTATCACATCTGACTACCATGGGTGGAGCATACGGCGCATGGCGCACACCGAAAGAATAGGCGCCTCTATTCCTTCCAGGGCGATAATACATTAAGTCATAATAATTGGAACCGGGACCCACAGGCTCGACCTTCAAATCGCACTTCGGTCTCATCGAATACGCCGGTGCACGATTCAGCCTGTTATTCAGATCCCCTGCATTGTAAGCCGCAGGACCAGGCGACTTCGAATTTCCAACGTTGTTGGTCTGTTTGCCCCTGTAATACAGATATATTTATAATATATTTAGACATGGTGACATGGTGACATCTGATGCCATTCTACATAGTACACATACATGCTGTAAGCTGGAGCAGCGTGCATAATGGGATCGGTATTATACGTATAAGCACTGGGGCCGGGTCCAAAATTCTTAAAGTTATAGTTGTTCCGCCCGCTCATCGTGTAGGCAGGTGCCTCACTGCCTTTGAACATGGGCTTTGAATGAACATCGTGTGCGCCGGGGCCGGGACCAAAACCTCTATCTGCAATCAAAGAGTATTAAACGGCAAGAAGAGACTATTTTGCCTTTTGACTTACTTCTCGCGTTAGTCAAAGGAGCCATCGTATACTGCAGGCCTCCACCCTTGCCATAGCGCGTCCATTGGTTTACCTGGTAGGCGCCTGGTCCTGGTCCTGTATCTCCATTGCGCGACTTGGTACGGGCTCCGAAGGAGTACTGAGGCATGCGCGGCTTACGGTTATCATGGTTTTCATACCCAACAGTTGTGGGCAATACGTACGCATTAGGACCAGGACCTGTCCAAAAGCAACCATTAGGATGAGTCGTGCTCACTCAATCAATTTGAGGCTCCTTACCTGAAGGCACACGCGCCATTTTTTTACTGCTATGCAATATTGGAAAAAATTTTTCCAAGTAATTTTGAGTTGAGTTCCGAATAAATTCCTAAAGTGTATTGAGCATAGACAAAAGCCCCTCCACCCATGTGGGGCGGATCCACATGATATTTAAGTCAAGGCCAAGTAATTATGAAGACATTAAATTGAAAATACATTTATGTATATATGTGGTTATTGGTGCTATGTTAAGGATTTTTGATGACTATTTGTGATTAGTGCATGAAATATATTGCTTCGGCTTAAATTGAATGCAGTGTTTATTCCAGATCCATGGAGTTGTACAGCTGCTTGTAGCGCGAGCCACGCCCACTGTTCTGCACAAGTAGCTCGTTTTGCTGCTCTCTAACTCGCTGTGGAGAAGCGAATGTTAGCTAGTCAACCCTTTCGTGGAAGTATTAATTGAACCACAAACCTTCGGATCATATTTCTGATATAGATAAACTAATATTGGTCCGTACAGTATGTTGAATATACCCACAATACGCATGAGCCAGACGAAGCCGAAGCTCTGGGCCAACTCTCCGCCAATCAAAGGAGCTGCCAACCACACGAAAACAGTTTGTGAGAATATTACGCTCCCAAGAGGAGAAGCAAAGTCCTACCAAGACAATAGGCCAAGCTCACGGATGTCTGTTGTATGGCATAGACCGTTCCGTAGCTGGATCTAGTGCTTCGAGTCTCGCCGTTGTCATCCTGCGCCAGTGTAGCATCCACAAAGGTAGCCAGGAGTGGAACCAAGGCTGCATCGATCACTCCAATGCCCAGGCCCAGGGCAAAGTGGGGCAACAACAGTTGCGCCACAGTTGTGGCGCTGGGTATCTGAATAAAATTAATTGGAAATAGAATATATTGATCAAAGCAAGTTAAATACTCACCAGAATAGACGCCAGACCCACCAGCAGCAGGCTGAGACAGGAGATCTTCAACTGGCCGTAACGAAAGGCGACGCTACCAAAAAAGTTTGTTCCCACAAAGTAGCCTACGGAATCCGGTATGAAAACAGTGCCCAATTGCCATTTATTTGGATGAAGATACTGAATCAGCCAGATAGGCAAACACGGCTCCAGTATGGCCATTGTGGAAGTGGAGAGCCAAATGGCGATCACAATGGCCAATATCATTTTGCATTCAAGCAGCGCGCGCCACTTGGTGCTCTGTTCGAAAGCTAAGACTTCCGGCTGCACGGAGAGATCCATGGTGAGCAGCTGTAGGCCCAGGCTCAGGAATATTACAGTCGAAAGTATTATAAAGGGTGCCGATTTGCCCACCATATCGTAGAGAATACTCCCAAAAGGATAGCCTATTAATACACCCAATGCAATGCTGCCCAGAATGATGCCCATGACCTTGGAGCGACGCGCCTCCTCCGGATAATGCTGGGCCACCAGACTCATGCCGCAAACACCAATGCAAGCGGAGCCCACACCCTGAATAGCGCGTGCCAACAACAACATCCAATAAGATTCGCCCACGGCAAACACTGAAAAGTAAACATAACATGTCATTAAAATGGATATAGTAAGCTGTAGCAGGCTTCGCTCCACAAATTTACCCAGCGAGGAGATCAAAAGAAAGCAAGTGCCCACCACGATGGGCAGGCGATACCCACACTTGCTGGACATATTGCCAACAATGGGATTGAAAACCAATTGAACCAGCGCTTTCATGGCCAACAGCAGTCCAATGGAGCCATTTTCGCGCGACAAGCCTACGGTGTTGTTATTGCCATTGAGATTGCTGTTGACAATGCTGTGGCTATCGACCTTTGTGGCTGTGGTCGCATTAGTGCCGCCCAAATGGTTGCTGGGCAGCAGCGTCGTCATCGTTGTAGACGTCAGCAGATGCAGCGTTGTGAAGTTAACCATCGATTTGCCAGGTATTGGATGCTTGGTCATGTAGAATTGTGTCTGGTCTTCGCTGCGTTGCGCCATCTGATGTGACAGGGCAGGTGCAGAGGACGGTATACCCTCCTCCACTCGGTAACCCTCTAAGGTTGGCGGCTCCAGGCTGGCCAAATAGTCGGGCAAAATGGGCACTGCAATCGGTGTAAGTGAGTTGTGGCTTTTATCAACTCTTATCTGCTGTTATCGTATAATTAGCATTACCTATCACGGTCAGCAGCACGTTGTCCAGCAGCAGAGCTATATACACAATTACTGCAATGAGGCAGCGGCTCTCAATGTCATTGGACGGCGGGGTGGAGCTGCGTCTGGCGGAAACGTTTAACTTGGCCGCAGCCTCGCCACTTGTTGACTTCTCCGACATGACTCGCGCGCCAATTATCTAAATCAATATGCAGCACTAACACACACGCAACAGCGTTACACTGCCATATGGCCCAAAAATTGAGGCGCCACAAAATATACTACACAATTATAAAGCGAACACACACACACGCAGCGTAGTTACTTGTGTAAGGGAAAAGATTTGAGCACTCTTTCACCAACAGGTGGTGTTGCTGCCTCAACGTGTTTGTGGCTATTGAAAGGTTGCAACAAGCCGCCGACTGCTTTTACTGAAAGCAACAGCAAACCCGAACGAACCGAGCGCGCAAACGAGTCCCCGTTAACGAGCACACAGCCTGCAAAGTAAATCATCTGAATTCAACATGTGCTGCGTGGTATCAGCAGAGTATATGCGGCACTCTAACCGAACATGGCAGGAAAATTTCATATAATTTCGATTGTGCTTTAAACAATGTTTTCGATTCAACTAAAGCCGGTAAATGAATAAAATAAAAGTCCCATTTCATGTAACTTGAACCGAGCTGTCTAGCCTAGGCAATTAGGGTAACTGTTAGTCGGGCAATCTCTGATTAACGTTGTGGCTGCTGTTGTTGTATGTCATATTGCTGCTTAACAAACTGTTGTCATGGTTGTTTCTTCACATCTATCGCCTCGACGCCAAAGCCACAAAAACCGCATCAAGTTCCCACGACTCGAAGGCCTGCGACCATGCCTTGTCCCTGATAAGCGTGCTATGGATTTTTCAGACTCTCGAATCATTTTCCATTTCATTGAGCATTTCACAGTTTAAATTTAGTCCTGCAAGAGGTGCCGCCGCAACATGAATTTCTCACGAATTGCGCAATTGCTGGCTCAATAATAGACCACATTTAGGAAATGGAGAGTCCAAAACAGGAGATTGAGAAAAGGCACGAGGTTGACATTTGGAGGCGGCACCTTTTTTTTTTTGTCATCGAATGTAACCCAATTTTGTGAGTCTGGCTTTCGGCCAAATGTCTCTGTGCTGAGCGAAAAATATTGCTTAAGGGTATTTTTAATACATACATTGATAGTGTGTTATCATGAGTAAAGCCTCACCTTGTCATAGAAATAATAAAATAACAATTTGATTTATTTATTGGCTGTCGAACACCTGTTCTTTTTTAAACAAATGTTTTAAACAAATGGTCAGTCTTTGATTAGTCAAACGATTTATTTAATCTATACTTACAGTTATATGGGTATATCTCCGATTAGATAGGCAACAGCCAATTCGCTATAGGCAAAGCCCACCAAATCTACTCTACTCCAATAATCAATTAAATCGATAATTGGTTGAAAAGTTGATTATTTGATCATTTGAAAATTTAATATAAAAACTTAAATCTCGCTGCGGGTCTTAGTAATACAAGCAACTCTCCGATTATTAGCAAATAATACATTTCTAAATAGTATATAAATAGGTCGTAATCAACAATTTAAATTCACACTTACAGTTAAGATTAGTTGTCAGCGAAAAACACCTTGGATCGGCTTTGCTTCGAGCAATTGATTTAGTTAACGGGCTTCTAGTCGGACGATCGGTCAATAAATGTTGAAGTGCAAAAGCTATTTGCTCCTTGGCCCTTTGCTGGTGCTGCTGATAGCTGTAATCGGTAAGTCTTAGGCACGTTTGGCTATCAATAAGAACACCTGCTTTATGAAGTGCTCGACTAGGTGGCCAGGCTGAAACCGTTCCCTGTAAGCTAAGAGATGCAAAGTATGGCAAAGTATGTGTGTGCACGGCGGATTACTGTGACTATCTGGACAATCCTACCCTGAGCAGCGATGATGAATTTGCGCTGATTTCCAGCAGCAAGAAGGGGCTTCGATTTGAACTTAACAAGGGCAACTTTGGATCAAAGGATAGTTATGTCATAAAGGACTATGAAGAGCCGGATACTGAAGCAGCTGCTAGCAATGACACGATCTTATCGCGGCTAATGGATCAGGCGTTGGGAAATATATTCTCTCAAACGGCCTCCACGACAAGCAGCATTACGAGATCCGTAAATCTTAACTTGGATCGCAGTAAGCGTTACCAAAGGATTGAAGGATTTGGTGGCAGTTTTACGGGAGCCGTATCCTATTTGTTGGAGAACTATAAGGAACAAGACATTCACGATCATCTCTACAAATCGTTCTATGCTGCAAATGGACTGGGATTCAATTTGATGCGCATGTCAATGGGAGGTTCTGATTTCGACTTGGGACCATGGGCCTATAACGAGAAACCTGAGAACGAAACCATTCTGACTGGCATGGATCAGCTGGACGATCGGGATGTTATACGCGTGGAGCAGATTAAGCGACTGAGAGACATTTCAGGCGTGGAGAATCTGCGGATCAAAGCAGCTGCGTGGAGCGCGCCGCCATGGATGAAGACCAACAACAGGTGGACAGGCTTTGGGCAACTGAAGCGAGAATACTATCAGACCTGGGCCGACTACCATCTTAAATGGGTCGATTTGATGGTGAAGAATGGTCTGCCGATTTGGGCTATTTCCACGGGAAACGAGCCAATGAATGGAATACTCTTCATGGCTTTTGTCAAGTTCATGAGCATGGGCTGGATACCACAAACACAGGCCGTATGGGTGGACGAAAACTTAGGACCCACCATTCGTAACTCAAAGTATAAGGATCTGGTCATATTCGGCAACGATGATCAGCGTCAAACCAGTCCGTTCTGGTTCAAGCAGGTAACACATTACACGTTTATTTTCTTCTGATTTTCAAAGTTGAATAACGGTATCCGCCTGCAGATGAACCGGACTCGCCCTGGTTCGCTCAAATACATTGACGGAGTAGCGCTCCACTGGTATTGGGATGAAATATTTGGAAGCAGCTTCGTTTATAGCACTAGCGAGTACATGGCCAACAAAATACAGATCATTTCCGAGTCTTGTATTGGAGACAAGCCCTGGCAAAAGTCTGCCCCACTACTTGGCAGCTGGGAACGTGCAGAGAAGCTTGGGCGATCATTCATGTCCCATTTCAAGGATGGCTTCCACGGTTGGATTGACTGGAACATCATATTGGATGAAGCGGGTGGTCCCAACTACGTTAAAAATACAGTCGATGCTCCAGTGATTGCCAATACGACATGTAAGCAATGAAGTGCTTCAGGCACCTGCGCTCTAATCTGACTTTATTATCATGATATTTTCGACAGCCTTTACTGAGTTCTACAAGCAGCCCATGTTCTACATCATGGGACATTTCTCGAAGCTAGTGCCCGAGGGCTCTGTGCACATCGAGGCGGTGGCCAGCAACGTCAATCTTGACTGTGTGGCTTTCGTGCGACCTGACGGGAAGATTGTCGTTGTGCTCTTCAACACCGGACGTGCCGATCTGAATATCAATATCACGGATACTATTCGTGGAAAGCTATTGGTCAATGTGCCAGCCAGGTCTATACATACACTACTCTATAACTAATTGAGCAATAAATATTATAAAGGCTTGCATTCTAAATTTCTTTACTCAAATTTAAGTTCTTTTAGGGTCGGCATAATTTATTTAATATAATTTAAGTGAGTGCCAATGTGGACAAAGGTGCTCCAAGAAACAGGGTATGCTTAAAAACGAATCTGTTTTAGAAAGAAAAAGTCGAATTGAGAGAGGAAGAGAGAGAGAGAGAGAGAGAGAGAGAAAGGGCGCTGCAAAAGCAACTCTCACATTATCAAAAGAGCAAGCGATGATAGTGTATCGACTCTTAGGAAGAGAGTTGAATTGTTGCCGCTGTCGCTAGCTTTTGCATAACTTTTACTTTTGATTGCCAAATGCGTGAGACGTTTTTAAAGTGGCGCCTGCCACTGCCCCTGCCCCGCCTCTGCTGCTTTATCAATTCAACAGCTGGCGCAGGTCAAGTAGCAGCCACAAATATAAACAACAACTTGAGCGCTCACTTAAACTTATTTACACAAATGAGTCTGAGCGAAATTCGGTTACGATTGATTAGGAGAAACGCGTTTGCTGCTGTCGCAAACATTTCCACAGCTCAGCTCTATACGCTTCACTTCACTCCGCTCTCGAGTCAGTTAAGCGGCCGCATCCGACGCGCTCGTTTCGTTGCAGTTTTGCGTCCGCGAGGGCAACCATGAATCTGTGTTGGCTGTCCATGCTATTTGCGGCTGCCTCTTGGTCAAGTTGGGGAGGTAAGTGCGCTGTTCACCTGTGATTGCGCATTTATGTATGTGTACCTGTGCATCCGCTTGTTGCAGCTGCCTTATCAACACCTTGCCAGCTTAAAGAGACCCACTATGGAAGCGTTTGCGTCTGCAATAGCAGCTACTGCGACTATCTGGAGCAGCCAGTCCTCGGTGATAATGATCAGATTGTGCTGATTAGCTCGAGCAAGGTAAGAATATATATTCAAATCGAATGCATAACAAGATTGCACATATTTTACAGAATGGGCTGCGATTCATACGATCTGAAGGCAGCTTTCTAGACGAGAAGGCCTTGGAAGTGCAGGATCAGCAATGGATCGATAGTAACTTTGTAACCGATACGCTTGTTGTGGAGCAAAATAAAGTTTGGCTGCAGTTCGCAAACATTTCTCAACGCTTTGGTAACTAAAACGCCGCTGAAGCGACTTTCCAACACTGAAGCTCACATTATCTTACCCCTTTGCAACACTGTACAGCCTTCAATGTGACCATAAAGACCGTGCAGTTAACAGTTCAGCGCGAGGTACGTTACCAGAAGATAACGAATTTCGGAGGCGCATTCACGGGCAGCGTCTCTCACATTATACAGCAGCTGCCTAAAGATCTGCAGGATCATATCTATAAGTAAGTGTATGACATGTCAATCTGAAGATTCTCGCTGAGCTCCTGTTTGTACGCAGATCCTATTTCCATGCCGATGGCATTGGCTATAACTCGATACGCATGTCGATCGGTGGCTCCGACTTTGATCTACAGCCCTGGGCCTACAACCAGTTGCCGCGCAATGATCCATTACTCAGCAACTTCACCAAACTTGATTCACGGGATCTTCAAAAGATTGAGCAGTTAAAGCGTTTGAAAGCAATTGCCAAATTGAATAATCTGAAAATTATGGCCGCCGCTTGGAGTGCACCCACTTGGATGAAGAGCAACAACCGATGGACGGGCTATGGTCAGCTGAAATCGGAGTACTATCAGGCCTGGGCGGATTACCATTTGAAGTGGGTATCCGACCAAAAGTTGGCAATTAATGGCCATCTGTATGGGACTTAATGTGCACTCTTTGCAGATTCCTCGAACTGATGCAGTCTATAAATATGCCCGTCTGGGCCATATCCACTGGCAATGAGCCGTTAAACGGTGTCATCGGCTTCTTTTTCATACACTTTATGAGCATGGGTTGGACGCCCTGGCAGCAGGTAGGCATCGCAACGAATAACTATACATATTTATATAGCTGCTTTCCCTTAAAAGGCAATTTGGCTCAACGACTATCTGGGCCCGACCATTAGGCAGTCCAAGCAAAGCCAAGTGCTCATTTTTGGCAACGACGATCAGCGCTATACGTATCCCTCCTGGTTTCGCAAGGTAAGGCCTTTTGATATGCTTGATCTTATAGAGTCGTTCTTTATGATTATTTATGATTGAGATACAATGAATGTAGCAAGGCCAGGCGAATAGTGCATAAAACCAATATACCCAATTCAGAGTATGAGCGAATATATAAAATATCTAAATTTATAATCTCTCTTTTGTAGATGCGCGCCTCGCGCACCAATGCACTCGACTATCTCGATGGCCTGGCGGTGCATTGGTATTGGGATGAGATCTTTGGGCCGCAGCTTATAGATCGGGCCCATGCGGAAATGCCAGATAAGTTGATATTAAACACGGAATCCTGCATCGGCGACAAGCCCTGGCAGACACATGGCCCCGAGCTGGGCAACTGGGGGCGTGGCGAGAGCTACATGCGCGCTTATATGCAGGACTTGCTGCACAATTTTAACGGCTGGCTCGACTGGAATCTGGTGCTCGACGAGCAGGGCGGTCCGAACTATGTGCACAATTACGTGGATGCTCCGGTGATTGTGAATACAACAAGTCGCTCTGAATTCTACAAACAGCCCATATACTACGCCATTGGGCACTTTAGCAAGTTTCTGCCAGAGCAGTCCGTGCGGATCGAGGCGAGAACCAATGAAACGGAGTCCTTTGCGCAGCTGAGCGTGGTAGGCTTTCAAAGGCCGGATGGCAGCGTGGCGGTGATCTTGTACAATGGGTATGTGGCACGCGTCTTCTCTGCCACTCAAGTGCCTGCACATCCTGCTGAAGTAGGTGCTATTTTTGGCGGCATCTGCACTAAAGTGGCTGTCTCTTAATTGTGCATGGCACTCGAGCAGAGAGCTAGACAGCACTTTTCATATATTTTATGAATGTATCTCATAGATACTTTTCATTCCAACAGCGAAAACTTGCCCGTTAATGTGGCGCTCAATGACAGTCAGCGAGGTGAATTCAATATGCGCTTACCCGCCCGCTCCTGGCACACCGTCATCTACAAATGAGCTGGATGCCATGGATTTGAGGAAACTTTGAATGGGTTAGGCCCAGCTTATCGATAGTGATCTATAATCTATATATAACTAAGGGTCCAGCTGGTGTTGCATGTAGCCGCTACTCCAAGGACCAATTAGGATAGAAAACATGTTTGCCACTCAGTCGCTCAAGTGATAAACAAAAGGAAGCCAATAAATTGCCCCATAGCAGGATGCGGATGCTCGTATGCGCAGACTCTGGAGAATTGTCCAAGCGCAACGACCAAGACAACGGAAATTTGTTTAAGCTGCTCAATTTGCCGTAGCGCGTCTGTTTACAATGAAATTTCATTTGCCGTTTACTCTCTGCCACACCCCGTCCTAGCTCTAGCCCATCCATAGCAATGGCCTGGCGGCACGGCAAGTATAAACGAAATTTCGGATCATGTTGAGTGACAACTGGCAGTCGAGCGGCGACAACGACCAGCCGAAAACATCTTTCGTACAAATATTTTCTTAAGTTTTCTTCAAATGAATTTTTTTTATTTTATTTTTTTTTTTTTTATTTTTTATGTGCTCTATAAATATGATTGTCAATTGAGCGCACAGCAAATGCATTTGCTGCATCTATATGCATCTGGCCCCGACAAAATGGGGCGTTTTATGTAAATCTATAAATTAAATATGAAACGTTCATAATTTTCGTATGACCAATGAGTGCGCCATAGAGATTCTTTTGGCAATAGCTTACAACAAATTTGTGCTTCTAAACGAAAAGAAAAGTAGAAAATAAATTTAAGTTATTTTTTTAAATATATTTTCTGGCGAACAACTAATTCAAATATCATGTCTGATATGTTGTCTAAAAACAAGTCACAAATGAATTGAATTAAGATTAAAATTGGTGCTTTATATACAGCTGCTGGCTGCCATTTCTCATATAGGATTCGTGGAGTATATTAGGGTAAATGCATTTTAATGCGCTCATCACATGTGGCAGTGGCAAGTGGCAAGTAGCAAGTGGCAAGTGGCAACAGCATGTCAATGCGTCTTGGAAAATATATCCAAGTGCTTACAACAAAATACACTTATCAGGCAGCAGCGTGTCCATTACATGCCTCCCTCACGCCTGCGCCTCGTATACTCCTTTCAATAATTGGGATAAGGGGTATATTCGAGCTGTACAGAGCGGGAGATTTTTAAGAAATTTAGCTGAGAATATGAAAAACAGTAGCTACCTACTTTGCTCGTATTATTTTAGTCAAGTTACGCTGTAAACAGAGTATCGAACGGCTGGAAACAGCCCGCGCGATGCTTGGACTATTTTGTTGTTTTTCAGCATACAATATGAAAGCCGCTGTGGGATATGCCAGCCAAAGTGTTGAGTGTTTCTTTGAGTTGTTGTGGTGTTCGCAGTGCATAAAGTTAATGAGCCTCATTATGAATATGGCAGCGATATGTTTGTGTCATAAGCAATAAGAATGCAGTAAGGGAATTTACACACGCTGCTCTCGTCAGCAGAAGATCAAAGTACATTACCATTTCCCATGGTGCAGAGACCCATAATGTGTTATGAGTTATTGGAGTATGGCCGAAGCAACGGCAGAGGCAACGACAACTCCAGATACAGATCCAGCTAGCTGATCCGCTTCCTGCCAGCCAAGCCACGTCCACGTCCACATCGATGTCGTGTGCTTGTCAGCAGCTGACAGCGCCATGTCAGAGCAATTTGCTGAACTGAAGGTAGGTGCGCTCCTCATCAGCACCTCCTCCTACACTGTGACAGGCACTCAAATTGACTGCTCAAAACATACATAGTCACCCACCAATACACACATACATGCATACAGACGAGATACTGTTTAGTGTCAGATTTATTTCAAGCATAAAACGGCGATCACATTTCAGAGCACCCGCGGTAATGGCTGGAAGGTGGAAGGGGGAGCACTTAAGTGGCCCGCGGGACAAAGGCGCCGGATGTGACTATTCGATATACATACACCATGTTACGATGCCCCCAAAGAAGATACATACATATATCTCTGTGGGAGTTGATTCTAAATGATAGGACGCACTTTCCCCACTATTCGCCTGATAAGATAATCAAATTAGCTAATCAACCAGACCAGCTGTGGCCCAATTAACAGAAATCAGAGCCATATAGTCGCAGTAGTCAGCAACAAGATGCGACGTCCGTTGTCACCGACGCTAGCAAAGCTGGCCGAGCAGGAGCTGAACGAAACACCCGATAGGATACAGCAGGACATCATCATCTTACGCGTCTGGATACGCCAGCAGCCACATTTGAGGGCGCGCACCGAGGACGACTTTCTGATTGCATTTCTGCGTCGCTGTCGCTATAGCTTGGAGGAGACCAAGCGGCGTCTGGACCGTTACTTCTCCTACTATAACCTTTTTCCGGAAATTATGAGCAATCGATACATCACACAGCGACTACTGGATATCAACAGATTGGGGTAAGTCATTGGAAGAAGTTGAGCTCATCACGTGTACCCAACCGATATTTTAGGATGTTCATCTATCCGGACCTGCCCAAGTGCGATAACCGCACGGCTCTGTTCATAGCACGCTTCGGCAAGCTGGATCCCAATCAGTACAGTTTGCGCGAGATTTACCATTTCACGTCCATGGCCATGGAAATCGTTGCTTTGGAGAATGATTATGCGTCTGTGGCGGGAATCTGTGAGATTATTGACTTGGAGGGCGTCAGTTCGGATAAGATGCGTCGCTTCGATAAGCAATTCTTTCGCAGGTGGTGGAACTGGCTGCATGACTGCAGTCCGCTGCGAATTAAGGAAGTGTACGTGATCAACATGCCCAAGGACATCCAAGGCAGCATTATGTATCTCTACAATATGCTCAGCCTGCAAGTCAACTATCCGGTGAGCATGATATACTCGAAAATATCTTTTGCTGCACAACTTAACGAAAAATGCCATAGATACGCGTGCTGAAAAACGCCGAGGAGCTGTTCGACCACATCGGCAAAGGCTCCCTGCCCGAGGAATATGGCGGCACCAATGGCCACATGAACGAGAGTGTCGCCTATATGGAGGATTTGCTCAACAGCTATCGGGGCTACTTTGAGCAGGAGTTCAAGTATGGCACCATCGAGGAGCTGCGGCCGGGCGAGGTGGCCACGTACGAGGCAGAGTTTGGCGTCAATGGCTCCTTTCGCAGGCTTAACTGGGATTGACAGCGAGCTGGCCAAGGCCAACCTTATTCATAGCTCTCTGCCATAGTTTATCAATTAAAATTGTGTACACCAAAAGATAAACAATAAATTGCATAATGCGCACTATCTACCAGTTCATGTGTTACATTGATATACATTCGGTGATATCACTCTTGCTGGATATCTAACAGAACGCGTTCCAGCTATTAACTGGTCACTGCTGTTGCTGATTAGATTGCCAACAGAGTACACAGTACGTCAGTGTTTTGGCATTTGCCTTTTGGCATTTGAGCTGCAGCTATCAGTGCGCTAACATGGCCGGACTGCGACCACTGACGCCGGAGCTCGCTGCAGTCGCCGTTTCGGAGTGTAATGAGCAACAGACGGAGAGGGGGGAATTTATAGTCACGCTGCAGATATGGATTGGCAAGTTGCCGTATCTGAAAGCTCGCACGGATGAGCGGCTACTTCTGGCATTTCTGCGACGTTGCCGTTTCAGCGTGGAGGCAGCCAAGCGACGCATAGACAACTACTATTCCCTGCGCAATGATTTTCCCGAGGTGCTGCGCTCCAGGCAGGTTGATGAGGCGCTCCTGCAGCAGTTTGATCGTGGGTAAGTCGCAACAGCACAGCTTTCCACTACATTTATTTGATGCATCAACAAACAACTTCACAGCATCCACGTCATACCCACACGGCCCGTCAGCCCACAAGGACCCCGCGTTATTATCTCACAGTTCTGCAAGATCGATCCAAAGCAATCGAATCCCCGCGAGGCGTTCAAGCTACTCTTCATTCTGCTGGAGCTGCTCGCCTTGGAGTGCGATAATGCATCTGTTTCGGGCATATTTTTTGTAGTTGATGCACGGGACGTCACAATGGAACAAATGCTCCAATACGATCCATTTCTGCTGAAGAAGACCTTTATGCTAGTGGATCAGTGTATGCCTCTGCGGTTTGCAGAGATTCACTTGGTGAACATGATATCCTCAGGACAGAAAATCTTTAATTTCGTCACCTCATTTCTGCCAGCCAAACTACCCTTTAAGGTGCGTAAGCCGAACCACTCCTGCCCTCAATGGCCACTAATCTTATGCTCTCTTCCACTCAGTTCGTAGTGCATAAGAAATCGGAGGACTTGTACAAGCATCTGCCGCCGGAGGCGATGACCATTGAGTATGGCGGCAACAATGGCTACCAGGCAGAGGCGCTGGACTACTGGCGCAGCAAGCTGCTGGAATACAAGGATTACCTTGCAGAGGACTCACAATATTGTACCAACGAGAAGCTGCGCGTGGGTCTGGCCAATGCCTGGGCCAGTGGCGAGCTGAGCGGCACCAGCGGCTCCTTTCGCAAGCTGGAAGTGGACTGAAACCAGTTCTAATACGTGCTTATGTCTGCTTTATTCATAGTCTTTAATTAAGTAGTTACTAAAGCTAAAAAAATACTAAGCTAGTTCTATATATTTTCACTGGCATTTGGTGTGTCCTTTGGGGTATAGCGCGTATCCTTTGGCTGGCTCTTAAAATTAACTTTACATTTAGCTAGTTTGGCTTCCATAATCTAATGCTGGTGCTAGGTGCTACATTTCTGCTTAAAGTTTGCGTTCAACGAGGCAGTCGAGCGCTTCGTCGATGCTGTGGCTGTGGCTGTGGTTGTGGTGGTGTTGGTGGTGCTCGTGGTGACCACGGTGACCACTTTACTGGCGCTGGCTTGCATTTGAACAGCGTTCGTTGTGCTCTTATTGATGCTTTGCACAATGAGATTGAGGCAATCCAAGCTGGAGCCATTCGCACTGGCGCTCGCGTCGAAGTCTGTTAGAAAGTTATGGAAATTTTAGATAAATAATGAAAAATGCCATAACTTTCTATGTATACCTGCAAATTGTCCATATTTTTCCATGTGTCTGTTGTAAAAGATGAGCTTATCCTCCAGGTACGCACCTGCATAGGAGCTCTGAAATTGCAATTGAAAATGCATCCATGAGATACTTTGCTAGCGCTAGCTTGGCAACTGCCACACCATGAGCAAGACAATAATAAAATAAAACCCAAATAGCAAGAGTGCCGCCGCCCCAAATGACAATGTCAGAATTTGGCTGGGTCCAAATGCCCGGCAGAATGCGCTCTAATGATGAGATTAGCCCGAAATGCTTGCGAGCTGTACAGATTCCACAAGGCAGCCAATTAAAATGCATTGAACCTATGCGACGGCAACCGGAGCACGAGCATTGTCTCGAGCAGTCAAGTGTCAGGAGTGGGGCCACTTATTAGCAATTAAGTTAATTTGCTGCAATATTTGCATACGCAGACGGCAGGAATGGACAGGGACGGGAAAGAGAGCTGAGGGAACTGGGGGATTTGTTGATATATAAACGGAGATACGCAGATTTCATTAGAAAGATTTGCTTTAACGCCTTTGCCAAGCAAATTATAATTGCCAATTCTGGGTGGGTTCCCAACTAAAACTTGGCCATCGAGTTGCCCGGAATTTCATTTTATTTTTTTATTTTGTGCCGTCACAGCGTCTGCAAGGATCAGAGCACATGGCCAGTGACTGCGACTGGGACACACTGGGGCTGTGGCTGCGGCTAGTCACTGTGCGCCTTCGTATTTATAGGCACAATGTGACATGAAAACGACACCCAGCAGAACAAGCAAAGAACAAAACGTTGAACACAACAACTCACGGCTGCACTTTTATAAAGCGATTTATCATTTCTCGAGCGTTTAGTGACAGCGTGCGCTCGATATAAGCGACACACATATGCATACTATATATATTTATATACTATATATATATATAAATATAAGCATATGCATGCAGTAAGTATATGAAATTTTAATTATATTTCTCTTGGCGCAGACAACATAAGCATATAGTATATGTAAGCATGTTAATATCTGAATGAAATGCCACTTATCATTCGCTAAGCATTTATGAGTTGCGCAAAGATTTTAAGCCGCTTTTTGGCGCGTGGTTCTTAGAAGTGCCTCGACATGATATTTCGAATAGAAACGGATATGCGGCATTATGCTGGGCACCTCTTTAATAAAGTTATGTAAACACTTCAAATGACCTTAAGCATTCTTTTCTTTTTTTGCCTATGTTATTATCGATGTTTTGTAATCAAACATTATTAAAACTAAAGTCAAATGTCAATAAGATAGCACAAAACATAGATAATTCTAAGTAAGTAAATAGATAAAAGGTTCACTTCCGTTTTATAGAAATGAGTCATTTGCACCTAAATGCTTATATTATGCCAAAATTAATTGTTGGCAGCGTATACAGACGGGTGCGATTACAATTTGAAGTATCTACTCAACTGATATGATCGGAATTGCTTGATAGAATATCTGTTATAAAGCCAAGGTGAACTTCAGGTTCAAGCTTTTGAGGTGCAATGCATGATAAAAAAAGTTTATGATTAGAATATTGCCAACTGAATTGTGTTGTTAAGGGCAACGAAATTTAAATCAACCAACAACACAATTCAGTTGGCAATATTCTAATCATAAGCTTTTTTATCATGCATTGCATATATATACATATATATATATAAATATATATATATGTATATAAATATATATATATATGTATATAAATATATATATCTAAATATATATACATATATCTATATATCTATAGTCTGTATTCTATTCTATAACTATATCTGCATTTGTACTTGTTCTTAAAGATACATTTGTATCTGAATTCTTTTTTTCTGTGTCTGTGCCTATTTGTATCTTTAGTTCCATATGTATCTGATTTGTATCTGCAATTGTATCTATTTCGTATCTATATTTCTATCTGTATCTGTTGCTACAATTGTATCTATATCCGTATACGCTGTACTTGTATCTATATCTGATGCATTGCTATCTATAACTGTAGCTACCTTTGAACCTGTATTTTTTCTATGTGTCTGCGTCAATGGTTACCTTTCTATATGTACCTTTAATTCCATATGTATCTGTATCTGATTTAGTATTTATATCCACAGTTGTATCTGTCTTCATAGCTATATTTATATCTGTATCTGTAGTTGCATTTGTATCTTTATCTATATAGTCTGTATTTGATGCATTTATAAATGCATTTTATAACTATAGTTGCATTTAAAAAAAACCATAAAATAAATTTAATTCATAAACGGTAATCCCACTTTAAACAGCAGATATGAAAATTGTATATAAGGAAAATGAAATGAAAATGGAAATTATAGACTTCAGAGTATGAAACTCTTGGGTTTGCTTATTTATAAAGCATTTGTTATCAACGCTTAGCACTTTGCACGCTAATATTTAAAAATACAATTCCAGCTCCCCCTAGTTTCCACTTGCTATTTGCCACTTGCCAGTTGGTAGCTGCTACCCCAAAATGGGATGGATGGATGGATTGTCAGGCTGTGGCTGAAGTGCATTTTAATGTCGCCCGCTGGCATTTCGCCAGTTTTTAATCAAACTATGGACGCACATTAATATCTGCCATTGAGGGCGCGTACTGTCGGCAAAACAAATATGCAAGGTTTTATGGTAAATTAACAAATTTGTACATTAAAATTTGAAAAACTCAAACAAACTGCATGGAAATTACTCAGCAGCGACTCGAGTTGCGATCGGGCATCCATAAAAAAGAACAAAAAATAACAAGCAAACATATAGCTGCGGCTATTGCAAAAATGTTTGCATAATTGTTGACAATTTGTTAAGCTGTCAGATGGGCCTCCAGCTGCTGACTGCAAGCTGTTGACTGGCCCAGCGGCCGTAGCCCATGTCTTGCAACACCTTTCGAGGAATAGCGCTGCGAGCTTGTCATGTTTTTCCTGTGCAATTTGTCAACTGACACATTTCCCTCGAACATTTCGACTCGAACATATTGTGAAATGCTTCTGCAAGAGACGCTGCCCCCACCGCCTCCCCTTTCCACTCTTTCCTTATAAAACAAAATTCAAATGTAGCTCAAGTTTTCCCTTCGTAAGCTCCCTGTCATGGCGTTCGAATTTGTTATAATTAATTTACAACACGTTTCTCGTTCAGGGTTTAGAGTTGGGTGGGCTACGACAGATACGCCTGGGCCTAATGCAGCGCATAAAAAGAAAATTTATTTATTGATCGTTACTAACTGCACCCTCAATATAAATAAATTCAGAGCCTATTTCGATTCGAAGTGTGTTATAATTTCTGGGCAAGTTAGCTGATTGTGCTTTTACCGCTCATCGGGGCAATCATAACTCATTATTTTCCCCTCGACAAGCAGGACAGCCAGAGCCCCTCACCCGGTTCCAGATAGGGGCATCTGAGAACAAGCTTATTAAGTTGCACGTCAGTGAGCGCATAAATATTTCTCTTATATTTTTTTGGTTTTTGGGCAGCAAATCACGTAGATGCCGCCTTTTGAATATGACTTTTCGATTTTGGGAGATGTGGACTTTAAGATTTGGTGAATGAGGAGCAGAAGCTAAACCCAAGAAAGAATCTTGTATTCTATTTTCACTTACACACAGAGATATATATCTAGGGAGAGAGAAAGAGACTGAGATTTTGATGAATGTGCGCGTCAGCAAAAGAAAAATGTACGAAAATGTTTTTCATGCATGAGGTTTTTACGAGAAAATAATTGCGGAACGTTTTTTGCCTGCGCCGTTAATATTAATTGGCGTTCAGCAAAAACTTACCAGATAATCGGACTGGCAGCTCTTGCCGCTTAAACTGGGCGCCAGATTGTCGCCGTCGCGTGTGGGCGTGGATTCCTAATGCGAAAGAAACCGCAAGAGAGTTAGAGATTTTTGCGCAGCTATATTCACAAATATATTCCGTAATACCTGCAGCAGATCCTCGAGACTCTCGATGTATTCGATGGCATTGCGCAAGATCTCAACCTTGGGCAGGCGTTGATTGGGATTGGACGATGTGCGACGCTTCAAGATCTCAAAGGCCTCGTTAACCTAGAAAGCAGCAGAAGGCAAATGGCTGCCAATTAAAATTCATAATCGAAATTATAGAAATCATAGAAATCCATTAGACATGCCATAAAAACCCACCCAGCGGCTTGCTCATCTTTAAGTGGCTCTTTAATAAAACATATTTTAAATTAAATCGCGCATAAAATTTAAACAATTAAACTGTTTGGCGCGGGTGGTTGATGTTGATGTTGATGATGATGATCATGCCCCAGTGTCATTAGACATTCCCCCTTTATTCATAATGTTAATAGCCCTGCCACAGGGGTTTTGTCGATCTATAAATACGACTCGAGAAAACTCGATTCTTTAAGTTTTACGATTCGAACACAGAACTCACTCTTCTTATCTCACTTTCGTGCTCGTTAATGTTCTTGTTTAATGTTTGGCAAATCTTGCATTTTTATGCTTGTTGGGTGGCTTCGCTCTAGCCGAGATGGCTTACACAATTTAGGGCCAAATGATTGCAAGTGACATTTACGTTCACGATGTGTTAATTTCTGTGGCGCAACTAAGTTGCACGCAATCCTCAAGATTGGGGTAGCTTGCTTATCCAACTCATGATCTATGATCATTCTAAAGCAGAGATATTCCCTGTAACCTATGCCAATATTATCGCTGCTTGTCTGCTTCAGTTGCCAGCTCAAGATATTGAAATATTCAGTAATTTGAATTTGTCTTGCAAAATAATATTTCATATGTTTTTCGTAAATATCAATAAACTTGAATTTTTTAAAAATATTTTAAAATGTTCAATATTTCATTAATTTATTTTGTAAATATATAATATTTAAAAACTTAAATATTTCAAAACCCTACTTTGAATAATTTTTTAAAACTTAAATATTTCTAAAATTTATTTCATAAATATTTTAAAAACTTAAATATTTTAAGAACTTCTTTATAAATATTTCAAATAGTTAAATATTTCAATTAAACATTTTAAAAAGTAGTAAATTAATAAAGTATTGGATTCCTCAGCGAAGTTTCGAGCTTGAGTTTTCTTAGGCGAAGGTCAGGAAATAAAGTTGATAGTTTTTAGCTTTTAATATAAAAAAAATGACTGAGTTTATTTACTTTGCCTAACAACTCTTTGGATCCATTTTACTAAGTTAAGTCTCTATTAAGTTGGCCTAGCTTTTACCATTGAATTAAAGTGTTAAGACTTGCCATTCGAGCCAAACATGCGTCATAATCAAAAGGCAAACTACAAATGTAAATATAGTAACTCTTGTATTTATGTTTTCTTTGTAAATTAGTTTAATTATAAATAATAATTTCAAAGCAAATTTCATACGAAAGACAACCTTGACTTGCCTTAAAATATAAGTTGCTTTGCTTCAGATAACGTCTACGTCTCTGGGTAATGATATAAGCCAGAGGAAACATTAAGCCCCACTTGAACGCTGCAACCCTTCGTTGATCATTCGCTCACCTTTCTTAGACGCCGTCTCTCTCGCATTGTCGCTGCCTTGCGGCGATCCACGGTGACATTCTTCTTTTTACACGCCTTGCAGGCCCATGTGAGGCAGGGACGCGAGGACTGGGCTGAGGCGCAAACGAGTGGCGCAAGCACATGCTCCTCGGAGCTCAAGCTGCTATCCTCGTCGTCGTAGTCCGTGGTGTATATGGGCGAAGATGTCATGGATAGCTGTTTGCTGGCATCTGTAGTTTGATGGTTTCTGTTGCCAAAGCTGCAGGCGGCACTGCTGGCGTCGCCGACGGCATTAAAGCGGCTGAAGAAATGCTGCAGCGTCTGTTGTGGATTCTGGTGCATATTTCCATGTGGCAGGTGGTGGTTGTTACTGTCGTTGTTGTTGTAGCGAAAGCCAGTTGAGTTGGCTTGCTGTAAATAATTGTTGTATTCCTGTTTGATGACATTATCATTGGTAGCAACTGCGCCCGTTAGCATGCCGTTGCCATTGTTGTATTTGGTCATGATTGAAGGCAATTCGATGATCCTTCAACTCACTTCACTTCACTCTACAGGTAACTTCACAACAAATTAAACGATCGAGTATGAAAACGGACACGGAAAATCTTGAGAGGCAAAGGCGAACACGAACGAGACGAACCGACGCCCGCGACATACGCAACACATTTGGCTGACAATATTCGAAAATGTTTTGTGTGTGTGGCGCGAATCTTTCCCAGATTCACATGTGCTCCGCTCTGCTCTGCTCAGATCTTGCTGCGTTTTGAGTGGCTGCTCGTCGCTGCTCTCGAGTGGGTTCTATTTATAACGCGGCCCGCCATTAGACACTGGCATTAGGCACAGAAGGACGCACACACTGCCAGCACACAGGCCACGCCCCGTCTCGACTGCTGTCGCTGTTAGTGGAGAGCCATTTGGATTTTCTGCTCAATGAAAATTGTATTTGTGAAAGGCTTAGACGATTTGGTATATTTACGATCCACTGTCTGAATAAGAAGTCAAATAAATTTGAATCTACCTGCCCAACGATTAGCGCATCGCTTATAAATTAAAACCGAAAAAAAACAATTCGTTAATGTGACACATTTAATGGAAACAGCACTCCAGGCACTCCGCCCAGACAGCCACCCACTCACCTGCCCTACAATCGTCACACACCTTGCCATTGAGATTTTCCCGACATTTTCATTGTTGTTCTTTTTTCGTTTCGTCGGCTACGCATCAAATTGACCAGAAAAAAAATTAGACAAAAACGAGGAAAACTAAAAATTGTCTTTGCCTCCCCACGTATATAATTTGTTTATTTATTGCCGCTCAAACAAAATATATATCTTTGAAAATCACCTCTAAATCTTCTTGAATGATATTGTAAATCTTCTGCCTTAAGGCTCGTGGTTTTTGTGCATTTCGCTTTATTTTCCATTTCGATTTTGTCACAGCTTTAGCCGTTGTTTTCTTTTCGATCTCGTTTCATTTGAGTTTCGTGTTGATAAATGTTTTGTTTTGATTTGCTCTGATTTTATTTTGAACACACTTAGGTGTCGGCTTTACACGAAACTTGTTTATGATCAGCCCAAGGTAATCCCAATACAAAATTAAGCCATATCTATAGAAGTTGCATTCCCTTTGCAATGGATTTTGTTTTTTTTTTTTTTTCATTAAGTTGGGCGTTTTATTGCAAAATAAAAGCATTAAATTAATGTTTTTTTCTTTTTGTTTGAATTTGTTTATTTTTGTTATTTTAATTGTAGATACTTCCACTTTCCTTTTATATTGCTTTTTATTCCTCTTTATACATATTTGTCCCTCTCTCCCTCTCGTTACCGATTTGTCAATTTTTTAAAACTCTGTTTCTCAATCCCAATACTTCTTCTCTTTTTCTCTCCATTTCTCTCTATCCATCTCTCTCTCTCTCTCTCTCTCTCTCTCTCTCTCTCTCTCTCTCTCTCTCTCTCTCTCTCTCTCTCTCTCTTCCTCTCTCTAATTCTTTCTCCATTTCTTTCAGATTCTTTAATTTTCCCTATCCACAAATTTGACCTTGCTGAGTTTAGCTAACTTATTATTATTACAATATTCATATTTTAAAGTAAAACACATAGAAATAGTTTCTTTTCGTGTTTATTTAATTAAAATCCAGTGCCTCTGAGAAAACTATGTCTAAGATTTGTATTTGAAGTTTAGCGCGCTCAGTATCCAGTGCTACCCATCTATTTGCGTCTAGCGCCATCTATTGTCGAGCAGCACTTTTGGTTTGAAAACTAATTGGGATTGCAATAAACTGTTGCATACTCTTAGGATGAGGTTATTAATGCCTTAAATGACAAATCTGAAGCATAAATGAAATTTGTTAAAATTATAGCTAATATATGTTTTTATTAAATTTCTTATACTTATGTAATTGGTATGTACAGTAAATAATATAAATTTAAATGTTAAATATTTTTATCGAGTAATATGACTCGCCTAATGAGCTCAGAAAAGTAAGTGTAATTTCAATTAATTAAGTTAATTGCGCTGACGCTGAATTTCATTTTTATCTTACCTTTGCAGTATACCTTTGAGTTACTGATGAAACTTTCTACAAAAATTGAAGCATTTTGTTATCAGAAGTTAGACGAGGTCACGTTTGAATTCAATAGCTATTCAATTTTGTTAAGTGCCGTTATTTGAGAACAAAATACGACGTCTCGCACCTGCTTATTGCAGATTGTTGTTGCAGCTGCTGTAATTGTTGTTGTTGCCACTGAAGTGTGCAGAGCGCTTTCTGCTTTCCATTCATAAAAATGTGCAACATGCGGCAAGAGTGATAACAAATTACGTCAGCCAAACAAATGTGTAGGAGAGAAAATAACACGAAAGTGAGAGCAGGTGGAGCGCATGTGCTAAAATAGACGAAAATAACAAGAAAGAGAGAGAGAGACAATGAGAGGGAGAGAGAGAAAGAAGTGTTTGCTACACAAACCAAAACATGGAGAAGTTTTTTTTTATCATAACTTGCCTCAAATCTCGGGCATTGCCTTCAACCACAACAGCTGTACAGCTATGAATGTGCCACAAAACGTGGCAAGCACAAAGTTAAACTAAATAAAGACTCACAAATTGATACGCGCTATTAAACATGTATTTATACACATACATCTGCACACAATGGAGCTATTTGCAAAGCGAAAGAAAACATTAATATTTTACAGCAATTTTTTTGTTAACTCAGCTAAGTGTATTTACGATAAGACGAGCAGAAATGCTGAGATGTTGCTTGGCGAGGGGCAAGTGAAGCAAGAAGATTTGTTGCGTGGCAATATTTGAGCGCGCAAAAGCAGCACAAGTCACGCAGTTACATTGAAGCCGTCACACGAGACGGTTGGGCGCGCAGCTCAGCGAGAGTATTTCCCCATTGTGAATTGAATTTCGCATTCACACACACACACACGCACGAACAAAAGCGCGTACGCACATACACACACGTATATTGTGAACATGTTGCTGTGACATGTAAACAAAACGCGGCGAACACAGAAGATGCTGATAAATAGGGCGACTAAAGCTGAGAGTGCAGTGCAAAAGTTGAACGGAAGTTGATAAGCACAAGCGTATAATAAGCGAGGCACACAAATAACGTTAACCAATAACTGTGAAAGCTGAAAGAAATGCGCAGGTAAAAAGCTGCTGGCGCAGCATCAACTCTTACATTAACAACATATCAAATATATGCGTGCATTCATATGTGTGTGTGTATGTCAGCATGTCAAAAGTTTGACGAACAAGTCTCAGGTCTCTAAACATGTACACACTCATACAATAACAATAACAACACAGACTAAAGTTTCAGTGTCAACACATGTTGGCATGTGCATACATACATATAGCTGTGCTTTCATGTGTCCGTTTATGCGTGTGTGTGTGTGTGAGTGTTGACATTGTTTTTGCGTTACAACTCTCAGTACTTTCGTAATTTGCACGAACTGTTATCAATGTGTGCGTGTCTGTGTATGGATGTGTGCGCGCGCTTTTTGTTTTGTCTTCTGTTTACACTCTCACACCTGTTATCGGCATTTGTTTGCCTCTCACACACACAGAGCCTCTCTCTCACACTCTATCACTCTCCCTCTCTCTACTTCTCTGTCTCTTTATCCTCATCTCTTTGCTTGTCAACACATGAATGTGCTGTCGATGCATCAAAACAATTTAAACTCAATTTTATATAATTATATTTACATACATATATATATGCACGCTTGCACAGAAGTAGTTCACTTTATGAGCCATGCGAGCTGCGAATGCACTTCCGATCAGGGCTGGGCAAGGTTTATGGATGGAATAAATATACATGTATACATATCAAGGGTATCACATTTCAAGGTCATTATCTGATTGAGGTTGCTTACAGAGTTATAAAAGTGAATTACAAAGAATCAGTTATCAATCCAGCCTGAAGCACGTGCCAGCTGTCTATGCATGTATATATCATAGGTTTACTTTCATCATCATATTTCATACAAGTATTCAGCCAGCAAATGTTATTGATTTCGGATTCAATTTTGTTTTTACCGAATTTACATAAATATAATATATAGGACGCTACGACTTGTAGAGGGTTTTCAAGGTGTGCCTGCTTAAGTACTTACAGCGAGCTATAAAAAACGCAAATTATCGATACTTAATAAATATTTATACACATATACACATATTACGAAACATGCCTATAGATATACCCACATTTCTAAGAAAGAAACCTGTATTCCGAACAGACACTTTTGGTAAAATCGATTCATTATTTCTTGTTATTGGCGAAATTAGCTAATTAAACAGGTTCGATTCTATGTTGTTTGAAACAAAGTATATATATATATCAATGTCTTTGACCCATTATCGCATTCTAAACAAAGTGCTTAACCAGTTCAATTAAAACTTAAATTAAAATTCCTAAAAGTAAAAGTTTTTAAGTCATTGAACAATCAAAATATTTGTTAAGATATATACCTTAATTTATTTTATAGCAGGTGTTATTCAATTCGCTTTGTTCGAGTCATAAAAGGCGAAGACGAGGCCATTAATTTAGGCCAAATATATTGAACGAAGCCTCGCCTCAGACACAGAATGATAGATGTTTTGTTTACATTTGACATTTGGTGTCAATAAGAGTCGAAATGTCTGCATTGGAAATAATCGAGCCCAATCACCCTCTCAAAGTTTCCATTTTTGGCTACACTTTACGCGCTTATCTAGAAAGTCACATTTGCAAAGCCAGTAAGGAGGGAGTGCCCGACTAGGAGATACCTTGAACTCTGCGCAGAGCTGCCTTTTCAATCATCTTAGGATTCCTATGTGCATATGCATATACGCACCTATATATGTATTTTTTTAATAATAGAAGCAAAGCGGGAAAGTAGCCCACAGCAAATATATTCATAATGTGTGTATTCATGAGAGGAATATGTGCTAAAAATTTTCCAGCGCTCTCATAAAAAAGAAGAAAAAGAGCTTTAAGTTCCCCGCTCTTGTAGCTCTCTGCAAGAGTATATATAATTTAAGGTATCAGCCACGCCCCCTAAGGCCTGTGACATACGCACTGCACAAAAAAAGATGCCCCTTCTATCCATTTCATTGAGTTCAGTTTATAAAAAGACACTTCTGTCTGGGCCGAAGCTTAGAGCACATGAGAGCGAAGCGCCTGTCAGCGCCACGTCGTGTCGTGTGGCTTAATCTAATCTAGCTAATCAGCGAGCAACGTTTCGATTGATTGTCGAAAGTGCTGGCTGTGCATTTATTAAATTATTAATCACTTTTGCCGGGCAGCAATTGAATTGGCATTAAAAATAAAAATTAACTGTGTATTTTTAGCCAAGTCATTTGAATTACGTGTAATAAAATAAATATATATTTAATTGTTTATTTCTGAAGTGCAACTCCAAAAGGTTTTGCTACTGCCATTCGCCAAGTGCCTTCATAGCTGTCAAAATATTCATTTATTTATCAACCTAATAGACGGACGTACGAGTGCGCCCGAATGGGGAAGGGACTTCTGGCATAGCGACACGTTACACTTGGACAGATAGGTCGAACACTTCATTAAGCAACGTCAATCCTAATTGATAAATATACTGTGCACAACAAGTGACAAACTATAAGATACAATTGTCCACATTAGATGCAAATGCACGTAATGGGAGAGGAGTCTCTCACACGAACCGTTCATGTGGCTGTCACATGGCTATTTCTGCTTTTATATAATTTTATTATTGTTGACGAATTTAAGCGACCCACTGAACAGAACACAGACGCACTCAGACAGTCACATTCATGCACACATTCATTCAGTATCTCGTAAATTGCGAAAAATTCGTACACTATGACAGAAGCTTGTTAGCGTTTGAGCTTTTGCTGTGGCGCCTGTTACCCAAAAATAAGAACGAAAATGAAAATATGTTTAGAAAGGCGGCACACGAGTAAGCAATTAGCCCCCCGTTTGCTCTCACCCAAGTGCCCCTTATCTATGCCACAGTGCACTGAGAAAATTTCAACCTTGAACCGTTTGCAAAAAACTTTCACAATGAAAAAAGTTCAGTATCAAGGACCCAGAAGCAAGCAGCGTGTATCTCGTAGACACTTGCATGCACATACACGCACACATGTAAATACTGACACATCATTGTATGTGTGTGTGGGTATAAACAAAATGTTTGCTTTGTTTGCTTTGCACGCAAGACATCAACGTTGCGTATACGTAACGTAGCGAATGAATGGTGGAACAAAGACTCTCGCATATACAAATTTACATACATACATACAAATATGTCAGTTATTTCAGTGCGTGTGCGTCCTCCCGAATGTATTTAAATCTTTTGGTTATTTTCCATGAGCGTTTCTCGCTTTTGGGTCATCGAATTTATGCCTTAAAGTTTTTTATGCAAAAAAAAAATAAATGAGAGAGATAAAGAAAAAGAAACATGGAAATACGCTAATATTTAGAAAGAGCGTGTATAAAACAGAAATCGCACACATTCAAAATGCTCGCTGCGTGGGATAGACGATAATCAAAACAAAGTGTGCAAAATGTTTAAATATTCATGCACCAATACATAAGGCACTCAATATGCATGAACACGCTATAAAGTCGCTAAAAATATCAGGCACACACATTTCTATATATATGTAGATATGGCAAAGACAGTGTGACGGCGACACCCAGACACGAGCGATACATGAACTGAATAGCAAAAGACGATTAACACTTCTGTCTGCCCGTTCCAATTATTATTTAACAGCTGCGTAGTTAGGAAAGCCTCCAAAATCCTAGGAACAAACCCCAATTTCTAAGAAAGCGTGCTCTAAGCAATAGCCAACCAGAAGCTACCCTGTATATATATATTTATATTATTTTATATATTTATATATATATATATATAAGCTTCTTCCTCTACAATTTTGAAGTTGATAGCTCGAAATGCAGAGTGTTAAAAGGACGTAGTAAATCTGATTTTATAGTTTAGCGGGATTGGGTGAAGGCAGTATTCCTCTTAATTTGTATAAAATTTAGTAGATTCTATATGCTATATCATGTGTATTGCTCAAATTCCTCTAGTACGATAGTCATTATAAACATTTCCATGAGAAGATAGTAAAATTATCGATCATTCAGTTGAGCTGCTCGACTTTCGGCCCCGACTCGTCCATAAAGTATAACGAAACTATTATAACCTAAATTCCCAATTTCTATGGATTCAGGGTATAAAAACTTAAATTTTTCTGTATTTGCTTTATTTACACGCTACTACTCTGTATGTGTGAGTGTGTGTTTGCTTGCGTCTATCCGCGTGTGTGTGAGTGTGTGTGTGCGTGGACGTGCCAAAATATTTTGTATACCGTAAAAGCAGGTTGGCAATGCTCATTGTGGACTTCGATTATACAACTATGGGATATTTAAATAAAATGCATTTATTATAAAAGAATGTGGAATTTTCTAATCAATAAATGCATAAGTAAACCAAAAAATTTAGAATACATTAGAATAAAAGAATTTTACGATAATTGGCCATACGACATATTTATGTGATATATCTGGCTATATATAAAAGAGAGATCTCAGGTTTTTTAAAGTATTCCACAAACAAAGAAAGCAAGAGAAAATCATGTAAAATTTAAAATATATTATCAAAGTAAATATAAAATTGAACTGCATGATTTGCACAATTTCCAATCAGATGATAATAAAATCGAATTACCAAGGAATTAATTGTATGTATAATTGCCAAGTCGAAAACACTTAAGATTTTATTGAATTGAAGTGTTTGCTGAGTAGTTAATCAATTGACTTAATAACATTTTTGCCGTGTCATTTAACCCAAGATTTATTAAGTAGGCATATAAATTATTGGCAATAGCCAAGGGGAGACTTTTTAATAGATCGTGTTTAAAGCAACTCAAGTCTACCCTAGGGCACAGCAAAGAACTTGTTCGATTCGGTTTCACTATCAGCGACGAAAGAGAAAGAGAGAGGAAGAGTAAAAATGAGAGAGAGTGAGGGTGCCAAACAAAAACACTTTGAATACTCACACACACACACACACACAAACTTACATTCACATGTATGTTTACTTTTGTATAATTTGTGAGTAGATTCGCAGATAAGTCTATTGCGCCAACGTCGCAGACGACTTAGACCGAGCGTCATAAATATTTATTCTCCTACAATTTTGTTTTCTCGCTCAGAAATGTTTTCGTTTTTTCTTAGTGGCCGCTCGGCTGTTTAATTTGAACTTAGGATCGTTACTTGCCGGCCACAAGCGGAACTATTTACTAGAACTCTTTCAAATGAACTGGCAGTCAAAACAAAACAATTACAAAAAACATCTTTATATATACTAGTGAATTTATTGAAAAGCAATTGGTCGCGTGACCCGATCAAGTAAGCGTCTGATTTCAACTACAGAAATTATTTAACACTTTCGTTTTGTGTAACATGTAACAAAATAAATTAAAGTTGATATATTTTCGTTTTCAGATGCATTGTAACCGGCTAAGAGCTAAGAGGACGTAAGATGAGACACGTGAGATAGCCGCAAAACGTTGCAAGCAACCCCATCGATATACCTCCAGCATGCCAATTTAATAGCCGAGAGAGCTAAAAAGCACAATATACACGCATACATACACATACTTACGTGCACATACACTATCAGCATAGCTCACATCAGAATCACATCAACATCAACAAATTCGTTCGGCTTAGTGCTCAAATTAACTGTGTGATAAGCAATTTCTTTTGGACAAATTATGGCTCACTTCAGCGGTCATCGGGCACCCACCGAGGTGCCCGCGCACTTTAAAAATCTGTTCACGGATGGCAAACTCGGCGACGACGATGACAGCGTTGACAACAATAACAATAATAATAATAATAATAACAACAACAATAATAATGACCAGAAGAACCAACCTGATAATGCAAATAGCGACTGCCAAGCCGTCTGCTGGGTCTTCGGCTACGGCTCGCTATGTTGGTATCCGGGCTTCAACTACACCAAATGCATAACGGGCTACATACGTGGCTACGTGCGTCGCTTTTGGCAAGGCAACGTCACTCATCGTGGCACCGAGGAAGCGGTAAGTGTTACTTAATGGTCTAGAAGTACCCCGAGCTACCTGCACTAAACATATCAACAACTTTCCCACATATGAATTCTCTGTTTATTTCATTATCTAATTGGCAAGTCTTATCAGCAGTGAAATAACTAAACGTAGGCGTAAAGCGGCTAGACAAAATAAAATGTAAATAACTCTGTCAACTTTGTGTCAGCGTAGCCAACTGGTTCTACAACTATTTACATACAGACATATCAAGACACAAAGATACAGACAGAAAGAATAAACGAACTTCTGAAAACCTTTTTAAGACACTTGTCACAATAACAATAACACGATGCCTTCATGTTCAGCTATGTGAATATTCATATTGAGTGAGAGGCAATACACTTTAGCAATCGGAATAATTTCAATTATATCTTTATATATTGGCGAGCAATGTAAAAATAAAACAAGATCCTCTCCCGTACACATTTATATCAATATATATCTATATATATATATATATATATATATTTGCAAACTGCAAATCAACATACATTCCCTTCGATGTTCTTCTGTATGACATATATAATGCAATATATTTAATCTGTTTTCTTTATTGTCTTCTTTTACAGCCTGGGCGTGTTGCTACACTTGTTGAGGACAAAGAGGTGAGAAGAGATTCATTTTTCTATATACATATTTATTGCTTTGAATGTAAGAAAAGAAAAAGTTAATTGCGCTGCGTTTGAATTTCCCTACGTAAGCCCCATTCCGTGTAGTGGGTGTGCGGCGAAACACGCCCATTACTCGTCCATATCTTAGTGATCTCTGGCACATTTCCGCAGTCAACCGAGCGCAACAATTCGAGGCCCTTATAGCGGGCCTCTCTTCATTGGAGTACGCAAGGCGAAATACCGCGAAATATAGGCGAAAATTGTACAACTATTTTTACGCCTTGATACTTTCTATCCTAGGCCCGGGGACTTTACCCAGGGTAATCAACATTGTGAGAGCTACCAGGAGCTCGTTTGTGACCCCGAGAGACAAGCAAGGAAAACTCAAAACGCCCTGAATTGATTATCGCTCGCCGCTATTTAAATGTGCCGCAAGCTGAAAAATGAGTTGAGAATTCTAAGCATAAAAAATACGCGGAATACTAAATACGAGCGATACGAAATGCGCGAGCAGTCGACGAAATTTATTATTAACTTATTATTATTAATATTTATTTTTAAATTTATTTTTATTTTTCCGAAATGTATTTTAGGTTTAAATTTATATATTATTTTGTAATTTCATTTTAATATTCTTTTATTTTAGGGCATTACATGGGGCTGCGCATATAGAATAACAGGCTCAACGGCGCTGGAATATCTTAAGCAGCGCGAATGCACGTTAGGTAAGCAATTTATAATTAATCAAATTATATAACAAATTAAACTAATATTAATATTAACAATATTTTCGATTAGGTGGCTATGCAACGCTCGAAACAAAATTCTTTCCCCGCGTCGCTTCTCATGACACGCCCTTTAGCGGCGAGGCCCTCGAGGTGTTGGTCTATGTGGCTACACCGGAAAATAGCCATTGGCTGGGTGAAGCGCCATTGGAGGTTATAGCACAACAAATCGCGAATTGCCGTGGTCCTAGTGGGCACAATGCGGAATATTTACTGCGATTGGCACTTTTCATGCACGAGGAGATACCGGGAGTGCGGGATGAACATTTATTTGAGTTGGAACGGCTGTTGCTCGAAGAGATTTATCGCAAGGAAATACCTCTGTCATCTCTAATGGGACGCAATCCTGACCGCATACGTCGCGACTCTCACGAAGACGTACGTCGCCCGCCATCATTCGAGTTCACTTCTCGAATACCGGACACCAAGTTGCGCTGCCTGAATATTTGATTGTGGTATTGGTCTCGGCCCAAAAGGATATACATGTGAAGTTTTCACAAATTCAATATCAGTAACCAACTTAGGATACGAGAGTCTACGACTTATATCTATGTATTCTTTAAATTGTAAATAACCATAGCCTTAACTGTAAGCAGCAACTACTCTCGATAACTGATCTGATACTAGTATTTTAAGCCTTTACTAAGTTCTCGTAGTGCGTAAGTCGCGTCCATAACGCACACATTTACATTTATATACAGAAGTGCCCAAAAATATGAGGAAAAGTCCAATAAGAAATTAAATTAAAAAAATCTAAAATAAAGAAAAACGAAACTAAACAGATATAAAAAATCAACGCCTCTTGTACTAAATTTATCTTGTTCAAAAATAACAATCGTAATTAAACATACAAAAACAAAAAATCCAAATTTTAATTTGAAAACCCGCAACACAGACTTTATTTTTATTTTCTTTTTATTTATTATAAGCTTAGCTTGGGTTACTTCGAAGTTGAGTTTTAATTTAAGGGATGTTGGCTAGATAGTCCTTAATTGTTGCGGGGTCCAAACGCTTAAACCCGTTTTGATCGCAGATTCCAACTTCAATATTATCTGAAGTCATTTTTCCCTCAAACCCTTCCTTTAGGGTCAGAATGGCAGTGTGCACAGCGTCTTCGAGCTCAAGGTCTTCGCTATAACTAAAATTGCATAACGAACGTATGTTTTCATATGTTGAATACGTCTATTTATTGAATACTAACCGCTTCTCCAAAAATGTTTTGCCATTAACAGCATTTTTGCCCATGGCAGTTGCCTTCCAGGCAAAATATGCACCAGAGGGATCCGATTGATAAAGATATGGACGTTCATTATCCCAACCGCAAATCAATAGTGACACACCAAATGGGCGCACGCCACTAAAAAAAATGAAAATATTACTAATTGCATTAAATTGTCAGATGTATATATTATACCCAGATTGAGTGTATTCCTGCATTAACGTTGCTACACGTTGCACTAGTTGTGCCACCGGTATGGGTTCCTTGTAGGTCAGATAGTAGGATTGGGCGATTTTGCGTGCTTGTTTTACCAGTAAACGATAATCAGGACCCATTCCAGAATAGACCATTCCAATATGCTTGTTTATCATTTCCACGCGGTGCACACTATGTTCTTCATAAAGCGGCGATTTGTACTTATTTTCTGTTGCAATGACGACGCCATTGGAAGCTAGTGACCGAAAAGTTGTAAAGTCCTGCTTCAGAACAATGAATGATGTACACTTACCCATTATGCCAACAGATGGTGCGCCTCCGGATACAGCTGCCAAGGCATATTCCAGTTGGACAAGTTTTCCAGAAGGACTGCAAGCGAACGAAAAAATTAATGTTTATTGCCAGTCATGTAGACGACTTTTGCTTAAATCAAGGAAGCTTCTGGTATCCACTAATGGGCTACTGTGTTTTATTTACCTAAATGTTGTCAGGGAAAAACTGTAACGTTCAGTAGCCATTATGGTTGGCTGAAATTTGTGGTACAATAATTTTTAAATAAATGCCGACAATTCTCCTCAAAATGACAAGATGACAAGCAGAAACTAGAGCTATGACACTATCGACAATATTCCTAATAGTATCGATAGAAAAAATACTATTGCAGTATATAAAGTATTTGCAGATCAATATTCATAATCGATGCTAAGTTTAAGGCATACTTATAATAACACCCATTCACAAATATATATTTTTCCATTCAATTTATACAAAGCAATAAAGGAGCCATAAATCAAGCAATGTTTTTTCATATATCATCTCTTTTTAAAAATTATTTACAAATTATAGTATCGATAAAGTATACTTGCCACACAGTTAAAACAACAAATGTAAATAAATCGGTCTATCAAATTTGCAACCGTATTCAATGCTAATCGAAAACTTTCATAGGCGTAGTGTGGGACTCGGTGCTTGACTTACTAATTATAATTCGTCAAAATTATTCATTATAATAAAAGTATGGTACGTGGAGTGCTTCGAGGCAGCAGGCCTATGCGAGGCGGCATTCGTCCGCCGTTTAAGAAAACATTTGTACCCCGTCATCCTTTTGATTTAACTTTGACGGAAGTTGTATTTCCTAAAGTCTCGCCGGTTGTGGATGATTCTGCTTTGACTGCGGTAAAATCAATAAAAAAAAATCAAAATAAAACATACATAATAAATTACCGTGATATTTTTTATTCATAAAGGCTTTACTGAAACGCAACCAAGACCTTAGTCCAAGTCCCACTGAGCAGGCAGCAATTGGTAACTTGGTTACTAAAGTGCAGGTCGTGTTGGATAATTTAGTCGTTGCGCCCGGCGACTTCAATACTTGTGTAAGTTGTCACAGCAACATATCCCCTATTTAAATATACTTCTAACCTAACTACATACATACACAGCAATTAGAAGAGGTGCGCCAAGTTGGGTCATTCAAAAAGGGCACCATTCTCAGTGGCAACAATGTAGCCGATGTGGTAGTCATTCTTAAAACCCTGCCTACGAAGGAGGCTTGCGAGGCACTGGCTAAGAAGGTGGAGGCGGATCTAAAAACAAGCATGAAAACTGAAGTGCTAGATAAGGAGCAACAGCATACCCTAGAAATACACGATAGGGGGTTCGATGTATCCAATTCACAAGCCAGAGTTCGTATTCTTATTGCCACCTTACCACAGAATTTACGAAAGCTGGAGCCAGAAATTCATATGGACCATAAGCTGATGCAAAGTCATTTAGCTGCCATAAGGCACACTCGCTGGTTCGAGGAGAACGCTCACCATTCTTCCATAAAAGTCCTCATCCGGATTTTAAAGGATCTAACAAAGCGATTCGATGCTTTTTCGCCTCTTTCATCATGGATGCTTGATTTAATTGCCCACCTGGCAATCATGAACAACCCATCTCGCCAAGCATTGCCCATCAATTTGGCTTTTCGCCGTGTATTTCAACTACTGTCTGCTGGGCTATTTCTACCAGGCTCAGCGGGTATAACTGATCCAACTGAACCGGGCCATATACGGGTTCACACAGCAATGACGCTGGAACAACAAGATGTATGCTGTTATACGGCGCAGACGCTGCTGCGTGTTTTAGCGCACGGTGGATACAAGCACATTCTTGGATTGGAAGGTAATACGAGCATTGTGCGTGAAATGTCGGTTTGGAATGGAGTCGTTGTGTCGCCGCTAAAGCCCGTTTATGAAAAGCCGACAGACAAAAAGGAAGGTGATCTTGAAGAAGACATTGAGATGATTGAGAATGAAAATGAGGATGTTGGAAGTGATGATGCAGCCGAATAATCTAGACAATTAGAGTTTCAATACCTATAATTATAAAATACAGCAAAAATCAATACATTTTATATGCTCAACGCATGCTCAGTTATGGGCTCATCTTCATTAACTCTCTGCTTCAGCTGTTTGTCAATTATTTCAAAAAATTTCTCTGCAAAAATACCCGGTGGCTCGCTGACTTTTATTGCAATATCAGCTGCTTGAATTATGTGTCCCTCGGGCAGATTTCGAGATGCGACAATTGATTTGCCCAATTTGAGGCGGCAAGGCAGTTCGCTGTCTAAAATATATTTTTCATTTGCATTGGATTCATCGAGGGCTTGTTCCAGCTGATGTCCGCCACGTAAGATTGAAATCACTTCAGTGGCACTGCGGGTTGAAATGGAGAGGTAATCCTTAGATTTAAATTCATCTATGCTGCGGGCCAGCGTCTGCATCTCATCGGGATCGAGAGAGCAACGGTGATCAGACCCTTTTTGGCCCTTGTCCAATGTAAAATGTCGCTCAATTATCCTCGCGCCAGTCAAAATCGCTGCTTGGGTGATGACTACACCCAGCTCATGGCCAGAGTATCCAATAGTAACATTGGGAAAACGTCGCATTAATGTTGCGATGAGACGTATGTTGCAGTCATTAGATGGTGTCGGATAGGCTGAGACGCAATGCATTAGAGCATACTTATTATTGCCAGCCTGCCTCATAATTTCGACGATTTTATCAACTGTCGACATAGTTTGCATTCCAGTTGATATTACTAACGGTATGCTGAGTTTAGCAGCTTTTGTAAGAAGTGGAAAATTGTTTGCATCCCCAGATCCAATTTTTATAAAAGGTACCTTTAAATCGCATAGAAAATCCAGAGATGTCTGGAAATAAAAATACATTTATCAAATAAATTGGAAACCACCCTAAAATGTATACCTCATCCATGGCAGATGCTGTGAAATCAATTTCAATTTCATTACTATACGCTTGCAGCTGACGATACTGTTCCTTTGTAAATTCAAGATATTCTTTATGTTCCCCATAGGTTTTACCCCAGGAGTGATCGCTTATATATCTTCGATCTAGGGCACTGCGAGTAAACTTCGCTTTCAAATCGGATTTTTGAAATTTAACACAATTGCATCCTGCTTTCTTTGCTGTTAGTATCATCTTTTTAGCTGTTTCAACACAGCCCTGATGATTTTGACCGATTTCCGCTATTAAATACACCTCGTTGCATTTATTTTTTTTCATTATATCAAGCAACATTTTGTCTGACGTTAATTTAATTAATTAAACGAATCGTTACCATTTGTGCCGCGGCCAAACAAATTGTGTGACCAAATATTTAGTCAGTATTATTTAACCGTCGAATAGTAAAACACATATATTTGGATAGCTCTGTAAATGATATGGTACTGCTGTATAGAGATATAAAATCAAGTTGGCATGGTGCTAAAACTAAAGCTAGTTTTGTCCTGCTTACACCAAGTTAATACAAGCCAAGCGCTGCAAATGGCGGGCAACGGGGCAACACTGGGAGAGTAAACGGGACAAACTGCGTATAAAAAGTGTGACTAACTGCCCATTTCACTTCCTCCTGTTTTTTTTTTGTGAAATGTGGGCACACTGGAGAAATTTTCTTGTAGTAGCTGTGCTGTGAAAAATATTTATAGTGAAAAATATACATCAAAGCTACTTGCCATTCTTCGGTGGAAAATTTTCGCACAGTAATTGCGCAGCAAAAAAAAACAATACAGAAACATGGGCGATGTTATGAATATCGACAGCATCATATCAAGACTTCTGGAAGTGCGTGGGGCACGGCCAGGCAAAAATGTTCAGCTCTCCGAGAGCGAAATTCGTGGCCTCTGTCTGAAGTCGCGAGAGATTTTTCTTTCGCAGCCCATACTCTTGGAGCTGGAAGCACCATTGAAGATTTGCGGAGACATACATGGCCAATATTATGATTTGTTGCGCTTATTTGAGTACGGTGGATTTCCTCCGGAATCAAATTACCTGTTCTTGGGTGACTACGTAGATCGTGGCAAACAGTCGCTGGAAACCATCTGCTTGCTGCTCGCCTATAAAATCAAATACTCTGAGAACTTCTTTTTGCTACGCGGTAACCATGAATGTGCCAGCATAAACCGTATCTATGGATTTTATGACGAGTGCAAGCGTCGCTACACCATCAAATTATGGAAGACGTTCACTGACTGCTTTAACTGTTTGCCAGTTGCAGCCATAGTAGATGAGAAGATATTCTGTTGCCATGGCGGTCTCAGTCCAGACCTTACGTCGATGGAGCAAATTCGGCGCATCATGCGTCCCACCGATGTGCCAGATCAGGGCTTACTGTGTGATTTGCTGTGGTCCGATCCGGACAAGGATACCATGGGATGGGGCGAAAATGATCGTGGCGTTAGTTTCACTTTTGGCGCCGAGGTTGTGGCCAAATTTTTAGAGAAGCACGAGTTCGATCTCATTTGCCGCGCCCATCAGGTCGTCGAGGATGGCTATGAGTTCTTCGCAAAGCGCCAACTTGTTACACTCTTCTCGGCACCCAATTACTGTGGCGAATTTGACAATGCTGGTGCAATGATGTCTGTGGATGACTCCCTAATGTGCTCATTCCAGATATTGAAACCGGCAGACAAGCGTAAAAAGTAATATCACTAATAATCTTCGTACACACACAACACACAATTTTCTATACAAAGCATGCAACAAAAACCAATAAGAAGTTATATGATTCAACGTAAGTATTGAAAGTAAAATATTAATAATACCACAAGCTTTTATCGACATTTTATCGTCAGCAGGGGCAAATCTAATTTAACATACCTAGCAACGACTATGCGGCCAGAGGGAAGAACTGAACGCTTTGCGTCGAGTAAAACAATATTAAAACGAAAACAAACAAATTTACCCAATCCTGGACAACATATGATCTTTAAAGAAATAAAGAGATTTGCTTCAATTACAAAACATTCGCATGCATTCAAACAGGCATAACTTCTGTAGAAACCATTTATTTTGATAATATTAAGCCCTACAAAACACACACACACTTCTCTCAACAATAGTCGTATATCGACAAATACACACACATAAGTGTACATATATGTTTTGTCCAAGTTAAGCATGAGACTAAAGTGTTAGTACAAGAGAAAAAAATACAATTAGATCGAGCTAGGCTACCATAGCAGGCGGTCACCAAACGTAGTAGGGTCTTGTAAAAAAACAAAAATCGATTTGGCCTTAAAAACATACAAATTGAAAAGTGGAATAGAGAAAGAACACAAAGAGTACACGCTTGCCAAGAAAGTAAAAGTAAATACTAAGTTTTGACCTTGGAAATAAAAATCAGTTTATGTTCGTCCACATTGCAGCCAACCCAAACATTGGTACCGATGTTCCATGTCTTTTATCTATCGCATGTCCGTATCATTTTCCAATTATGATCAACTGTTATAATTCGATCCACGCTAATATGTACAATTTTATTTTTATCATCTTTATCATTTTTAAGATGAGTTTAAACACTAAATAAAAATTGAAAAACAAAAACAAACAAATTACTATAATTAATATGTATTATCAATAATCCTTTGTATTAATAAACAAACGATATACCACGTGTATGAAATTAAAAACTGATTTAAATAAATATTTGAAAACCCCATTAAGAAAACTAAATGAAAAGAAATTTAAATCCATTTTGAGGGATTTGTGCGTACAATTACGCACATTTTATTAACAGTTAAGAAAATACTTTATATATTTAGGCCTACGAACTGGTAACATTTCTATGAGAATGCATTTTAATGGGATGTTCCATGAACTAGCTGAGCGAATTAACATTGTGATTTACTCGGCATTGTCAGTACGGCTGAGTTCAGCTTGGACGGATGTGGTCTGCGTTATATTGTCGCTAGTGGTGTCCGTAGCAGCCATGTTTTTTTCTTCAATGTGACAATTGTCAAGAGTAGAACTCAATTCCGCTTCATCAGTTTTGGCCACTGCTGTGTTATCTAAACCATTCGCTTCAGGCACATTCTCATGGACATCTTGATTATTCTCCGATTTTAGTGGGTTTTCAACTTGTTCGGTAGCTGTGACTGGCTCGGAATCAGATTCGCCGGCAATTTGCGCAGCGTGACCCCGCAGTACATCGGGGTTAATACTATTTATTATGGCACGTAAACGTTGAATCTCTTCATTTGCCTCCTGTAGATCCTGCGAGAGACGTTCGTATTTATCATGCTGATGTCGTACCACCCCAATGTTATTTCTTATATACTCCATTGGGTTTTCTGGGCGCTCTTTAATTACACGTATAAATATTTTCGTCAGTGAATCCAGAACGCTTCCGCGTTCTAGATAGCGACGAATCTCATCGCGCTTTGGATCAATCGGCTGCATCAGATTCAAATAAAATGCTGTCAAACACGATAAAAATATTATTAATAATATTTAATCATACCTTAAAGGACATTTTGCGAAAATGAAAGAGTAAAAATTAAAGTTGTTGAAAATCGTTCGGAATAAGTTCAATAGAATAAAGAGCGAGCTAAACCAGATTTTCGTTCATCGACTTTATTCGTTCGCTTTTTTAAGTTACAATTTGTTACTTATCGCAAGTATTTTAAAGTCTTGTATCGGAAGTGTACGTTTTTATCAGTGCTTGTGTGCTTTAACACAAAAATTTAAAAAATATTTTGTTATAAGGAAAAAGTCAGTTCCTTACTTGTTTATATGGTATACCAGAAAGAAAATATATTTTAATGACTACCAAATTTGTGATCGATGTATCGACGCAGTGTGACCAGCAAATACAACAATTACGATGGTAGTTGCATAGACTGAAAAGTTTTAACGGTTAGCTATAAATGCCTGCCTATAATATCTCATTGATTTTAAAAGCGAGTAAACTGCATTTAAAAGGCAACAATACAAATTAAACTAGGGTTATGAATTGCCACATAGAGTTTTTCTCTTTTCTGGGGGCAAGTTGTGTTTAACTTTGGCGCTAAGTGTATTTCATTTGAGCAGTGCGCATGTCTGTTAAATTTAAATATATGTACATATATTCTCTTTATACTGCATACACACAGCATACAACTCGGCGAAAAACATTTCCGCAAAATTCTAAAACGAAAAATGGACATTTTTGAAAATACTTTTGTAAGAGGGCCCTCGCCATCATACTCTGATGAAGCAAACTCTGAAACCGGCTTATCCGTTACACTACCTATTGAAGCTGCCGACATGGAACTGGACCGTAATGATTCGAAATCGGATACTGTGAATTTTTTCGACGAGAAGTTTAATTCCGATTACGATGATGATAGCTTTTCGCACTTGCATCCAGGTCGTCAGATGCGTAAAAGTTATGCATTTTGGACCGCTGTCGTAGTCCTGCTAATGCTGACTATAGGCAACCTGATCTTGACACTAACAATAATGGGTGTGTTAAGGTTGGGAAAGGGTGTAAAGGGCATGGAAATGATTCCGGAAGTGGATCTCATTAAATTCTATGATGAAACCGATTTGGACCGCATCCAAACAAACTCTATTGGAATACATGGATTTTCTGATGTACCTGTATCGATCACCAGCGATGGAGACTATAGTGGAGTGCATTTGCGAGTCTTTCGAAATGTGAATGGCGCCAGTGCCTTATATGAACGCGATCTGGTTGTGCTTGACAAGGGCGGAATTGCAATTGAAGCCAATATGTTTGAAATCAAAGATCCATCTGACCAAGCGACTCTTTTTACAACCCACCGCCCGCAATACAACATACCTGATGGAGTGGAAGGTGACCTACAGACCAAGGTGGCCAGTGCGAGCCGCGTATCCAGCCCAATTGACGTGCCTTTAATTATGGATAGCGACGGTCACATTGCCATCAAGGGATCCGAGGGTGTATTCCTCGATGGGGCAACCATAGAGGTGCAGGTCGAGCATCATGTGTTGCTCAACTCCACTCAGGGTGCTACAGTACTGGAGGCAGGTAAAGGAATTTTTCTAGACATGGATCGCATACCCGTTGTAAGTTCGGAGCTTGGCCTCCGTACCGGTAGCGTGCAGTACAAGATTTGCGTATGCATGCCAATTGGCATACTATTTCGCATAGCCATTCCTCGAGTGCACAATGGACCCAAAATATCTTGTGCCCACTTTGACAGCCAGTTTGATCCCTGTGAGATCAACTAAATATACAATAAAATAAACATGACAATATCTAATATAGTATTCCCTATTAGAAGTGTTACGTAGCAATTTTTTATTTGAATTTAAGAAAAATGTACAAGAACTTGGAAGGTTAGTTGGTATGCCTTAAGAGAACCTTACAATTTTTGAATTTGTTTGTTGAATAAAAAGATAAACCAACTAGATCCAAACGATATCATTTCAATTGTTTTGATTGTTGGATATAATACAGAAATGGTATTCAATTCGTTGAACGTGAATGTACATAATGAAAGGTGAAAATTAAAAGAAAATTATAAATTGAATTCCATTCAAAGCCAACATTATTAGGTAAATCAAAGCTAGTCAAGTACATATGTAAATTCTACATTATGATTATAATCGTACTGCGCTTAAACTTAGCCTTAGCCTATACACCTGGCGGTGGGGGCTCCTCATGTCTGGTAGATTTTGTCGGCGTTAGATCCACTAAATCGTCCGGCACCATACTAAGAAGCTCTGCTTCACTTAGCTGCGCCAAGCGACTTTTAGTCTTTGTCGTACCGTCTGCGTTTTTACTTCCTAAAATACATATTTTTTAAAACTCAATTTTTTTGAACTAAAAACAATTGAAAATTTGTATTTTACCCATGTCATATGAGCAGCTGGAGATTGCATCCTCAGGATTGTACTCATCATCATCGTTCACTGTTGGTCTAGCATTCGATTCCTTCTCCTTTATGCTAGCCAAAATCTTTGTCAGATTAGGAGGTATTGATATGCTTGCCAGCACATTTGATGAAGATGAAGGTTTGTCTAAAATCTGTAAAATTAACAGAGTGGTATTAGTATAATAAAAATATATATAGCTCTTTTGGTACTAACCGAAGGCTCTACATTTAACAAACCAGCGATTTCCATGCGCTGAGCAGCGATTTGTTTATTAATTTCGTCCACTTTGCGCTCCAGATCGAAATCCTTATGTTCTGTAGTCGATGTGGCCAAGTCATCATTGTCGTCAGAGCTGCCACCGGGTGAATAAGGCGCATTCGGATCGTCTATACTGGCCATTGGCTCTTTTGAAACGGTTTCTATAATAAGACAGTTTGCATTGATGTTATTCCAGCTGACGAGTAACTTTAGATAAGATAAACTCACTGCTTTGCAGCTTTGCAATGGGCGCTTTGATAATAGCATCAATATCAAACTCATCATCTCTGGAGCTCGTCGAGTGCGTACTAGTCTTGCGCTTCGGACTGCTCGGAGGCGTAAACGTTGTCCGAACTCGTGTTTTGTTTGATACCTGCAAAGCAAACTGATATATTGAGAGCAATATTTTTAAGATATGTCTTAACTTACAGTCTTGCTGCTGGCAGTGGGTAATGGTAATGGCAGCGACTGATTTAAATTAACCGATCGTTTGCTCAGGCAGCGCACAATGATTCCTAGCAGCGTGTTTGGCCGTTGGCTGTCCTCGTAAAATGGCACACTGTCCAACGTACGTAGCACAGTGGGCAACTTGTCATTGGTGCCCAAGGGAAATATATAAAAGTCCCGAATCTGCTCCGAATCGGCCCCCAAAACACCAAGACGCTGACGTGAATCAAGATATTCAAAGAAACTGTCAAATTTGTCAGTGTTCGAGACGTTGGCAGGAAACAAATTGACAATAACAATCTCCTTGGTTGGACTCTTCTTTATCTTCTTTAGATAATCCCAGACATTCACACGCGTTATGCGACCTATCACATCCAAATTGATGGGCAATAGCTTATCTAGTTGGTTTGTATTACCATGTACGCCATGAATAACCACATCAAAATCCGTTACATCAACCATATTCAAATTGCCAGTCCAAATTGGTGGGCCGGAGAAGCCCTGTAAATAGCGAGCGTACCTATCCAATACTGGCGCGGGCCCATCAACTTTGCCAGCTGTCTTTGGTGCCACAGGCAATAACTTTGTTGCCCTAACGGGCAGTGTCAAATTGGCGGCTTCTTCGACAGTTTTCTCTGACTCTAGTATTTGATCAATTAAATTAAAGGCAACTAAAGGAGTTTCCACTTTCTTTTCAGTTGGTTTTTTCTGCAATGGGGATTGCACTTTTTCGACATGCTCTTTGCTAAGTTGCTTGTCGCGTGACGGCTGTTCCTTTTCTTTGTCCACATCATGCTCGTAATGGTGCCTTTTGTGACTGCGCTTCTCTTGGCTACGGCCGCGGCTATTCGATCGACTGCGGCTTCTTTTGGCGCCACTTTGGTTATTATGGGACCTGTGACTCTTATGCCGTTTGTCTCTATCATGCTCTCGGCTGTGAGCCTTTTCTCGAGATTTTGAAGGCTTTTCTCTAACAGTCGAGGGTTTCTCGTGGTCATGGTCTTTACTGGGAACGGCTGTAGTGGTCGAGTTGTCAATTGACTGGGACCCTTTTTTGCTGTCGATGTTATCAAATTTGACCTTGTTTGTTTCCAACTCTGACGTTTCTTCGTCTGGCAGTGTTACATCCATCTTGGATTCGATCAGGTCCTCACCTTTGTGCGTCTTCACCACGTAGTTTTGTGCGCATGACAATAAATCCAGCTCAGATTTCTTAATCATTTCCAATTGATGTCGGTTTTCCTCCTCACGCCACTTGGCGAGTTCCTGACTGGCTAATTCAGCTGGTGTCATTCTCACCAGCTGCTTAGGCTCAACTTGTTTGGCACATATCTTTTCGAACAACGTCTTATTCTTACGATCCTTTATGTTAAACATAAGCGAACGATATTTAGACTTGTACTTAGCGCTCACATCCTGCCCAAATGAATTATACATTTCCGACTCCACTCGCTTCACAAAGTTCTCCACCTCTGCCGCCGTCAGCCATTCTGACTTTTCTGCTGGCTGTTCGGCTGCCTGTGCCTCTTTTATTCTAGACACCAATTGGTCTTTAAGTGTCCGCCGCACATTTAGGCGTATTGGCTCAGGCTGGGATTTACTCATAGGCCTTTCCGTTGTGCTCTTCTCGGGGGAGCGAGTAAGTGTAGTCGTTGTTTTGGTGGCAGGCTTATCCTTTTTTGCTATATTGGGCATGGCTGGCAATAGCTGTATAGATCTGTTGAGAGTTTCTGCTGACTTTTGCAATGGCAAAGACGGTTTTGCTGAGGAGGATACTTCTGGCGTGGACTGTTCCGACAGACGCTTGTTTTGACGTTTCTATGGGGGAGTGGATTAGCATTGATATACTATGTACAACATATTGCATACCTCGATCTCCACCGCCTGCTGGCTGCCCGGCTGCACCACTTCAAAAGTGGGATTCTCCTGCAGCCATTTCTTTAGCTGATGAGCACTGGGCGCCAAATGTCCAGTGATGGCACGCCCGCTTCGGCGCTCAAAGACGTTTATCTAGTAAGAGTAGATCAGGATAGCAATAATTATTTAAAATTAATAACTTAATGTACATACCCGCTCAACCTTCGACAAAGAGTCAGCCTGACGCAATACATCCTCAAACAAATCCTTCTTTTTGTTCTTTTTGGCATCCAGCGCATTTCCTAGCTGTGGAGCTGGTAACGCTGCTTGCTGCGCTGGTTCAGGCGTCTTGGGCACTGTTTGAGCCTGGATAGCGGTATGTGCATACCTTCGTATGCATTCATCACTACAATAAACCGAATTAGCACGTGCTGGACGTTTGCATGCCACGCAGCTTGCATCTGTCGGCGATATGACGCTGCTGCTCCCAAGTTTGATAAATTGAAGTTGTTGCTGATGCATTTTTGGCTGTGGTCGTGTGGGCAACTGCCTTTTTTGTTGCTTTACAAGTGGACTACTTGTGGTTGAGGGCGAGGGTGACGATGTCATCAATGACGTATTAACGGGCAGAGATCGCTTGGGCGTAACCTGTTGATGCTCAACAATTGTTTTGGTTTCGTTTGGTTGCTTGGGTAACGTCACAAACTCCGGAGGTTCCAAACTTTGCTTGGGTAACAACATGTCTGTAATACGTGGTTGGCTCTGCAAGGACATGAATGAAGTTGGAATAGGAAGAAACAATTGTAGACATATATCTAAATTATGCAACAATTATGTGTTACCTTCTCTTCCTGCTTTTTAACGCATTTGGGGCACTTCCAGTCAATACCCTTTTGCTCCATTTCCAGGCCCATGGCCTTTGTGACGCTGACACACGTGCCGTGATACCAATCCTCGCAAAGATCGCAGCATATCATGAATCTGTTATTGTGCGGCTGACGACAGATACACCACAACCTGAGACAAGTATAATTTTAATAATTTATATAAGAAACTTAACCCAATAACTGACTTATTTGGATCATCATCGTCCTCTTGAGATTCTGAGCCTGGCGGATCATTGACTTCACTGCTGGCATTTAGCTTATTTGATCTTCTTGGCCTCCTGACACTGCCAGCTAGATCCCTAGTCAGCTGTTGCCTTTCCGTCCCGGCAAGTTGCGACGAAAAGCTGTCACTATCCAAACTGCAGCTGGTTAATTGGCTGGTATCGAGAGTTGGTTCTGTAAGCGATGTGTTGTTAACTTCCGACAAGTTTGTGGCTGTCACAGGAAAGATCTGAGCTCGACGCTTGGCCCGGGTTGTAGGTGCTTCGATTGGTGGCAGATAAATTACACGCCCATTGCCTCGCACAACTTTCGTCTCAGGGCGTGATGTGAAGGTTAGCGTCTCCATTGTACGCGCTGGAGTACTGGATGCCATAGGCAAATTGGCCAAAGAACTCTCTGGGAAATCATTGCACAACGGCTGCAAAGGTGAAATTATTAGTTTATCATCTTTGTCAGTTAATATTGATAACTTACCTGAGGAACAGTTGGCAACTGATTGGCAACATCGAAGATTGGTTGCGTCACAGCATTTGCAATTGCATCTAGGCCACCAGTTTCTGTGCTAGCTAGCACCTGTTTAACCACCTCGGCCTCGAATTGCTTGTCCTCCTCTATGAGGCCAACCACATGTTGCAGGAAATCAGCTGTGATTTCATCCTCGTCTGCAGCTTCTAGCAATCGGTCGCTGGCTATGTCAATGTTATCTACAGAAGCATTTCCTACCAGGTGAGAGCTGAAATTCTGTTGTGGAACATTAAGAGGGTTTAGTACTGATTCCGGTCCTTGATTCAGACCCGCAGCGCTGCTCTCCAGCATTTTAACCAGTTTGGGTATATTCTCATCTGCTGTATCTGGCGGTTTCTCGACCAAAGATGACTTTAACAGTTCATCCTGCACAATAGAGTCAATGAGATCAAGTTGTTTATCATTTTCGGCTGCCAGCTCTGAGGAGCTCTGATGTGTTTCGATGACAATATGAGCAGGTAACTTGTGAGAGGACGCAGTATCCACGCCGATGGGCATGAAACCCTTGCAAGATGGCGATGTCGATGCCAAATTTGAATGCGTGTTTAAACTGGGCTTAGGAGTGGCAGGTGTATTTTCGATGGGCTGTTTACTTTTATCCGGTGATGATGTCATCATTGTCGTATTGTTATTCTCAGCCAGCAAACTGTTCAGATTTGTAAATATACCTTTAGGGCTTGACAGATTCTTATTTATAACAATCTCTTTAACATCTTGAGGCGGCGTCACAAATCCGCCCGGTGGCACACTCACCACACGACCCAACTGGACAATTGGTGTTCTGCGCAGCTTAGTAGCGACTGAAGAGGCACTTATCCTATTTACCTCAGGGGATAATGCAGTTTTTGGAGGTAGTGATTTGTGTGAGGGCAGCATTTTTAAAAAGGATGTGCTAAATACGCCACGACCCAATGCAATCACTGAGGGTGGCGCTTTTGTATTGAACTGAACAATCTGTCCTATAGCTGGTGCGGTCGAATTACCATCTGTTTGCTCCTTTCGCCGTTTTAGATATGGAGATTGTGACTGTGTTGGTTGTTGAGGTACCTTCGGTGTATTTACTGTTTGCCCACGTGCAGACTGCGTATTGGATCGTTTGGAGAACTTCTTCAGACGTTTGCGTTTGTTCGAGTTACGGCTGTTGTTCATTTTGAAATCAATATCACTATCCCGATCATTGTCTGTTTCCCGGGAAGCATCACTTGGTTCGCTTAGCTCCTCTGTATCAGCATTCTCTTCATCAGCTGAGCTATTTGCGTCTTCGTCATCCTCTACGAAGTCGTCTGGAGGTCTTATAATTTTGGCAGTATTACGAACCAATCGTGGGCCCGCCAACATTATCTGCTGCTGTTTAGATGCTGTTGCTAGAGGCTGCTGCAGCTGGTTAGGTAACTGCTGCCTATGCAAATTCGATGGTTGCTTGGGCAGCTTATGCGGTTGCATTTGTTGTTGTTGCTTAGACAGTTGTTGTTGGTGCCTGGGTGGTTGTTGCGTTGTTGTTTGCACTTGATTTAAAGGCACTACTTGGGCTCGCTTCTTAGCGCTCAACATCTTGATATTGGATTGGGTTTGCACGATAAATTTACGTCCTTGCCTTTCTATAATCACCTTTTCTGCAGTCTTTTTTGCTTTCATTTGCTCAGGCGAGGTGAATGGCGTGTAGTTGTGATCATTTCGAATAATCTCCAAAAGAGCATCTGTTTCTGCTGTGCGTTTGAATATAGATAGCCCCGCCAGTTCTGAAAATATTTAATATGTTAATTAGTTATTCGCATACATTTATGTTTATATACATACTCAGAGCATTTTTTACCACCAAATCGGCTGTGTTTTCCGCGTAGAATTGTTCGACACTAAGGCCTACAATTTGTGGGCGTTCTTTAGGTTTTCGGCGCTTTTTCTGTTTTTTTGGCGCTTTGGGCTTGCGACCGGGGCGCTTCTTAACTTTCGGTACTTCGGCTTCCGTTTCCGTGGAGTCACCATTGTTTTCGCAACCGGTGTTGTCATTGTCATCGCCGGTAACATGATCTTTTTCGCTTATCAATTCATCACAGCCGCTTTGGCTTTCGTTATCTGTCTCCTTATCGGATTCTTCACGATCTGATGTCATTTCCAAAAAACGCTCCAGCTCCTCCAGGCGTTCGGTTTCCTCTTGATCGACCATGCTTGGTGTAGGTGATGTAAGCCGCACAACACTAATGCTTGCAATTGATTTTTCCTCTGAAAATATATTTTTATAAACATATAAAATAGAGAATTCAAATTGTCTTACCCATAATATTTTCAATGGCACGCTCGTCAAATGAGATGCCATTCTTGGCGTATACCACGACCAGATTGGAATCTCCATCGGCGCCATTTGGTCGGGCACTGGGCGTTTCGCTAAATACCGAACTAGACATGACAGTAATGATGCCTCATGGATCAGCTACTGTACATTAGATGCAGGTCAGCTCCGTTTTTCCAATCGTTTTACGTGCTCTACTTCTATTTGAGAGCGTTGAAATTAATTTGTTTGCTCATGCCGCAGCCGCGTTGTGACGCCGACATTGGAACTAGTAGGACTTTTTGCGAAGAGCAATTCAGTTCCTAGTACCTAAAAATAGAGTTGGACTACAGTGAATTTGTCTGTTTCACACCAATAATAAAAAAACCGCTCTATTTCACTTTAAATATGCTTTATTCAAAAATATGAAAATAGAATTGGCAAAAAAATTTACTTCGACGAAATAATGCAGTGTGGCCAGCTGTGACCAAGAGCGATGCGTTAGTTGTATCACAGTGTGAACATGAACCAGTTTCAATTAATAGCGTCTTGTAAAACTTAAATAATTAAGTTGCATCATATTTTACACCAGATATTTAAAAATTTTTATACACACTAATATGATCAAATACTCTATTATATATACTGTCTAAAATATTTGCGGCATTATAGTTTGAAATATCGATATAGTGCCAACAATCAAAATCACAATTACGATTAATTCTCTCTTTCCACAATATCGATATTTCTTGTATATGCATCGATGCTATCATGGACTTGAACTGTTATTGACAAGAAATATGTTAAATTTTCAATTACCATAATATTTACAATTTGTGATTTGTGCTAACATTCATGTATATATAATATAATATAATACAACACTGAAGGCCAACACACTGAGCACAACACTATAACAACTGTTAAGTTAACAGTGGAAGTAAACTAATCATGATAAAAAAATAAACCAAAATACAAACAGATGTAACTAGTGTCATTAAACTCAAAGATTTTAAATAAAGCGTACATACAGGCTGGTTGCCGTGGGGATTATTACACTCCCAACAAACAGCAAAGCAAAAAACAACAATAAATACAAAGCAGCGATAATAAAGCTTTTATTTATTGCTGCACTCAAGTGTTTGTTATAGATATACATTTAATCAGGGAAAAAATACACCAGTTGCTCTCCGACTTTGTTAATCGTAACATTCAACAATGGCTTGCTTTCAAATGGGATCCTGTCACGCGGTACCGATGAGCCTGTTTAAAAACAATAGAAACAAAGTCTGCAAATCTATTCTAGACAATTCACAGGAGAGCCTTAAGCTAGGCTCAGGTCAATTGATAATTTTGCTCGAGGGCGGTAAAGATCAGAGCCTATACAACACTGATGTGGATTATGTGTTTCGGCAGGAATCTTACTTTCAGTACATGTTTGGGGCCAAGGAACCGGGCTGCTACGGTATAGTTAGCATCGATGTTAAGACGGCCCAGCCTACTTCGGTTTTATTTGTGCCACGTTTGCCCGAAGAGTATGAGACCTGGATGGGGGAATTGCTGAAGCCAGATCAGTTCAAGGCCATGTACGAAGTAGATGAGGTATATTATGTCGATGAACTCGAAGCTTATCTGGAAAAGAACACACCCAAGCTGATATTAACGCTCAGTGGCGTCAACAGCGATAGTGGCCTCACAATGCAGCCGCCAGAGTTTGCGGGCAAAGACAAATACGTGACCAACTGTGATCTGCTGTATCCAATAATCTCTGAGTGTCGCGTGATCAAGTCGAAGGAGGAGATCGATGTCTTGCGCTATGTGGCCAAAGTTTCGTCAGATGCACACATTAAAGTAATGCAATTCATTCGTCCTGGTCGAATGGAATACGAGGGCGAAGCGGTCTTCTTGCATCATGCCTATGCGGTGGGCGGCTGCCGCCACGCTTCATACACCTGCATCTGCGGCAGTGGCATCAATTCGGCCATATTGCACTATGGACACGCTGGTGCACCCAATAATCGACCCATTCAATACGGCGAGATGTGCCTCTTCGACATGGGGGCCAACTATTGTGGCTACGCCGCGGACATTACCTGCAGCTTTCCGGCTAACGGTAAATTTACAGAGGATCAGAAATTTATCTACAATGCGGTGCTGGACGCACGCAACGCTGTGATGGAAACAGCACGTGATGGCGTCTCCTGGGTTGACATGCACAAACTAGCGGGCAAGGTGCTATTGGAGCGTCTAAAGGCTGGTGGCATGCTAAGCGGCGATGTAGACGAAATGCTTGAGGCTGGTGTCTCAGGCGTGTTCCAGCCACACGGCTTGGGCCATCTGATTGGCTTGGATGTGCACGATGTTGGCGGCTATTTGCCCACGGAGCCACGTCGTCCCAGCGAGGCCTGGCTAAGCAAGCTACGCTTTGCTCGCATCCTCAAAGCCGGCATGTATGTGACCATTGAGCCTGGCTGCTATTTCATAAGGCAACTTATGGATAAAGCAATTGCTAATCCGCAAATCTGTAAATACATCAATGTAGAAGTGTTTGAACGTTTCCGCAACTTTGGCGGTGTGCGCATTGAGGATGATGTCCTGATCACCAAAACAGGTGTCGAGAACTTTGCAATTGTGCCACGCACTGTGGAGGAAATCGAGGCCGCAATGGCATCCAAATAAATTGTTAAATAACGTGAATATACTTTACTATATATACTATATAAACATATAAATATATGTATATACATGGATATGGAATTAAATTGCATATCTCTAAAGGAAATATAATAATTGTTATATATTTTGTATACTAGATGATATGATATATTTCTTAAAATAAAAACAAATATTATATAACGGTACACGTTTAATACACTTACTTTATGTATATGGGGACCAGAGCACTTACGAATGTGTGTCCTCTTAAGTGCTCAGATTTTTGAATGGCCACTGGGGTCACCAAAAACTAAGAGGATTGCTGTGGAGTTCCTCCAAGTGCTCGCTGTAGGCTGGTAAAATCGTTAGAGGTTGAAAGCTGGTATCTTCTCTATAGATAGACCTAGGCCTTTGGCCTTTGGGCATGGCATCATCAATTTTTGGACTGATAATTAGCCGCAATTCATTGTGATTAGACCAAGTCCTTTAAATGATTCATTGTTTCAATTGATCCATTGGAGGATGCGAACTCAAATTGAAAATTCTTATTAAAACAAATGCAATAGACAGTTTCTAGTTATATAAAATCCGTACCTACACTAAGTACATAGAGATTATTATATTTCTTATCAAACTGACACAAATAAGTATTTTATATTTAATTTATTGGCTTTCAGCTAACAGTGCAAACAGCTAACAATGTAAGCCTGAAATTACATATCGAATTCGAGCCATTTAAAAGAATTTATATTGCTATTCACAAGCCGAACAGCAACCATTTTACATGTTGTAATTGAAGTTGCCTCGGCATGCTCCCAGCCTAATCGCTTTTTTGGGAACTACATGTACTTCTTGGTGTGACCATTGCGTTGCTGTTGTTTTCCATGAGTGTGTCCATTGCTAGACGTCGACTTGACGGGTTTTATATCTTCGCTGCTTTCGGAATCCGGCACTTCAGTGATCGCAACGACACTGCGACGCGGAAACCAGCCACGCATGGAAACCTTGCGCTGACGCTTCTCCTGCATGCGGGTATACTCCTGTTCGGGGGGCACACGCTCGCCGAATAACCAGTGCCGGCGGAAACGCGTCACCCTGATTATATCGTCGGGCTGTAGGCGAATGCGTGGCTCGTCTGTGCAGGGTGCGTTGACACACACTCGCCAGCCCTGTGAGAAGATCGGCAGCCAGCGGCCCGTTACCGGGCTTATGCATTTGTAGACGCGTGTCCGCGCACGTTTCTCCTCCTTTTGTGCCAGTTGCTCGCGCTGTTAAGAAAGCATTTGATAAGTGATGTTTATAAGGAGCTCAGCTAATCACTCACGGTCAGCGTGTATTGATCGCAGCCCTCGACGACGGGCCATTCAATGCCCTCGCCGTATTTTTGGCACTCCTCGTTAAACACCTGGCGCAGATTAAGCCGCCATCCCAAATCGTATGGATAGACAAAGGGATCATAGGTCGCCGCCTTATATCGGCGATAGATTGCCTTCTCCACAATCCAAATCTCAATACCCGTTTGGTTTGTGACAATAGTCTTTAGTTGAATATAGAGCAACATGCTCAGTCCAATGACAACGCCAATAGCCAGGCCCATCCCCAGAATGCACATGACAATGCTGGTGACTGTGAACTGTACGCTGGCCAAATGCGCCTGCCCGTGGGTCAGGTAGTAATAGCGGTGGATGCCGCGATAAAAGGAACAGCTAAGTACCACTGAGCCATGCAGACTGCCCAGTATAGAGAAGAGCAGAAAGTAGCTAAAGTAAGCGTGGTTAGCCCAGCCAACACAATGATTGATCCATGGGCAGTGATGATCCATTTTCTTTACGCATCGATTGCCTGCACAAAGACATGAGTTATTAAAGGTTTCGAAAAGTGCTTGATTTGGTTTCACCCACATTTGCGACAGTGATGCGATCGCGGTGCCTTGTAGCCCTCACATTCCTTGCAGTACTGCAACCATTCCGTGTCCTTGGGGTCCTGGAAAAATTAAAATATGCGTGATATTAATAAGAATTGTATTATATATGCCAGCGACTCCCACAAAGCGCACAGCTCATTAGGGCGAACCAACCCAAGCAGCTAGCCAGCGTCTGGGTCTACAAAACATTTATGCAAATTTTAGGTAATTGCATTACGAGCACGACTCCGTAGCGGCTGCGTTTCAGTTTGCGTGAGAACCTTTTAGACCATAAATTGTTAGATGGGGCTGAAGCGGCGCAACGGCCTTTAAATTATTGGTGTCGAAAAACTGCCAACGCCCCAAACAGTCAACGGACAGCCGGTCAGCAGTCAGCAGTCAACAGTCAGGCCAGCTTATCGTGAACTTTAGAACGACGTATTTGAAGCAAATTGCAGCGTTTAATTGCTGCATTACGAGTTGGCGATAAAGGGTTGAGCACGCGATGTCGTCAACTTTCTTTTTGCTGACCCATTTGTTTGGCAACAGATGCGTGTACTGGCATTCATGAATGAGTCGACCGATTGCACTTGCCCAGCTACAGATTTGCCGTGTCAGGCCGTGCGAACAAGTGGCTGACAAGGACTTTTTTGTTGCGCTAAACAATTATTTCCGATACAGAAGTGACGTGGCACAAATAGACGGCCAAGGCGAGAGAGTATATCAGCAGCCAGATGGCAGGGAATATTTTCCTGTTTAGCTAGGAATTAGCTATCGGGTGATGTATAAGTAAAAATGTAAAAATGATAAATTATAGTATAACATTCAAGTCGGATATAATTAAAATAAAATTAGTTGGATATATTATAGTCAGCTGGGTATTTCCTGCTAGTTGCTCACATCAAAGCAGTTCTACTCCTGCAGCTGCCACGCCCTGACCATTGGCATAGTGGAGCACATGGGACCGACCATAGTTGACAAACATTTTCCATGCATGCCAATGTCACGACAAAATGTTTTATTGTTTTGCCTTCGTTTCAGCTGGCTAATGGAGCGGGCTAGGCAGAGTGGGGGCTTTTAGGGCTTGTCGTTTTTTTTTTTTTTTACCTTTGGCTGCCATTGTTTCGGCAGCAGACCCGGACCTGTCAGCGTGGCCATGATGTAATTGAATGTGGCCAGCGTGGAGAGCAGCAGGAAGAGCGCCTGATGTGCGAACGCTGCGAAAGATTCATTTGGTGGCCACCACATCGAGTTCATATAGAGCGTGGTCAGAGTTACGCATTTAATGATGCCTGAAATGTATGGAGAGACAAGAATGTCACATAGTGTATCATACGCATGGTTAAACATTTACGGGTAATAGGAGATTTTTAATTACATATTTCTATTGTATATGCAAACATACATACATGTACTTATAATATATAAACATTCACTGGTGTTCGGTGTTTGCGTGCCAAGGAAATTAAATACATTTATTTGTGCACATTCCTTTTTTATATCCCTACTTGATTAAGCGTTAACACAAGGGTGGCAATTGTATTTTAACTGAGTTGGCATAAGTGTAGCAGCCAGACCTCCAGGGGCATATCCATCCACATTCACCCCACCTCTAGGCACCTCGCAGCAACAAGCGACGCGAAATTTAGTAATTAAGCTATGTACAATTATATCGCAGTTCAATATCAAGGTTGCCCTTTCCTTGGCCACGGCATGAACCGGATGCTTTATGGCCCTATTATAGTCAGCCCACATTGCCAAAATAGTCAAATCTCACGCCATTTTTAGCTGAACTATGTATAAAGCTCGGTACTCATCGCGCAAGGGATATTTCTATTCAAGCGGCAACTAAAATGCAATTAGCGCAGCATTTTACTCGAATTAAATGACGGGCCACTCCTTGAGTCGGCGTTCATCAGTTAGCGATGGACGTATGTAGGTGGTGGGGACGGCAAAGGGCGGTTCAATGGCGCCAGCGGCGTCGTTGACCGTCTCGAAATATGAAACACGATATTACGCTGCAGACAAAACACACACAAATTCTTTTGCCCAAGTGGGTGTTAGGGGCGTGTGGGTGGCGCTTAACGTTTTACATTGGCCAATTGTTGGTTCTCTTTTGACTCAGTTCATTCACTTTGCGTACATACTAATTTGTAACTGGTAAATTAATTGTCCTGATTGGGCTCTGATAAGCAACGACTCCGACAAACAAGCATCAATTTTCTGATTTCATTCGGTACAAATTTCAAAGCATAGTTTTACTTACTCAGAGCGGTTATTGGACCCCAATGTAAAAAACGCCGAAACCCCGATAATTCGGCGCTCATGACTTAATTATTGTTTTTATGTTGACGGTCAAAATTGAAATAACACGACGAGCTCTATAGCCGAACAGGTAAACAAAAACAGCGACAGTGCTGCCACCCAGCCAAACAGTGATACATCAAGTCATCGATACTATCGATAACTAAAACACATCGTAAGGTTTTTCAATTTAATTTTGTCTGAAGTTTGTTTTCATCCACCGGCAATTTTTTATTTGCAATTAATATTCTTATATACAATAAAATGTAATATTGTGTTAAAAGGTTAAAACTACATACATATATATATATATATATATATATATATATATATATATATATATATGCGAGCAATGTAATTGGTTTGCAACATTTATTTGTTGGCCAGAATTTCAAACTTTATGCCATGCTCGTGCTTCTCCAGTTCGCTAATAAGGCTGGTTTTTGAAAATGCGGCTCCGGGGGGAAGTACACCGCCGGTGCTTGGCATTTTGTTGCTCTCTCGTAGGATGGTAACTGCTGTGGAGAGCAGAGCGACACACGTAGAACCATAGCCAGGATTCGGACCAGAAACTCTGACCATAAGAGTCTTTGTTGGGGGGTCCGTGTACTGATCTGTGCCTTCGGCCAGGCGCTGCGAGCTGGGCCAGCCTGTCGCTTTCATGGTCATTTTAAAGTAGGTGCGTTCCATTCGAGATTCACTGGGGCCATCGGGTGAGACGAAGCCACCAGAAAGTAAGCTCGGGTACTTGAGTAATAAACTGCGGCCGAACTCAAATTTAGCCATCAAACCAAAGAATGTTGCGAAGAGAGCCACGACAATGGCTGCTAGCCATGAAGGAAAACCAATGTAGGCATGCATCTGGACTGGACGCTTCTTGTCGTGTTCATATAAAAAGCGCTGTGATCGCATGACCACAGAGCGATCCGAGCCCGGAAAAGGCAGGCACACTTTGTTCACTTCTTTGGAACGGAATATCAACGGGCGATGCTTCAGGATGGGAAAGAATTTGGGAAGTCGTTCCGGGTAAAGTTTCTGACGTATGCCACGCAGCTCGTTCGCGTGTGCCAGTCCATAAACAGCGCTCTGCCATGTGCCAGTGTTGATACCAGCCTTGCCATCGGATGCTTGCCTGTCGCCTTTTACGCCACTTACCAAAAATGTCTCCACGGAATTAACGACGCCATCGAAATTCTTCTCCACAAACACGATGCCCATGTCTGCGGGTATGGAATCAAAGCCGCATGCGCTGATCACGTACACACCGCGCTCCTTGGCGAGCTCGTTATACTTCAATTGCATCGTTTCCATATACTGAGGTTCGCCACTTACATCCACATGATGGGTGCCAGCGTTTATGCAGGCACGTACTACGTTCTCGCCGTAAAATCGGTATGGACCTGTGGTATTAACGACGATACGGCAGGACTTGGCCATATTAAGCAGTGAAGCCTCATCATTGACATCAGCAATAAAAATGGGCGTCTGCGACAGATCCTTTTTGGCCTTGGCTCCCATCTCCTTTAACACCGCCTGAAGCTTCTCCCGACTGCGTCCTGCTATACCCCATTTCAGATCCTTCAGTACGGATACGGCCTCATAGACAGTGTATTTGCCTGTGAAGCCTGACGCACCGAAAATAATCACGTCTAACCGTTCAGTTGCCATTTTTTTCAAGGTCAATGTCGGACTTCAAAATATGCAAAACGTGTCAATTGACAGGAACAGTTTGTTATCAGAATTCTGGACTCGAATGTTGCTGAAAGTAAGAACTTTGAACTATTGTCATTCACTTCTTTCAAGAAACAACGAAGGTTCGTGAAACTTACCAAGCTAACTATATTGATAGACTTCTGATTATGTACTTTGCTCGGCGGTGTGTAATCATACCTCCGTAGCTATTAAGTGGGCAATTATAAATGATAGGGTGTTGGTTGCGCATTAATCTCAAAACAATCATTTTCACTAGTCGCATTTGGTCATCAGACATGTGAATAATCGAATCAGTTCGATAATCACACTGGTCTGTGAATACAATAAGAATAAAAAAATTAATTATTTTAAAAATTATAGTTTTGTTTTTAGCCGTGATTAAAACTAAAATCATTAAAATATCTTTATTATCATGCATTTAAACTTGTATTATACAGAAGTGAAATACATTGAATACATTGATTCAACGGCGCTTTTTTATCCTTCAAATAAAACAGTTCGTCACGGCAATATATCGATATGTTGTTTGTTTTCATAGCGATTGTTGGCAACAAACGGGAAAAATATAAACATGGCAAACAGAATGAATATGTAAGCATTGCCCCAAATGAATAATCCGCGGGATCATCTGCACTGCAGCAGAAGAGGCTGTACCTACACGACGAACAGAGCGTACAACTTAGAACGGCACGAGCGGAACCATGATAAAGGCAAGGTGCCAATATCGCAATGTCAGCCATGTCCGCATTGCACATATGCCGCTGGATCTCTGCACAACTTAATGCGTCATATAAGTAAGAAGCACACAGGAACGATTGTTAAGACCCAGCAACAGGCTATAACAAGACAACCACCACAACCGCCGCCATCACATGATCAACCAACTGAGCTACCTAACACACAAAAGTCTACGTCAAATGTAGAACCAAGTCCCGAGGCGAAACAGACTGTGCAACAGGCAGTGGATCGAACTGCGGATGCCTCCCTTTGGTTTTGGACTACACCGCAGCAACTGGAAAAAAATTTTATAAGGCGCAGCGGCCTTAAGGGCGAATGCATGATATTAGAGCGCAGAGTCAATCTGTTCAAGTATGTCAAAATGGCGGGAAAACACATTTATACATTAATATAAATAATAGCTAGCAAATTTTTTAAGATTGTACGCGTTGGTGCAAGCGCGTGGAGGAGCTCTTGACGTGGACGAATGGGATGATGTTGCAGCAGCACTGAATCTGCCGCCAGGATCAGGCTGCAATGTTGGTGTCAAGTATATGGAGGTGTTATTCGAATTTGAAAAGAAAGAGGAAGAACGCTTACAGGAATGCCAAAATGTCCCAGGTGTGCCGCCTTGGTGGGACGACGGCGATTTGATCAGCGACGATGTCAATTGTTTGTCCGAGAGCAAAGTATTGTGTAGCCAATGGTGGAAAAATATGAATCGACCTTTTCTTACTGTACAAAATGCTGTAATTAAATTGATTTATGATAAGTATTATTGTAATCACTTAAGCAACAGCAAACCGTTTCAGCGGTTCTGCATAAAAGACTCCTGGCTTCGCGCCACAATGTTAAATTATCAAGAGCTAAAGTATCAACTAAATTTCAAACATAGTTCGACTTCCTGACTGTTTAATTTTAGAAATTGTAGCATTACTGATTTATGTAATACATATATAATTAGATATCAAATATGCCGGCCTAGAGATATTTAATTTGGATAGATTCAAAACAAAGCGAAGTTGGCGGCGTGCTAAAATGGTATGTTAGGTTTATTCGCATCGAGTTAATCGAGTAAGAAATCGATATATTCACGATTAGTTGCTCTGTATTCAACACATTATATACTCACCATGCTGACACCAGCTCGATAGCTTTCTACCATCTCTGGAATATCGAATTCTTGCGTCGCGCACAACATTGTGAATTCTGTTTTAAAGCTAGGAGGTCGTATGTGCGCAAAAATCGGTGGGCTAAGTAATTTTCAAAAGTAACTGAAAATACAGAAAAGTTTGAATTGCGATTTGTTTGAACTTAACACTACATCGAACTGTTTGTTAAAATTAAAATTAATGTGTTTGTGTGCGTGTTAAAAGTCTGTTAATTTTTGAGCACATTTGGGAAGCAGGACTGCGCAAAAAAGAAGAAGCATTTCGTGATTGGCGGCTGGTCGTTTGAGTGTGTTCTGTTTCTCTCTTTGTAAGTGTGTGTGTGTGTATGTCAGCGGCTGTGCGGCGTGAGAGCAAAAGGAAAATTCGCAAGATAGAAGAGCCAAGAAGCGGCGTGTGAATCACGAGCGAGTGAGAGCACAAACTGAATCACATCAAATTTTATTGTTGGCATCTTTAGAAAGATACAAAAAAAAAGCATAAAAACCGAAAGCATACACAAAAAAATATAAAGTAAAATACAAAATACAGAAAAACCAGCGGCAATTGATTATTGCAAAAGTTGAGAAGCAGCTGCTGCGTCAGAATGGAACACGAGGATAACGCGCATTTCGATTTGTTGCAAAACCGTCTCGCGGAGAGTCTGCAAAATGCTGGCAGCACCGGCAATGCTGCAGACGTTGTTGCTGAGCTGGTGCCCAGCATTGGCCCCAAGTCTGGTGAGCACGATGACGACGACGAATTGAAGTACATAAAAGAAGTGCAGCAGAGCGAAAAGCAACAACAGCAACACCAATTCTACGGCGAAAAGTTTAGCGACGCTGACGCTGACGTTGACGCCGCTTTTGGCGTTGGCGTCGGCAATGGTATTAGTATTGGTGTTGGCAACAGCAATGGCAACGGCATCGGCAGCACCGTTGGCAGCAGTGGCGACGCGTACATGTCGCTCGGCATGGACTTGAGCCTGGGCAATGGCGTTGGCAGCGCTGCCGGCTTTAGGGGAGTAGCTGCTGTTGAAGAAGAAGACGACGTCGAAGTGATTAAGCACGATGGCGACTTTTCAAGCAACTCCAATACGACCACAACCTCAACCACGGGTGAAGTGGAGGCACAGCCTAAGGAGACGCCGTTGCCAAAACCAGAGCAACTGCGCCAAGATGACGATATTGATGTGGATGTGGATGAGGAGGATGAGCCCAGCTCAGTGGCAACCACCTATGGCACCAGCAGCCTCAGTGAACAACAACAGGACCCAGAACAATTAGTTAGCGATGTCCAATCAGATCGGTTTGATAACAAGGAGAATGTCCATCCCACGGGCCAAGATCAGGCCGAAATAGATCTCGATCTGGAAGCGCATTCGCAGCTAAATCCCAATGCAGTTGAATTTGTACCATACTTTGGCTCACAAACTGCTTCACCACCACCCAATGAGCCGCTTCAGTCGCTGGGACGGCAACTGTTGGTAGCTAATGATGATCTAGTCGCGGAGAGCCCACGCAAGGGCGCACGCGATTGCAACATGGACACCATTGCTCTTCCAGACGAATGTGAGTTCGACAATGGGGCCGATAAGCGTCCACACGAGCTGGAGCAGGAGGATGACACGTTCCCCGCCGAAGCCGAGCTCGCGACTGAACAGCTTCAGAATGGAAGTGAGATCTATCAGCAGGTAGAGCAGCGCATCGATCATGGACCAGAGACTAGTGTTGACTTGGATGCCGATTTGGAGCTGGAGGAGCCACAGACAGAAACAGATTTTGTGACTCCCCAGCTACAGGACGATATCATGAAACAGTCTATTTATGGCGAATCCAACTCGAATGCTTCCATCGAGGACATTCTTAATTCAGTGCAGACGCTGCCGCAGCAAACACTCAGCGATGAGCCGCTCAAGGAGAAGGAGCTGATGAATGTGGAAGAGAAGGAGCTTGTTTCCCAATCTCCATCCACTGAGGAGCTCAATCAGCATCAAAATCAACTAATTGATCCAATGCAGGCCTCATTCTATCTCGAGCACACCTCCAGTGATGCATTCGCTCAACTGGCTCCCGATCAGGATCAGAGTTTGTTGCTGGATACTAGTGCGCCATTGTTCAGTCCACTAGCAGACGAACCAGCAGTAACAGCCACAACACTTGAGCTCCAGCCTGAACAGGCAGATATTGTGGACTTAACTCCATCCCCGCTGTCCTCTTCCACCGAAGAGAAGCATCTTGTTGAGGAAACAAAGGAGCAACAGCAGAAACAAGAGCAATTCGAACCTTTCGCGCTGTCGGACAACGTAGAGAACAATTTGAATGCCGGTGCTCCGTCTCAGGTAAGATCACAAAAATACTAGAGATTAACTAATTTACTTACATCACATTCATAAAGCTGATCTCAAATCACAAATTTTATTAAACGTGAAAGATCACTTTCATTAATCGTTATGAAATATGTTATAATAATATCTAATAAGAATTATGGAAGAAAACAATGCACTAGTTCACCAATTACGTTGTTCCAATTAGAATTAATATGTATATATATTTAATTTAATTTAATTGATACATTTTTAATTTATTTTTCTAAGCCCATCTAAAACAAACTTGAATAAATTTTAAAGCATTCGTGAATTTTGGAAGTCGTGTCTACGCATAAAATTGCTTCGAACCGCGCCCATCCCTAGATTCGATTCAACTGCATGACTCATTCTAGAACATTACGTATTTGTCAAAAAAGTCGTTATGCACTCGTCATTTGTCCTGCACCCTGTGTGTGTCTTTGTTCGTGTGTCAGTGCTCACTTCTCAGTTTCCGAGGTGTTTCCTCATTGCTGTCGCTATTGTTGCCTTATCGGCCGTTCCATATGCATGTCCTTGCCATGTGTCTGTTCACCTGGCCCAGGAGAAATCATTAAATTTGTTGGTATACTTCATTGTTTCTGTGCACACAGCTGTCTGCATGCATTTCGGCATTTCTCTCTTCTCGATTTTTCTCATTTCGCGCTCTCGTGCCCTTTCGGTCGGTCCCTCTCTCTTCAAGTGCTAATGCAATTTTACAACATCAGCGCTGGGGTGTGTTCCGTTAACTCGCTCGCTGCGCTCCTTTTTCTCCTTTTCTCGTTCTCTCTCACTTTCTACACGTTTCCGTTCTGGCACACTCAACAGGACACGCAAGTGCTTGTCATATGCTGTGCGAGTATGTGTGTGTGTGTGTGAGTGTGAGTGTGAGGTGTTTGGTGTCGAAGTTTAAGCGGCGCTTGGGTGGGGTTCTCATTATGACTACGCTGTGAGCAAGTATATAAGTATGTATATGTATATATGTGTGTATGTGTATGTGTACTTTAAACTCCATTTTTAAATAATTAAGGGCAAACTAAGGGTTGTTGCTGTTTTTATTGCCTTTTGCTTATGCCACTTCCTCGCTTTATTGCCGCTTTTGTATGGCAGCACTTTATGCTGTTGACCTCTTGGCTCTAAGATAAAATATTATTGTCGCCACTTGGCCACTTGGATGTTGGTATTATTGTTGCTACCGTGTTATATTTTGTTTTGCCTTATTTTTGTTGGCTTTGGTATTTGATTTCCGTTCCAATTGGATTTTGTGCTGTTGGCTGGCAGAGCTTGCGGTCAACGATTCGCTTTTATGCATTTCTTGTGTTAGTGTCTGTGTAAGAGTGAGAGCGTCTGGCAAACTCCCAAACTTAAACTCGCTCTCTGGCTGTGGCGCTCTCCCCACACAGTCTGCAATCTGCATGACCAGCACCAACAACAACAGCAGCAACTGACAACAACAGCTTCGGCAAGAGTGGCAACCTTTTCGCTTCGTTGCAAATTCCAGCTCCAATGCACACAAGCACGCACACATACATACGTGTAAGCAAGCACAAACACACAGACACAGCTTTCATAATTACACAAGCGCTTGGGTTCACTTAATTGGGTCATATACGGTTTTCGCTTGCATGGCACATACAAGCACATACACATACACACATACAATTTTTTATGATTTTTGTATATGCTTTGTCTTGCACCGCCGCCGCCGACACTGCTGCTGCTGCTGCTGCTGTTGCAGTCAACGCAACTGCTGTTGGGTATTGTTTGGGCTGCTATCGAACTTCCTGTGGGAGTTTCGTTGTGTGTATAATTTACGCCTGTAACAAAACGCTTTCTTCATGCTTCCACCTCCCCACTGTACCCCACAGACCGCGTTGGCGTTTTCGTTTTCGCCGTTTTGCATGTTTTTTTATCAACATGATTTGTGTATGTTTCTTATTTATTTGTTCAGTTTTCGCTGTATTTTACCCAAACAAATATATCGAGCACGCAAAGGTATACTCATTTACATATTGTATTGTTTATTTTCCGTTTCCAACAAAAACTCGAACTATAAGAATACAATAAAAATCCAATTAACGTAACAGACAGCCTGTCTCCAATTGGAATCACGGCGAATTCGTTAACACGAAAGGGCCAGGTTTCTCCATCAAGAACTATTTGAAGTGCCGATTGGCAGACAATCTGTGCAAGCGGCGCTATAAAGGTAACAGTGATAATCGAGTGATCAGTTTTACGATTAATCAAAGAAACGAACTGATTTTTTGCAAGCGTAATTTAGATTGCGCGCTCTATGTCGCTGCCTTATCGCTAATTCTAATTATAATTTTCAACGCTATTCAGGCGACAAAATACCTACATTTAAATACTTATATATATTATATATATATATATATATATATATATATATATATATATATATATATATATATATATATATATATATATATATTTGTCTGTTTGTTAGGTGCATGTCGATTCTAGAGCACAGACGAAAACAAGCTGATAATAAAATTCACGCGTCTGTAGTATGACTCAGTCTGTGGGGCCTGCGCTCTCCAGTTCCCACACGTTCATAAAACTATTGAAAAAATGATACATTTTATTGTTTCTACTTTTTTTGTTTGTGGCTGGTTTTGCTGCTGTTTGAAACTTTCGCCGCCATTCGCATGACATTTGTTTAAACTTGTGTTTAATTAAAATTTATGCAATTTGCATAAATTAGCATCGCCCTGCGTCGTCATAACAATGCAAATTCTTTTTATTATTACGATTTTTCTGACAATTGACGGATGCCAACCAAACAAAAAACAGAATTTTTTATTTGTAATTGAGCCTCCATTTCCATTCGAAATATTTAAAGCAGCGCATCACATGTCTGATGCTAAGCCAACAAAATAACATAGTTCAAAATATTCTTAAAATGAATGTTGTTTTTTAATATCTATATTTATATTCTTATGCAGAATATAAAGCCCTGATTTATAGTGTACAAAAATGAATTAAATTCAATAAACAGCAAGTTATATTTTATTTAAATATTATCTATCTAAACAGGTTTTTATAATTTCTAGAAGTTTTTAAATTCAATTAATGTAGTTAGCGCAGTTAGCAAAGTTTATAAATTTGCATTCATCTAAAAAGAAAGTTTTCTCTGGATGTAGATTGCAGCTGAGTAACAGCTCCGTTAATATTCTTAACATGAACTTAACAGTGAAATTTTAGGTTGCTGTTGTGCCAAAAAATTGGTTACACAAATTGAACACGAAAGATAAAAATGTGAATAGCAACAACAATAACTCAATAAAGGTGCACCAACTGGTAATTAAGTCTGAAAATCCATTAAGATTATTAACTCAATTAAAATAGCTTGCTTCTTCGCAAAATGTACACACACGCAGTTGGCTGTGGTTTGTTGTTGTCTTTTCTATAAGCGCCACTTTGGTTGCTGTTGTTGTTGTTGGCATTGCATGCAGTTTGGGCAACGGGTGGTCCAATTCGAGCTCTATGTAAGCGCATTTGGCGTCTACGCCAATCCTACGCCCAGCCTCGTCTGCCCACACGGACAAGTGCTTAGAGATACAGATACGAATAGCTTTATCTGTCTCTTTCTCTCTTTATCTGTGTGTGTGTGTGTGTGTAAGGAGTGTGCTTATACATATCTTGTCTGCCCACCTAAGTACGAAAGTACGAGAAATATATGTAGCTCGACTTACGCCCAAAATCAGCCTAAAAGCAAAAAAAAGTAAAACAAAAAATGCAGGCGTCAGACAGAGTTGGTAAATAATGTACGAGAGTTGGCCAACTGTGCATAAGTGTGTGTGTCTGTGTGTGTGTGTGTGTTTGTGTGCGCAAAACGAGTTTCATTTTGCGGTCTCTCAACAAGGAGGAGGCCCCAAAAGCCAAAAGCAGAACAATTGCGAGACGACAGCGACGGCCAGAAATCTTGCTGCAATATGATTGCTATTGCCATTGTGTGGGTTGACTGAAGTCTGATTGCCAAAATGGTAAGAGCACACGTCTGAAGATGTTGCAGAAGCTGAAGACGCTGTGGCTGTGACTGTAGCTGTAGCTGGAGTCATGCCACTTGAAGCCGTTTGGCGGCGTCTAATTGCACCATTTTACATTTTGCAGTTCAAAAGAAATGAGGCTCCATGGAGCAGCAGCAGTCGCCGCATCAGCTGAAGTACTTTTTATCTTGCAGATACAATATCTCATTTTGCATGCGGCTGCCTTTGCTGCAATCACATGGCCTTTCTTCTCCTTCTCTCTCTCTCTCTCTCTCTGTCTTTATCTCTGTCTTGTTATATGCGTTATCTAAATTTACATTTCCCATATGGTTATATATATATAATATATGTATATGTATGTTTGTGCACCCATCTATAAGAAACGTTTGTAAATGTATTTGCATTTGTAGGCGACACTTTCGCTTGCTTCTCTCGCACTTGTAGATACTTTTTTGCTTCCTGCTTCTTCATTTGCAATTTATGCATGTTCTCCGCATTTACGAGTTCAAATTTATTTTTAAAATTCAAACCCTGTGCCAAGTTCAATAGCTTCACAAAAATACGAAAAAAAAGGAGAAAATATGTAAAAATAATTACTAAAATGGGCGACAAAATGCCGCAATGCATTTTGTGGCCCCTGCAGCGTTGATGGCTGACTGCCGTACGAGTGCGGATCTGTCTCACCGCCGCCCCCTTGCCTCCATTGATGACGGGACGGCACAAAAAATTGCCTGGGACAGACGGCCACCGATCCGGTCCCTGGTCATATAAATAGGCTTTAATCGTTGTTGCTGGGGTGTCACAGCCAAGTGCTCCAAAAGTGTTTTTAATTGAAAGTCATTTTGTGCTGGCCAGATTTGCACAGCGATCTCTAGCTGCTTCCAGTAGGTGATCCATCGCCAGGGTCCCAGCGACTGGTTACACACAATGTCTTCAGCTCCAGCAGCTCTGTCTTCTGTGCCGCAGGAGCTAAGCCAAGACGATGTT